TTCTTTCCTTTTTTTTTTATTTTTGTGAATTGGCGATCACGTCACAGTAACGAAATGAGGGCTGCTCATGAGGCAGCGTTCCGCAAAATGTGCTGCGTAAAAGCACACGATTGGATGGAGATATTGGTCAAAGTCCATCGGGTCGAATTTCGTGATTCGCGAGATTGTCGTCGAAATGATGGCCAATTACGGAGTACGGAGTATGGGAGGCTACAAAAAGAGCTGGAGCACGGACATCGAAAACGAAAGAATTTTCTTCTGCATTGCATGGCCGGGATCATTGACAATTCTCTTGCATCTCCCCGCAAAAACCATGGCGGAACTTCGGAAGAGGGCGAGGGCAGGTGCACGATTCTGCTTCGGCCTCTGGTGAAGAGCCTTTTCTTCAATTCCCAGGTCTGACCGCACTCACACGATGGGGTTGAAATCTCTGATTTTGCGTTGTCGATCCCCCTCCACCCGTCAAGGCTTCCAGAGACGCGGAGAAAGGAGGGGGAGGGGTACCGACGGGATCCATCATCCAGGTACGGGAGGGACCTTTGGCGGAGCGATGATGCAGACATACATTAGCTACATGTGCGGGAACTCAGCTTGGCAGAGTTAAAAAAGGGCCTGGAGCAATGCCCGCTCCCGGCACGTTGGGGAATTTCATCCTTCTGTTTTGCTGGCTGCAACAACCGTTTGCATCTGCAGGCACGCAAATGCTCTCGCCGATGCCCAGGGGCCTGGAATTGCGCGGTTTCAAGATTCGCAGGGTCTCGCCCTTGAGCAACGGGCCAGGTGACTGTCGATGAAAGTCAGCTCAACAGTCAGTTTCCAGGTAAACTAAATCTACGGAGTAAAGAGTAAACTATTGATGGAACATGCGGTCAGCTGTTGCTGCACAAATTTGCCGCTGAGTAATCAGGGAGGTCGCATTGTGTGGCTAAAATTAGCTGGAGGTGGCTGAGCCCATGTGGCTATCCTGTTACGTAATCCGAGCCCACATTGAGAAATGCCGCATGGCGGAACCAATCACGTCACCGCCCGCCACTCGCCTCTGCAAAAAAGGGCCTTTGGAGGCCGCCTTGATTGGCCTTGTCGTTCGGCGACAGAGACGAATGTTGGACGAACGGAATGCGCAACGGTGATATCCACGGATCCGCGACACCTGCCTGCGAATCTGGACCCGGCTTCCAATTGCGGCGGTGAGATGTGCCGGACCCCGTGCCCCGTGTCGAGTTTGACCATTCTTTGGAATCTGCGTCAAGCGTCAATGGTGCACCCGCAAGGTCGAGCACCGGGTGGAAGCTGTTATGTAAGAGGATATCCCCGTTTGGCAAGGTTGCTTCACACCGCATGGCACCTGGAATACGGAGTTCCAGGATGCCTCACGGCCGGCGAGAGGACGGTGTATCTGCCAGCCGTCCTGCCAGCCCAACTGCGCTCCCAGAATCCCATCCCAATGCGCGATCCCTTGTAGACAACCTCTGCTGCTCCAAGCTCCAGCACGTCTTGAGTCAACAGCCACAGTGCCTGGCTCTGCTCGTTCCGCGCGGCTCTTGCCAGGCACCTGTTGAGCGGCCAGCCGATGCTTTCCGCGCGCCGAAAAATCCTGGCTGGTCCCGTGGCTCGCTTCCCTCCAATAGCCGTAGCCCAATCGGGGCTAGCGCCACCGTCATGGCTGGTGCTCCAGGAACCAGCTTTGTCGTCATGAACGTCCCCTCGCCAACCCAAATCCTTCTCTTGTCGTATATCTAGCCGGCCCTCGTCCACCGTCGCTGCTGGCTCTGCGATCACCGTCGTGGATCTATCCAATTCACCCTGTCCTGTCTTCCATGGCCGGACCCTTTGTTCCTGTTGCTCTTCTAAGCTTGTCTTAGCATCCCAAAAAAACCCCCACACGCTCGTCATAGCTTGCTGCGTCTGATCAGCAATCGCCAACACAACCTGAATCTCCTTCTTTGTGCCAGTGTGCTAGCATCGTCTTCATCACTCCATCATGTCTGCCGCTGAGCTCACGATGAATCCTGCCCCTCATGCCGCAGACGGCGCCAATGGCGCTTCCCAACCCAAAGTCAGCCCACTTCCGACTGCAGAGCTGTCAGGCTCCGCGACCCCCACCACCGGATTTCACAGAATTCACAACAAGCAGCTAGACGGGGTCATGCGCACTCCCGGCCGCCAGCCGTCTCCGCAACCTGTTCACTTGGGAATTCCTGGAGGAACGCACCGGGTGCTGTCTGAGCAAGGCCCTGGATATGTGGCTGCCAAATTCGAAGGCAAGGCCAAACAGATGGAGCAAGGTAAGCTGTCCCTTTTTTTTGCGCAGATGAGTTTCACTGCATGTTTGGTGGCAAATCTAACGCCTGGCAACCTATGGTAGTGATGGACCAGTTGGAGGAAAGCGGTTTCATCCCAGCGGAATTCATCTCCACGGAAACGGATTGGTTCTACAAGATGCTCGGGATCGACGATATGTACTTCCAGACCGAGACCGTTGAGGCAATCGCCAGCCATATCCTCTCCCTCTATGCCGCCAAGGTGGCCGCCTACGCGAGAGACGATAAGAGGCTGGAAATCAGACTGGATAAAGAGGCCGCCGATCATGCGGTCTACATCGATACCAGCAGGCCTGGTGTCAGCGCCGTCGACGGCCCCCGATATGAACAGCGTATCGATGAGAAGTACATCGACGGTTCGACTCCAAGCAATAGCTACCGTGTGGAAACCTTCCGCTCCTCCACTTCCATGCCCGATGAAAACCAGAATCAGCTCCGCTGCTACTTTGTCTACAAGTGCCAGTTCAATAACCCCACCCCAGATCCCGGCGAGACAAACATTGAAGTCATCGGCGAGAACCGCTTCTTGCAAAAGGCTACTGCGAACACAAAAGCCATCTATCAAGAAATCATCATCAAGGCAGTGGCCCGGTCTGGTCCTGTCATTGAGATGTTCGAGATTGAAGGAACCCGTGAGAGGAGAATCGTCATCGCGTACCGCCAGGGATCCGCCATGGGCATGTTCAGCGCCTTGTCCGACCTGTACCACTACTATCGCCTGACCAGCTCCCGCAAATATCTCGAAAACTTCTCCAACGGCATCACTGTCCTTTCTCTGTACCTCCGCCCCATGCCCGGTGTCGAAGCGTCCGGAAGACATCCCCCCATCGAGGCCTCTATTCACCAAATCATGAAAGAAGTCTCCCTGCTCTATTGCATTCCTCAAAATAAATTCCAGAGCCACTTTGCTAGCGGTCGCCTCAGTTTGCAAGAAACCATCTACGCCCACTGCGTCTGGGTCTTCGTCCAACAATTCCTTAACCGTCTTGGTTCCGAATACACTTCCTTGACCGCCCTCCTCGATTCCAACAACACCGTCCACGCCGAACTTCTCTCAAAGATCAAGAAGAGACTCCGTACTGAAACTTTTACCTCCGATTACATCCTCGAAATCATCAACAAGTACCCCGACCTAATCCACAGACTCTACCTTGACTTTGCAAGCACCCACTATGTTCAAACCAGGGCTGCTGAGGATGATTTCCTCCCAACTCTGAGTTATCTTCGCCTGCAGGTTGACGAGGTGCTCGATAGCAAACAACTGAAGGATCTTGTCTCCAAGACCGTGGTTAGTGAGCATGACGAGATGGTGATGAAGTCATTCCTCGTCTTCAACCGCGCCGTTCTCAAGACCAACTTCTATACCCCGACCAAGGTCGCTCTGAGCTTCCGTCTGAATCCTGATTTCCTGCCATCCCACGAATACCCACAACCCTTATACGGCATGTTCCTCATCATTAGCTCCGAGTTCCGTGGATTCCATCTTCGATTCCGTGATATCTCTCGTGGTGGTATTCGTATTGTCAAGAGTCGAGACAAGGAAGCCTACTCGATCAACGCTCGTTCGATATTCGACGAAAACTACAACTTGGCCAACACCCAGCAACGAAAGAACAAGGATATCCCAGAAGGAGGCGCCAAGGGTGTTATCTTGCTTGACGTGAACCATCAAGATAAGGCTCGTGTCGCCTTTGAGAAATACATTGACAGCATCCTCGATCTCCTCCTTCCCCCAGCTAGCCCTGGTATCAAGGATCCTATTGTTGATCTCCATGGCCAAGATGAGATTCTCTTCATGGGACCTGATGAGAACACCGCAGAATTGGTCGACTGGGCTACTCTCCACGCTAGACAGCGTGGCGCTCCCTGGTGGAAGTCGTTCTTCACCGGTAAAAACCCTAAGCTTGGTGGTATTCCACATGACACTTATGGCATGACGACCCTATCGATTCGCCAATACGTTGAGGGTATCTATCGTAAGATGGGTGTCGATGAAACCCAAATCCGCAAGTTGCAGACTGGTGGTCCTGATGGTGATCTTGGATCGAACGAGATTTTCCTTGGTCGGGAGAAATATACCGCCATTGTTGATGGCTCTGGTGTTATTGTTGATCCCCAAGGCCTCAACCGTGATGAACTCCTTAGACTTGCGAAATCACGTCTCATGATTTCAAATTTCGACTCGTCGAAGCTCTCTCCTGAGGGATACCGAGTCCTGGTTGATGATGCCAATGTCAAACTTCCTTCCGGCGAGGTTGTCCACAACGGCACTGTCTTCCGAAATACCTTCCACCTTAGACACGGTAACTACGACATGTTCGTACCTTGCGGAGGTCGTCCCGAGTCCATCAACTTGGCAAACGTGTCAAAACTCATTGTCGATGGGAAGTCCACCATCCCATTCCTGGTTGAAGGTGCCAATCTTTTCCTTACCCAAGACTGCAAACTTCGCTTGGAAAAGGCTGGATGTGTTCTTTTCAAGGACGCCTCTGTCAACAAAGGCGGCGTGACCTCATCTTCGCTTGAGGTTCTAGCTTCCCTATCCTTTGATGATGAGAGCTTCGAACAGCATATGTGCATTGGAGAGAATGGCCAAGCTCCAGAATTCTACAACGCATATGTCCGTGAGGTCCAGGAGACCATCAAACGCAACGCGACCTTGGAATTTGAAGCCATTTGGAGAGAACACGAGCAGACTGGAATTCCACGTAGCATTCTCAGTGACACTCTCAGTGTCGCAATTACCAAGTTGGACGAAGAGCTCCAGAAGTCGGAACTCTGGGAAAATTTGCGCTTGCGCAAAGCCGTTTTGGGTGACGCACTCCCCAAATTGCTCCAGGAGAAGATTGGTTTGGAAGTTATGCTCGAGCGGGTGAGTACAATTTTTTCCAGATGATTGACAGTCACCTTTTACTAACAACGATCCTGTAGGTTCCTGATAACTACCTCCGTTCCATCTTTGGCAGCTATCTTGCCAGTCGTTTCGTCTATCAATACGGCAGCACACCAGGCCAATTCGCATTTTTTGATTTGTTAGTCATCTCATCGTCTCTCATAATTGAAGCTATCTTTACTGACTTGGAACACAGCATGTCAAAGCGAATGCCAAAAGAATAGAATCATAGACCTCCCTCTACCCCCTCGGATCTTAACATCTGTAAACTGATACTACGAGCTGTTTTTGAAAGAAGATATACCACGAAGACACAAGAAATAAAAAAATCAAAGAAAAAGAACGCCTAATCAAAAGCTGATATTGAAGAAGGGAAAAAGTAGTCTGGATGGGGATGGGATGATATATCTCCCTTTAATTCAATTTTTGATAAATAGCAATAACTGACTGAGATAAGAAACATATCTGGATTGTTGACTTTTGTGTTTTCCCCTTTTCAGTATGCCATTAACTTGGGTATGGCACTTTTGGTGACAAAGTGCTTAGCACTCTTTTACTTTTTGGGCGATGCTATCACACCCTCAAACTAGGTTTGGATGAGGTGATCAAAGGGCCTTGCCAAAGCCAAAACAATATTTTCATGTATCAAGTGATAATGTATTAAAAGCCGACTTGCTCCTCTTGTGTACCTGTCCAGTTCTGATGTGAATGAATCTTATTGCTTTTTTGCCTATTGCTTCCTAGACTAGCAACAAGCACCTTTACATGCTTTTTAACTACATTGATAACCAGCAAACGCCAAACATATATGCAGAACCCCTAGCTACTCAGACATGATGCACAAATATTGGTTTGTTGGTGTTACATTTGAGCAAGCAACAAGTAAAAAGAAGCAAAAAATTTGATACAGGAATGGGGAAAGCAACCATACGCGTCGCCCTAGGTAAACTGTAAGGGAAAAAAAAGGCCTTCAAACATCAATATTTCTGTTGATATTGAACTTTTTCAGCCCTTCCTCGTCCTCCTCGCAGCCCAGCTGTTCGAGATCGGCCCATAAATCCGGATATTGGGTTTGTGCCCATTCCTCGACTTGTTCTTTCCAGTACTGGAACGGAGTGGCATTGTATAAGGTGCCGATTCTGTGCAGGTAGCGGAGTTAGTGAGGCTTTCGAGATTTGAAAGAAAAAAAAAAAAGGAGAAAAGGAAATAACGGAGCTGTTGAGATCAGGGTACATACGTCAGAGTACTCGGGCCAAACCCAAGCTTTGACTCCATGGCTTGAATAGCCTCCGTCGCCTTCTCCACCTCACAATGTCCTGCCAACGCTCCGATGTACGCATTATATATCCTCTCGTCAATGCGGACATCCATCGACCTCAGTTTCGCTAGCATCTTCGATGCCTCCTGCACGCCATTATGATACGTCTCGCACACGCGGAAGAAAATCACCAATGTCTGTCCCGACGGGCCTTCCTCGGAGTGAAGGATGTCCCGGAAGAATCCCATCGCTTCATCAGGCATCCCGCATGCAGCATACGCGAGCATCAGACCGTTGTAGATCTTGGTCGTTAGGCCAACTTCGAGATCAAGTTTCAACATGTTGTGCACGAGATGAAGCCCGCTGGCGTCGGCGGCGCGGGATATTCCCTGCAGACACATGGCGTAAGTATGTGCTGTGGGGCGCTTGCCTCCACGCTCCTTTTGTCTCATGTGTCCGAATACAAGGCATGCTAGGTCGGATCGGCCACGGTTAAAGAATTGATTCATGATATCTGTCCTGGTGTGAACAGCTGTGCGAGGGAAGGCCATATTTAGCAATTCATAAACTTCCCAGATGCTTTCTGTAGACTCGTTTTGATCGTTGATATAGTCGACGAAAGATTCACTGATTTTGGATAATTCCTCTGAATTATATTGATCGATAATGGGGCGAAGGAGGTTTGAGATGTTTTCGAGTTCGTGGCGGTATAGGAGGACTTTGCACAGGGCTCCAAGCGTTTCAGCTTCAAACCGGCTTCTTGTGTTGAGGAGACGGTCAACAAATGATAAAATGGTGTCGTACTCAGTATTGGTGTAACGGGGGTTACAAAGCTGCCTGAGAATTCTGTTCAACATCATGACGTCTGCCCGATCGGTAAGAGTCTCGAGGTTGAGGTTTTCCACGAGCTCGAGGGCACCGTCAAGGTCTCCCTGCTGAATTTTCGAGTCCATTTGCAGCATATAGGTATGGGCGTCCGGTTGCAATCCCCACTTTTGTGCAAGTGCTAAGTATTCTTGGGCCAAATCTTGCCTCTGGATCGAGATTGCGTGCTCTATGAGCTGGTTGATGGAAGTAATGGTCATAGAGTGTCTGATGTCTGGATTGATTCCAGTCATAACCTCCAAATGCTTCTCAATGTTTGTTGCTGGCTCAGCCCTAGCTGCAGATAGAAGAAATATGGCATCTCGACTTGCTGGAGTTGGATAATCGGGGAGCGATTCACTTAATTGGCTGGCCCACTCCACCATCGAGTTCCGAATAGCGGTCGATATTGCAACCGCAGTCGATGCAGCTGTAGGTTGAAGACCATCCGGTAGGTCTACCTCATAAAGTATCCTCAAAGCTCCAACATTATTTTCTGCTGCTAGCATGGTAACCATTTCCTCATGGGAGTCGGGGTCCAACACAATACCACAACGGCCCATCTTGCCTATTACTACCGGAATATCGGATTCCATGTTTTCCTTTGCTAAACCGCTTATTACATCGAGCCACGGCACGATGCCTTCTGAATGTAGAACATTTTCCCAGTATGTCTCCACAACATTCAATGCCTCGAGCGGTGACCCAGTGGACGCTAATATCGAAACATACGAGCTGAGCGCCTGGGAGCTAGGATTTTGATGTGGTTTCTTCGCCTGTTCATTTCTATGGCAAATTTGCTCATATATTGTTTTGGCAAGCTTGTTTAAAACCTCAGCGGCATCAGGTTCGCAGCCCACTTGAAATAAAGCAAACATGGTAGTTTCGAGATTTTCGAGCCCCAGAGCCACACGCACGGATCCTCGAGCATCTTTGTACGGGTATCCAGCGACTAGGTGCTGTAAGGTCTGTAGAAGAAACCGGGCTTGATTTTGGGTCAATACTGCCATTGACTCCATGCGATCTCGAATGAACGACATGAATGCCTTGGCAAGTATAAAGGGCGGTGGTGGCTGCGACTGTCTTTCCAGAGCGTTTACCAGTTCCATCATTTGCTTGGACCCATTTTCGGCTGGCTGGTTCTTCGCAGCGTTGGCCGTATTTGGGAAAAACGGGAGTGTGAACGCGGATCGGGTTTGCGTCAACCGGAACGGGCATCTTTGTAGGTCACGCGAAGGCAGTAAGAGAGCTACTTTCCGGGAGCATTGGAAATGAACATAAGGCCTGTTTTCCACAATGGCCTGGAACACTCCGCGGGTGAGGTGCGAACGCATAGCTGCGGTTTCGAGAACCTACAAGCATTCAAGTTAGCTGGAAGTGCGCATTGTGGCGACACAGATCCAACGTTACCTATAGTGTGCATTCCACGGCCTGAATGACGACAACTCCAATCGCTCATCAGTCATTTGGCGCAGCTCTCGTCTCGCGATCCAAGGGTGCTGTTCGGGTGAAAGCGAGGCCGCGGTGGTTTGGGTGAAGCTGGCTGATGGAAAGTTTGGATGCAACTCTGGGCTTGGCATTTGCAGAAAGTCGGTCGCCAGATTGACCGATCGAGTTGACATCTTCAGCATTTCTCACCACCACGCCGCACGTTGCTTTGTCAATCCATCGCGGAGGCGCCTACCTGGATTGGTGTAGATCTCACGATGGCGAATCGATTGAATCCCTTGACCTCGCACTCTTTCGTGCGGCCTGCGGTGATGCAGAATATATGCCGGCGCTTCTACACGCCCATGCGCATGGAAAATCCTTTTGGGAAAACGGGGTATAGTGCTCATCAGGGTAGGTCAAATGGATTTTTTTCTGCTACTGATCGATCTATTCAGAAATACCCTGCTTCCCTTTTCAAACGGGTTCTAATTAGCTTTAGAAATGAAAATCGCCGAAGAACAGAAACAACGACGCATTGCAAAAGCTATCGGTGACCAGAAGGCTTTGGATGAGAGGCGGAGGACATTGGAGAGGTTTCAGACCCGTGATTGGAAAGCCGGCGACGTATATTCTCCCCACGATCTCAGCCCTGCGGAAATGAGGAAATGGAAACGGAAATTGAGCCCGTCCGTCGACGTGTTCGACCTTCTAGCGATGAACCCTTTACACCAATACAAGGTGATTATCCTCAGCAGACATCGCAACTTTTCCTTGATATAGTGTGCTAACTGGGTTAGAACTTCTCTATCATGTCCGAATATATCACCGAGATGGGCCGTATAAAACCACGCTCTGTTACCGGTCTCCGTCCTGTCAATCAACGAAGGCTAGCGAAAGCAATCCGAAGGGCGGTTGCATTGGGGCTCATGCCTAGCACATACCAACATCCGGAGATTCTGATGTTGAAGGCGAGATGATAGTTTGGATCTGGCTTCGGAGTCGATTTGTTTGGGTAGGACTACTGGCACTCTCTGTATTATATGCTTCACTTGTAAAATCAGATTTGTTTCTGCTTCAGTACATGGTTACTCCGTCTAGACTATCCCTTACCATTCGTGTTTCGAAAAAGGGGATGCCTGGGCGCGTTTTGCACTGAGGGGAACACCGCACTGGATCAACGTCATCCTCCCTGTAAAGTCGAACAACACTGAAGGCGAACAGGTCTCTTCATTCAGAGCATCCAGTGTCAACCGGTACACGCATCTATTCAATGGCAATCAAGAACGGTATTCTCTCTCCCTTCAAGCCCAAAGGAATGCGGAAATGCTCATTTGTTGAGTAGAATCGATCTGGGCCGCAAGCCCCTCCACCACCAGAGGGCAGCCAACCCAACTTGATGCCGACGTGAAAGGAGAGAGACTCGCGTATGCGGTGAGTTTAGCTGCAGTTACTATTTCGCTGTCGTCTTAGGAGTGATTTTCTAAAGTCCCATTCCAGTCAAACAAGTCGGTATTCCTCCGCTCCATAGACAACCCCGCAGTCGCGAGACAGTACACAGACCACAAGACCGACACAACTGTTGCAAGGTTCTCTCCTTCCGGGTACTATGTTGCCAGCGGTGACGCTGCTGGAACGGTACGGGTTTGGGATTGTGTCGGAGAAGGGATCACAAAAGGCGAATACTTCATCGTGAACGGAAGAATAAACGATCTCGCTTGGGACGGGGATTCACAAAGGATAATTGCTGTGGGCGATGGGAAACAAAGATACGGTCATTGTATCAGTGCAGACAGCGGAAACACTGTTGGCGAAATCACTGGCCACAGCCAGAGCATCAACTCCGTTTCTATTCGACAACAGAGGCCTCTCCGAGCAGCAGCGGCGGGAGATGACAAGACTCTTGTATTCTACCACGGAGCTCCATTCAAGTACAACACTGGCCATCGGGATAACCACAATAACTACATCTACGGGGTCGCTTTTAGCCCTAGCGGAGATAACCTCGTTAGTGTTGGCGGCGACCGACGCATTTGGCTGTATGATGGAAAGACCGGCGAGCCAAAAGTCCAGATTGGCGAAGGAGAACATAAGGGAAGCATATTTGCCGTGTCTTGGTCCCAAGATTCGCGAAAATTCGTTACTGCTGGTGCAGACAGAACTGTGAAGATCTGGGACGTTGAGGCTCAAAAGGTCGTCCAGAATTGGCAGATTGGTCCCGAACAAGGCTCTGCAACTGTTCCACATCAACAAGTCGGCGTTGTTTGGCCAAATGGGAGATCAGATGGGTTGATAATAAGTTTGTCACTTTCAGGAGACCTCAATTATTTGGTCGAAGGACAAGAAAAGCCGAGACAAGTGATCCATGGGCATCAAAAGAACATTACCTCAATCACTCGAGATGACTTTGGACCTAAAGAAACCCTCTGGACTGGAAGCTATGATGGCAGAGTATGTAGCTGGGAAGTCTCAGATGGTGCAATGGAAACCGTTGAAGGTGAAGGACATCCCGGGTACATTGCTGGTCTTGCGGCTGCTAAAGAGGGCAGCGGCGGCCGGATTTATAGTGTTGGCTGGGACGACACAATTCGCTCAGTGGATATATCTTCACATAGTTATGTCGGCCCTGCGATTAAATTGTCAAGTCAGCCCAAAGGGATCGCTGTTGGAGACCAGACGGTGCTAGTTGCCAATACCCAGGGCGTTGAAATCCTGCAAGACGGGAAGAAGACGGGGGAGTTCCACTCGAAAATCTCGCTGAGCGCTATCGCTGCTGCAGGAAGCACCGCCTGTTTGGGAGCTGAGGATTCTTCCGTCCAATTCTACAAAGTCACCCCAACAAGTTTAGAGCCAAAAGCAAGTGGCAAGGTATCCAGGAACCCCATCTCCGCCATGGCATTCAGCCCAGATGGCTCGTTGTTGGCTGCCGGAGACTCCAGAGGCCGAATTGTTGTTTTCAAAGCCGAAGATGGGAGCATTGTTACGGATCGCTGGACAGCTCATACCGGGCGTGTCACCTCCATGGCATGGAGCTCGAACGGAACGCAATTGGTCAGTGGGGGGCTTGACACAAACATCTTTGTATGGAGCCTGGACCGCCGAGGGGACTGGTTAGAGGCGCCCAATGCCCACAAAGAGGGGGTAAACGCCGTGGCGTGGATAGCTGATGACTCGAAAGTCGCTTCAGCTGGTGCGGATGGTGCGGTGAAAATCTGGCAAGTGGAATTTTGAGCATCTTTTGACGTTTATGAGCTTCGCGTGGATGCATATTGGATGATAAAGAACCAATATACCCGGCTAGACGGATGAAATTTGTTTACTTGCCTGACCCTGCTTGTAACTATGGAACTATATCTTGATCACTCTTGCGTGCTGGCACCTCGTTTCAGGTACCTTGCTTTGCGTATGTCAACACTGATGATGATCCTTTTGGCCGTCCGTGGATACCAATCTCCTGATAAGAACTGCAGCTTATTGCATGTGAGATATTACTCTTTTGACCAATATCAAGGCACCTATTTAGCCATTGACCCCGTCAAACAGCACTACCTACATCTTTGACGGCTTTGGTATCAAGCCTTTTCCAATTTCCCAGTAAGCTGATAAGGAATGCGAGCCCAGCGCCAAAAATCGGGATTGCAAGAGCAGCGTTTATATCCGCCATGTAGGCCGAAACGACACCGGGGACTTCGCGGCCTCTAATGCTGTAGAGTTTGGCGCAACGCCACAGATCAGATTCCCTAGCTCAAAGACGAGGACAGAGGCAAGGAAGGTGTACATCAAGGAGAAGTACTTGTACGCTTTTTCCCACGATGACAGGAAACCACCGTTGGCCGGGAAAAACGCGGAGCCATACCATGATACCTTGTCGAGGCCACGAAATTCGTCTGTGATTCGGGGGATTGCGGTTGCGACAATGGTTTTGTTGGAATCATAGTCAATTGCTGGGATTGCAAAAGTAGGGGAACGGAGTGAATTCACTATATCGAGAGAGGGAAGGAAATTGCTGAGAATCAGAGCGAGGACAATAAAAGTCAGAGCGGTGCCTCCGGGATATTCCGTCGCCGCTGATGCAGGTATTTCCCATTTCCTTCATATCTCCTCCGTCCGGTAAGGCCGATAGTGCTGAGCCATTACTCATGGACAGTGAAACTGGGTATTCCTTCTCAGGGTCCTGACATGGGCTTGCAGTAGCATTGGCCATGCTGAGCACGATTTTGATTGACAACCTCCCTAAATGGGAACTAAGCAGTACTTGAGGAATTCATGGATCAAAGGAATCGTCGAATTGAAGCTTGAGAATACCGGGTATCAAATTCTCATTAGAACTGCGGAGTATGAAGGTAGCGCTTGTTGCTTGCAAGCCCAGCATCCCCGGCGGAGAGCACAAGACGCAAAAACGACTGCGGGTTTCTCTTTTCGAATCCTCCATTTCCTCCATGCTTCATGCTTGAATCCTCGTCGTCGCCCCCTTTTGGCTCCTTTTCCGCTCGACTCGCGTGAGCTGACTAATGGTGCGCAGCACGCCATACTGCATACAGACTAACTCTCCAATTAAGGTTAAGCTACATTTAGTGCCTTGGCACAACTAGTTAAGGCAAAGCTTGTTACGTCATCTCAAGCTGATCGCTTGGCAGCGACAACCGGAGTTGCAGCCAGTAAACAACCGGGAGTCAAGGGCTTTTGGCTTGTGGCGAGCGACTGCTATCTCCCTCTACGTGGTATGGCAACTGTGCTCTGATGGGCGACCATGCCCTCGCCGCCCCCAACTCAAGCTGCGTGGCCTCCACGATTTCGCCGACCGCAGGTGAGTGGACTCGAGCTTGTCAAGCTTCGCGCGCAGACAGAGGAACTGATCCTGAATATCCGAATCCATTAGCTACGATATGCTACCCTTATCGTTCCTAGGACTGGCCGGCGCGTTAGAAGCCCGGATGCCCTACACACGATCTTCGACTCTCCCGATGACCAAACTCCGCTACTGCCACGGAGCTCCCTCCCGTCCCGGAATACCGAGAATACATGGCTCAATCGAGCCAAAGCCGTGAAAGCTAGTGCCTTTGCATTCTTTGCATCCGAGACGGGCAAGGGTGTGCTTAAATGTAGCCTCGCATATTTGCTCGGGACGCTCGCGACGTTCGTTCCCCCGATAGCCGCGTTACTGGGCCAGCAAGGCGGCAAACATACTGTTGCAACGATAACGGTGTATTTTCATCCTGCGAGAACGATGGGAAGTATGCTCTTTGCTCTCGTGTGTGCATCTGTGGCATTCATATATGCTTCACTTATATCCGTCATGAGCATGGGAGTGTCTGTTTTTTTTGAAGATGCCGTTCATCTCCTTCCTCTAGGCCATGCAATTGTCCTTTTGGTCTTTTGTGGTGGTGGCCTGGGGCTTGTCGGGTGGGTGAAGCAAAAAATGGGTGACCCGTTGGTGAACGTTGGTTGCTCGCTAGCCTCCCTCGCGATCGTCACCGTATTGACGAAAGAAGGTGCTGTGCAGCGAGGGGATATCTCGTTTGTCAAAATATCGCAGGTCCTGAAAATGCTACTTATGGGGACTCTCGCAACAGGGGCTGTGTGCTTTGCTGTCTATCCGGTGTCTGCTAGAACTAAGCTTCGGCAGGCCTTGATAGAAGCGACTGATTCTCTCTCTGATATGTTGCGGATTATCACAGAAACGTTTTTAGAAGGATCAGAGGATTTATTGGAACAAAAGGAATTCCTGGAAGCTTCTGAGCGAAACAAGACAGCATCTGCAAATATCGATAAATTGCTGAAAGAGGCCAAATTTGAGCACTATGTTATGGGGACTGCAAATGAATATTATCTCGAGAAGAAACTTTCCATGTGTATCCAGGATTTGGCCCAAAACACGGGCGGTCTCCGAAGCGCCGCTGAACTTCAGTTTGGTTTACTGAAACAATCCTACGTTCCGAATCGCTCGACTTCATCGTCTGAAGGTAATCTGGAATCTCAAAACGAGGAGGCGTTTCCCTCAATATTCTCTCCTGTGTCAACAATACGGGAACAAGTAACACCAAGTGAATACTTTATGGAAAGTTCAGACAATGGGCCACAATCACACGGTCTCAGTCTCCAAGCTTCCCCCATGGAATCTAGCGAGAATATCGAGCCAAATTCTCCGGCCGATATATTCGAGAAGTTTATTTTCCATCTTGGACCATCGATGGTAAGCATCAATCATTATGATACATTTTTATGAGATGAATCACTGATATCATCCCATAGAGGTCATTAGCTTATACCCTCCGAGAAATTCTCGGCGAGCTCCCATATGGTCCTGCGCCGGCTTTCAAAATTGCCATTAACAACAAGTTCCGGATCAGTTTGGACCGTGCTTTGGGTTTATATCGAACCTCTAGAAATGATGCTTTGAATATCATTTACATGCGGAAAGATTTCATAAAGGTCAGGTCCGCTGAAGTTCAAGCCGATCTTGAGGAAGTGGCAGCAAGCTGTGGCCATTTCAGTTTTTCATTGCAAGAGTTCGCCGAAGAATTGAAAGATTTCCTTGATATACTGGATGAATTGCAGCTGGAAACAGAAGAAAGGCCCGGTGGGCGATCGTGGGCATGGCTAAATCCTTGGTCGTCACATCGAAGGATCAATGGCGATGATAGTATATCCAACCCTGGTAGGCCCCAGAATGGCCCCAGCAACCATGACGCTCAATCTAGGCTGTATGCAATGCTAACCCACTTCAGATGTTTCAGTCCCTTCGATGAACCCAAAACTACTGGGTACCGTTACGTCAAGTACCTTGAAAGCAAAGGGAAGCCTCCGATTTAGGTTATGGAAGGGCCTGACAATATTTCGACGGGACGAGACTAAATTTGCCATCAAAGTGGGAGCCGGCGCCGCGCTCTACGCCTTGCCCTCCTTTTTACACTCTACGCGCCCTATCTATTCTCATTGGCGAGGCGAATGGGGTTTGCTCTCATACATGTTTGTTTGTTCCATGACCATTGGCGCATCGAACACTACAGGGTATGCACGATTTTTTGGTACTTGTCTAGGTGCATTTTGCGCGCTGGCAGCTTGGTACGTGACGCGTGCAAACGTCTTTGGACTGCTCTTCTTAGGCTGGACAATGTCTGCATGGACAGCCTACATTATCATCGGCCAGGGCCGTGGGCCGATGGGCCGTTTCATCATGCTGACATACAATTTGGTGGTACTTTACTCGTACTCCTTGTCACTAAAGGATAGCGATGACGGCCAAGATGAGGGTGGAGCAAGCCCTTTGGTTGCAGATATCGCACTCCATCGGGTTGTAGCCGTTTCATCTGGTATCGTCTGGGGTATCTTTATCACGAGAGTTATCTGGCCTATAAGTGCTCGGAGGAAGCTAAAAGATGGTTTGAGCTTGCTATGGCTCCGGATGAGTATTATTTGGAAGAGGGATCCTCTTTCCACGATGACTCGGGACGGCTCTGCAAATGCGTACTACACCACTAAAGAAAAGCTCGAGCTCCAGCGTTTTCTCGCCCACCTGGAGACTCTCCGCATTTCTGCTAACTCTGAGTTTTCCTTGAAGCGGCCGTTTCCTGATGCCTCTTATCGGGCTTGCCTTTCAGGCACACGCCGCATGCTGGACGCATTTCAGGCTATGAACCTTGAAATTATGAAGAACCTAACGGCATCAGAGGGTGAAGCCGCCATGCTAAGGCACACATTGGCGGATAGGAGGCAGCTCTCGGCAAGAATTACGCATTTACTTGCAAGTACGTGGATATACGCCTTGCAATCCATCTTTCAAAGGCATACTGACATCCTGTGAAGTTTTGGCATCGTCAATGAAGTTGGGATATCAACTTAATGACACGCCGCCAGATATCGACCACTCGAGAGATAGACTATTGGCGCGGCTTCATCATTTTCGAAAAGACCAAACAACATCCAGGCTAACGACTGACGAAGACTATGCCCTGTTATATGCATTTGGTATGTCGTTTTTTTGCGCGTTTGTTTTGACCCATGCTAAGAATTTCCGCTTCACCCTACAGTGCTAGTTACAGGCCAGCTGCGAGATGAAATCATGGCCGTGATAGACGAAGTAAGTAGGCTGTTTGGGGTCGTAAATGAAGATATTCTCGCTCTTCATTGATATATAGAGAGAGCCCGAGTAAGCCCATGTGGGCAGCAACATGGGCAATGCAACTAGTTAGTTACAATTGTAGTCAAAATCTCTTTTAGCAGCCCAGACATAATCGTTTGCAAAATAGTATATTTCGCGCATCTCTCAATTGTAGGGACCTGGAGTTGAAGTAACTAGATACAGGCTTTGTGATTCCTGCAATCCAAGACGACAAGCTTGATGTCGCTCACCAAAGTCCAACCTTCACCCGCCAAACCATCAAAACTTCCATCAACACTTCTCGACTTTCATCGCCGTTTCATGCCGTACCTATTATCCCATTATCATACAGGGGGTTTATTGCGTCTTCCGCTATAAATGAGGGTGTAGCTAGGTGGTCTCTGGCTTCGCGCAGCCCAGGCGCCCCGCGTCCACCTCGGCGATGCAGATTAACCCGGCGGCTTTGACAGGGACGGACTCTGCGTCGACGTCGGTCCCTGCTGTTAAACCTGCCATCTCTGCCCCTACAGCTACACAGAAAACTACAAAGGCGCTGATATCCGTTCCGCGGCTTGACTTTGAGCCCATCTACACGGAATTGAAGATAGCCGTTGGGGATAACTGGGTTGCGTACAAGCAAGCCACAACACTTTTCCTTCTAGGTATGTGCTGAACGCGAAAGATGCCGAAAAGATGAGGTGATATTTTGTGTTATTGCATTTGCTGACGTTTCCGATTTGTTATAGGGCATTTGAACCAAAATGAATTCTCGAGACGTGTTGACCACTTCCTATGCGCTGACCCCAAGCTGGAACATCTGCATAACAACTTCATCTGTGCCATAATTGGGAACCTCACCAGAGACCTTCCAGACCATGGCGTTGCCAGCTGGGTTTCTGCAAATGACAAGCCGACCGTGGTGTCGAAGCCGGCTTCTGGTGATGCCGCTGAGCAGCGACTCAAGACAGAAGTTATGCAGCTACAACCGAGAGATAGGAGAAGATTGAAAGCTATTCCGGAAGTAAGTGAAACTATACTGCGGCTAGGGTGCGGGCTGGGCTACGGGAGTGAGGCTAACATACATTTCTTTGTGCTGTAGCCGGACCCTCATGCTATCCCAAACCCTCTTGAGGAATACCACCTAGCGAAGCAGATACGAATAACGGATCAAGTTCCCGCCAACGCAGGAGGGCTGAATACGCCGAGTGAGTTTTACTCTCTCGGTTGTCGTGGTGTGAAGAATGAACTAACTATTGTTGCTATTATTATAGATTGGGAGCTTGAAATCCGAAAACGATATGCCCAACCGCTTGCTTCTGAAATAGGTGAATTCCCTGATGCCGAATCAATACATGCGCGCATGGTACCCATTTGCTACGAGGAATCTGTAACGAACGGAGCTTCGTTTCCCTGCGCCGTGTTCATGTCGATTGCTACCGAAAACTTTATCAAGGAATTTCTCTCGCACGTATTCGCACAGACGAGAGCGAATGGTCCCTCAGGAACAATAAACGGCACAATGACGAGAAAATATAGGCAGCAGCTGGAAAAAGAAGAGCTAGCCTTTTCTCGTGGAGAGTTAGTAAAGAATTCTGCGAATGGGTTATTGCCTGTCGAAGCAAAAGAAGCCAGCACGAGACAAGCCCTCGGCGTCCAAGATCTCAAATTTACATTGGATCTGAATGGGAACCTGTTAGGTCATATGCCGTTAATCGTCAATCAGATCATGAACGGTTACCTGGATGGAGAACTTGAAGCAGAACATGAAGGTTATCTGGAGCTTGAAGACGGCACACAAGAAGATCCATTTGAACCGGATGAAATGGATATCGACGAAGCTGGCTGGGACTGGCAAGGCGCAACTGCTGCAGATCGAGAGCAGTTGAACTCTCTCCTTGACGAGTGCCTTAGCATGGCTGCTTGAAAGATTCGCTCTGAGGCTGGATTTTCAAAGATAGTGTTGGTGAGTAACGCATTCTGCTGGCGTATACTGGATGGGGTTTTCCTTCCCACATTCCCCCGGCTTTTGGTTATGGATTCTTCGATGGTTTGGATTTGGGTCTGGGGTTCCTTTACTGGAAGGGCGTCTACTGTTTGATGATATTGATTGGAAAGGATTTGAGACGAATATTTATATCCACTTACTTTCCTTTACTGTAACATATTCTACCGGCATTCGAAGGTGTTTTTTTATTTTTTCAGAGAATTTCATTGTAGGGACGAACTTGTATATGTCGCCTGAGGGTTCGATAAGAAAGATTTGAGGGCCATATATGAAACCTTTCGAAAACAGGCTGTGTCTACTCGTACTCTGTATTATAAAACCAGAGGTCCACGCGGCTTGCCGTCAATTCAAAATAATAGTACAACGGTCACTGGGCGCAACAGCACACATTCCAAGAACCCATAGCACCCCATAACGCCACGCCATAGGGTCCAAATCCCCTGTCAATGATGCTAACAAACAAAATGGTCGATAGTCTAATTTAAATGTTCAGCTGTGAGCTTGAGAATTTCTTCCGTAGACTTGTGTGCATTCACTGGGTCTTTTGCAATCGTCTGCCAGATCTCCCCATGCTTGGGCTCACTTGCAATACATTTGTTGATGACATCTTCCCGTTTTTCCTACAAAGTAAGCCCGGTTAGTCAAGTTGAAATTGTGCAAAATGCAGGGCAGCGGTGAGAGGCACTTACCTCTGTTCCATGTTGCATCAGAAATTTATAGTACCAAGCCCATACATCTCCCAGATCGCTGTCCGCTACGATTGCCTTCTCAAACCACGTCATCGCTTTTTCCAACCTTCGTTCCCCCCAGAAGATCCGCGCGACAGTCAAAAACAGAATGGGGTCATTGTCCACCTTTTTGATGGCTTCAAGACTTCGAGGTTTCCGGTGTGTACGAGGCTCCAGGTGCCAAATACTTTCGCTCCAAAGAAGACCAGAAGTTGGAACTTCTTGAAGGGCCTTCGCCATTATTATCTTAGCCTGACCAATGTTATTGGCACGTCGTTCGATGCGGACACTTTCCGTCCATAGCTCGGCATTCTTAGGCACGGCGAGTCGAGCGCGATCAAGAATAGAACGCGACTTCACGACAACACCAAGTTTCTCTTCAAGCCGGGACGCAAGCAACCAGAGTGGCACCGATTTTGGGCACGCCCTCGTGCCAGTCCCATAAGCTTCACGCGCTTGAGGATACTTTTTCTCTGTTTCATAGATTTGACCTTTCATCATCCAGAGCTTATCAGCTTTTGGATATAATTGTAGTGCTTGGTTAACGAGATCAAGGGCGGCCTCTGTATTTCCCAACTGGCGCTCAAATGCCACACTTTTGATCCAAACTCGGTCAGTTCCAGCTTCACGACGTGCCGTAGCGAGGAGCTCCCTAGCTTGATCCGTTTGTTGAGCATCCGCTTCTAATTTCACAGCTGCAAGCCAGATATCTTCATTGTTAGGGTTTTGGTTGAAAGCCTTAGCAAGCACTCGTCTTGCATTATCAATTTCCCCAGCCTGCCATTTCTCCTTAGCAAGCTGCATCCACAAAACTTCGCTTTGTGGACAAGCCTCAACTGCTCTTTCAAGTAACTGCCAAAGACTCTCTTTTGTTCCATGCGCACGTTCCAGATCAGCCGCAGCCAGCCATACGGACCTTTTGTTGACGAATACTCTGAGCGCGTAAGCGTAAATAGCGCGCGCGGTTTCATATTTGCCCCTGGCGATACTTGATCTAGCATCTTCCATCCAGATATCTTTCCTATCATCATCTTCGTCCAAGCCCCAGCCTAAGGTCTCGCGGATTATCGCACCGCATGTCAGGACGGCCCCCTCTTCCTCACATTTCTCGGCTTCTCCGATCCAGTCTTCTCGTTTTGGCATAGCGGATTCTCGAGCAAGTGCTTGAACCGCTCTTTTCATTACGTTAACTTTATTTGCTGTCCCCATTTGCTCCTGGAGTCGTGCGGCTGCAATCCAAATTTCATGACTAGTGGGCACGGCTTTCCGTGCAGTATTCAAGACCTTTTGGGCATTCTCGGGCGTTTCTAGACGGGCTAACGCTAGCCACAATTCTACTGATAGCGGTATCATTTCAGTTGCCTTGGTAAGTAAGAGACGGGCATCAGCAACATCTTCTTCGAGGTTCACAGCTTCTTTCCATATTGCAACGGATTGAGGAATGTGGAGGATGGCTTGTCGGAGTACATTCTTTTTCGCGCGGGGTTCGGTTTCGAGCTTCATTGCTTCAATCCACAGTCGCGTCGAATTATCGTTATGTTTGATTGCATTTGCTGCAATAATTTTTGCATTGTGGTTGTCATTCAATCTGATATTCTCTAACCAAGCATCTTCACTTTTTGGACACAACTCGCATCCTTTCGCAATATAATTCCTTGCAGCCACAATTTTTCCTGCAACTTCTTCTAATCGCGCAAGAGCAATCCAGCCAGGAGCATGTCGAGGGTTAGTTTTCGTAACAGACTCTAAGAGTACTCGAACTCGTTTGATATCGCCAATTTCGACTTCTCCCGCTTTCATTTCAGACTTTGTCAGGCTGGTCAAATACCCCTTGGGGTCAATATTGGTAGCGTTTCCGGAGGCGGCATCAGCGGCTGAGCTCTGCGCCGCTCGATCCAATCTGGCTTGGAGAACCTTGTCCCTTGCAGCACCGATGTCGGCAAAATTGGTTATCGTGCCGTCAGCCCCTTCTCTGGTTTGAATCGACGTTTGGGTGCCGTCTTCCGCAACTGTAGTGGTGAACTCGGTAGAATCCCTTGCGCTTGCAATCACACTATCCGGAACTGCATAGAATCTTTGGCGTAAATTTTGTCGCGCGCGCCTGTTCTTGCCCGTGAGGTCTCCAACTTCAGGAATATTGGCCCAGTCCTCATCTGTGACGGTCGCCAACGAACGTTTTAGATCAGCGAACTGCTGCTGAATTTTGGGGTTGTTTCGTTCATACTCCTCTCGTTCTTGGAGTTCTCGGGCTTCCCTAAAGATATGGCGAAAAGGACATCATGTCGGTAATCTGCTCAAAAAGATCTTGAGGAAGACACGATAAACAACGGCCTATCAATTTGAAACGGGGTACGAAGGAAAACGGGATACTAACCTTCTAAGTCTCCGCCTTTTCTCCATCCTCTCGTCTATCTGCTGGTAGATTTGGTCGGCTTCGTCATCATCCTGATCGTATTGGCCGTATGCGAAGAGGCCGACTTCGTTTTCGGGATCCTGGAACCTTTCATCATCTTCTTCCTCCTCTTCCTTATGCTTTGCACCACCTTTTTCGCCTCGAGCAGAAGCGCCATAGGCTGTCGGAGGTGCTGTCCCCAGGAGCGCGGCTCGCTTCGCAAGAGCTTCTTGGATCTGCTCTGGCGTAGGTCCTTCTCGCGCGGGACCAAGATCAGAACGAGTTGTAAAACCGGTCGCGCCTCGACCTAGACCAGCAACGTAGTTTTCCGGCGCTGGCTGACTGAGAAAATCCTTGCGCCCTGCCATCTTGCTCCAGACGTACAATTCGTGCTGAAGAGAAATGGAGTCGACAGCGAGCTTGAGCTCAAGCATTCAATTTCAGGGCTTACCGCCATGACCAATGACTAAGCCAAGGCGGCAAAATTAACGGCGCCGCATTAATAAATGTCCGAATCTAGGTATTATGTAATCCTATACGCCCAAAAATTCCCACAAATTCTGAGAGCCGCAGAAGACACGGGCGCATAAACGAGATTGCTTGACGAGGTGTGGCTCTTGTATGCAATCTTATTTTGCTGTTGTCTTTGGACAGTATGCCAAAAGCACCACAGAAGAAGCGCAATAGCGCAGGCAAGGCTGGGCCCTATGCGCACGCCGCCGCCAAAACGAACGCTGCAAATAGCATCTTTCGTATGAACACAGATATCGGTCAGCACGTCTTGAAGAATCCAGGTGTCGCTCAAGCTATAGTTGATAAAGCAGATCTGAAGCAAAGCGATGTATGGGCTAAATTCATTCTCCTCACAACTGTCCGATTCTAACTGAAATATATTCAACATATAGGTCGTCCTAGAAGTCGGTCCTGGTTCCGGGAATCTTACAGTCAAGATATTAGAGAAAGCCAAGAAGGTCGTCGCAGTGGAATTAGATCCGCGAATGGCGGCCGAAGTTACAAAGCGCGTTCAAGGAACGCCTGAGCAAAAGCGACTGGAAGTTTTACTTGGAGATGTGATAAAAACGGATCTACCATATTTCGATGTTTGCATCAGCAACACCCCATATCAGGTAGACGTTTGTTGGCTTAATAGCACGCTCAAGCCCACACAATTAACGGCTTTTAGATTTCTTCTCCGTTAACCTTTAAACTCCTTGCAACCACGCCCGCTCCCCGAGTTTGCATTCTCATGTTTCAACGGGAATTCGCCATGCGACTCTTTGCAAAACCTGGGGATAAACTCTATAGTCGGCTATCCGTTAACGCCCAGATGTGGGCGAAAATCGATCATATCATGAAAGTAGGCAAAAATAATTTCAAGCCGCCCCCCGCCGTTGAATCGAGCGTTGTCCGTATCGTCCCGAAGGTTCCCCGACCTGACATTAGCTATGATGAATGGGATGGCTTGCTCCGGGTTGCATTCGTGAGGAAGAATAAGACACTACGGTCAAGTTTCCTCGGAACATCTAGTGTTTTGAATATGCTAGAAAGCAACTATACAACGTGGTGCGCTCAAAACGATATCCCCGTCGAGGTCGGCCCAGAGGAGGACGGCGAAGACGAAGTTATGGGCGACGATCAAGAGGATGCTGACCTTGACGAGTTGATGGACGTTGACGATGACGAAATCCCCGATTTCTTTAAAGAAAAGCATGATCCAGCATCACAGGCCGTCAAGACAAAACCCAGCAAAAAACGGGGAAAAGTAGCGAAATTGGTTCGCGAAAAGGTTAGACAGGTCCTTGAGGACGATACGGAGCTCGCAGATAAGCGAGCAAGAATGTGTGATGAAGGCGACTTTTTAAAACTTCTATGGGCATTCAACCAGAGGGGTATCCATTTCAGCTGATTGTGTCCGCGGCATTAATGATAGCCACGCCACGATTAAACTCCCGGTCCTTGCTTTCTAAACATTTTACCCGGAACTCACTGTGCCAGACCGGAGGTGGGCACTGGAATCCTGGAAAAGACTCTGCCAGATAAATGCTTCGCTTAAAAGGAGTTCGATATCTTTTTCCGTCCATTCGCGCGTCGGCAATGCTTGCAAAAACATCATGATTTCCTACACACCAATTAACCAACTGCGGTGACTATATGATCGGATGACGAACCTGGAAATCCATTTTGAGCAACTGATCAGACCATTTTACCAAAAATGCGGCACACACGTAAAGGTGGAAGCGAGAAAATCCTTGTTCCTCGGCCTAAAGGGAATTAGCTAAATCACGCAAATGCCTTGCGATTCCTTACCATGTATGTATCCCACATTCTGATGGTATTTTTGATGCTAATCTCTCGCATCAGTAAGCAATTCATCCATCGAAAACTGAATTGCATAAATTCGATGCCCTCGTTTTCCAGATGTTTTGCGAGTGTTGCATCAATGCGCCTTGTAAGATCGTGCAACGCATTTACCTGGCGATGGATTCCTGGTTGAGCATATATGTAGTTGTCCTGGATGCCATCTAGGAGTTTTGTCAAGCACCAAAAGGAATCGGCCTCAACTGCGTTGAGGACCTGTTTCGGCAACTGTCCGGGGTCCATGCCCTCCTCGATATCAAAATTCGTCACATACGAACTCAGGAACACCTGCCAGAATGGTGTAACGAGATCGTTTATACCTTGAACATATCCACTAGCAGGATGCCGAATAGCCCACACATATAAAATTCTCTCCAGGCAACGCTGCGTAGCTTCAAAGCCATACAACGGAATGTGTGGGTTTGTTCGCGGTATATCAATGCTGATTTGGTGCCATATCGCTTCGTCCAAGCCACGACCGGTTCCGGGAGCTGGGTTTGAGGACGAGTCGTCTCGGCCAGAATGGTTACGCTCAAAAGCCTGCTGAACTCCATCCAGATACTCTTTTCGTTTTCTTTCCAAAGTGCTAACCCTACGATCGCTGTTGGTTGGTAAATAACCTAGGAGGAGCTGCCACGTCATTGCTCGGACTTCTTCTGGAATACCTGACCAAGCTAGATCTCGGAGTTCAGGCAAAGACACAGTGCTTGATTGAAGGAGGCGCTTGAATTTATTGATTCGACTTATTCGAGCTGAATGTGCCTCTATTTGTTTGGAGGTAGTGCCTGCTGGAGGTGGCGAATGGTTTATTAAATGAAGGGCATTTGCTGGATCTTGTGGCTCTGTTAGGAGGGAACCACTGGTAGTTCTGAGAAGCTCTTACCATTCAATATCTCTTTGTATTGCGGTCTCAAGATCTTACCATCCGATGCTTTTGCATTCGGATAGGAAAGAGTTCCCCGCTCTTCTGCGATATCCGAACTGTTGGCTCGTAGGCGCATACCAGCAATATCGGGTGCTAACACTGAAGAGCCATTAGTAGAGCTCCCCGTTTGGTTGTCGAGGCTGCTTCCTGTGGTGCGCGTTCGGCGCAAATCATGGAATTTCGACTTCCGCATGCTTGTAACACTCGGGAGTCCGAACTCATCTTCGTCGTCATCATACGCCAATTCATCATCGTTATCGCCATCATCGCGGTCATGATGATCGTGATTGGAATTCCAGGCTTCTCCTGCTTGTGGAAGTAAATTACGATAGGGCTGGCGGGGCGATGTTAAGTTGGAATCACTGACATTCCGATGGCCCCGAGTTGGTATTGGCGATTTAGAAGGAGTGTGCGGCCCGGAATGTGGCGATACAGTCCTAGCAGCCCAAGCAACAGTGTTAGTCCGTAATTCAAGTTCTGCTTGCAAAGATGGACGTACTTCAGTAGATCAGCGTGAGAGTAGGACGCTCCTACTACTGTATTGGGGTTAAATATCCTATTAGGGCTCTGTCGCTGCGACGAAGGTTGGCTTCTCCAGAATGAAGACCCTGTCCTGCTATGTTGAATTAGAAAGGCTTTCCGCGCCAACGAGCCAGCAGGCCAACATACTCGATGTGATCTGCACATAAGGAGCAGCACACCGGGATTAGCAAGCAGCCCTGACAACTGACTGAACAACATGATCGAAATCCAGAGTCTAGTCGAGCTAAGATGAGGCACGGACCGACCTGAACCATCTCCTTTGCATTCATAGAAGTTAGCGACGGGAGTTACCAAGTGTGGCCAAATCCCCGCATACCTGCTGCTGCAGTCCTTTCTGTTGCTGGCCTTTCCTAGCCATTGTTTCACAACTGGAATCGAAACACAAACCCAAGCTGCTGAGCAAACAAACCCGGTCTCAATTGAGCTCTCCAACGAGCGCTGCCGGACATCTTCCCACACGAATGACTGGCGGCGATGACGGAGGTGCGAGTTGACTAATTGGGTTTAGTGCCTGGCGGTGACTGCCAAGCTTTTCGAGGTCTCGCCCTTTGCTTTGCCAACCTCGCCTCCATCTTTCTTTCTTCCTCCTCATCTCAATCCTCTTCCCTTCACATCCGCAACCAATCTATCCTTGTGTTAACGGTTCTGCAGTTGCTGGCTTGCAGGACTAACATCTAAGCTGATTAGGGTATTCTCAACCATTGACTTTCAACCATGACTGAGCCAGAGGACGTTGAGGAAGATCTCTTCGCTGATTTGTGCGTTATCTCCTCCCCTAGTTGCTATTGAGTTCTTTACTGACTTCATGCTGTCCAGGTATGATGCTGATGAGACAACTCAACCAGCTGCCCCTCCAGCTTCGGCTCCGGCTCCGACTCCGGTTCCAGCTGTCATATCATCGACGCCACATCCTGGAACAGCAAATCTATCACAGACACAGCTAGCTCAAACACAACCTCAAGCACCATTTCAAGCTCAAACTACAGAGAATTATGAGCCAGGCTCTACAGATGCAGCAAATTATGAGCAGCCAGGTGGTCAAAATGGTATTTCACAGTTTGACGTTGCAGCCCAAGTGGACAGCACAAGCTTAATGAACACACAACCAGAAACCCAAGGGACTGGTATTAAAGAAGATGGGTAAGTTCTATTAAGTACATCCTCTTTGGTTATTTGTGGGCTTCAAGGTTCTGGGCATGGGCAAAAGGGCTACACGACAAACTTTTGGGGGATCGCTTGAAATGGCCATCAAAGCCTTTGAAACCAATTCTATCACTTTCGCCTTCGACACAGAAAATCTCTATGGCTCGTCGATGTGATGCCGATTTCGCGTACATCAACAAATAATGATGTTTTGATCGCGGCTCTTAGCGCTATCACTCTTGGCTGCTACCCTCAATTCTGGTTCCTCCTACTTGGAGATGCAGACCAGCTTCCAGCATGGCTTATGCGTCGCATTCAGCTCCATCACAACTGTAAAGGGGCCGCCTAGTCGATTGTGTGGATTTTCTGCGGGCGTGTGGATTAAGGGTAGTGGATGGTTGCAGATGATCAGCAGTCATACATGGAGCGTTCGGAGAAGCGAAGTTGATAGCATAACACTTGGTGTCAACTGGGATTGCCCTGTATGCACGGGTTGTCGATATGATTTAAGTGACGGGCATTAGTCTTGCGCGATCCGCTTTGAAAGCGACTATGGTACAACAGATACTATATAACTCCTGTCGATATACCTTGATAGATCAGAGCAAGGAGTTCAGGTACTTCGGCTCTTTTCAATATGGACAATCGAACATTACCTAGCTTCGGAGTCTTAGAAAACAGGCAGGATGATCGGGCAGAAACAAAAAATCAATTTTGTCTCAATTTTGAGCTCCGGAGATCCAAATTCCAATTCCTATACATGTGCAGTCTCGATTACCTTGGGAGATCTGAGTCTCAACAACTTCGTTCGCCTCCGCAGTAAAGCCACTAGCCGCGCCCTCAAGCTGGATACCGATTGCCACGCATGCCGAGAATGGAAAATGATCGAGAAATAAGTTCAATCAGCGCTTAGCACAGAGCTCGACGGCCGCAGCCCACCGCATATCAGAATGTCTTTAGAGTGACGGAGCCGTTGAACCGGTACCAACTTGCTTATACCACCGGTTAACCGATGAGCCCACGAGCCCTGCCCTTCGAAAATGCCCAGACCACCTGCAAGATCATACCTATTAATTCTTCATAATCTCTTTTATGCAATGTTGATAGGATACCTGTTTACTAATCGCTTTCGCGTAGCAAAATGTTCATTGGAGGGCTTAATTGGGAGACGACTGATCGTACGTGTGCAGGCTCTTTTGACTATTGCCGCCTAAAGTCCTAGGCTAACTCGAACTTTCAGAATCTCTTAAAGACTATTTTTCACAATTTGGGGAAGTCCAGGAATGCACTGTGATGCGTGATGGCGCTACCGGTCGGTCAAGGGGTTTTGGTTTCCTGACGTTCAAGGATGCGAAAACTGTAAACACAGTAATGGTGAAAGAACACTACTTAGATGGCAAGATAGTAAGTCATGATCTTTCAGGATTCTCTATATTCGAGAATCCCAAAGCTAATATCAATATTAGATTGATCCTAAGCGGGCTATACCTCGAGATGAACAGGAACGGACGAGTAAAATCTTCGTCGGGGGAGTTAGTCAAGACGCAACTGAACAAGACTTCAAGAAATTTTTCATGCAATTTGGACGGGTCGTGGATGCGACCCTCATGATCGATAAGGATACAGGGCGCCCTCGAGGTTTTGGATTCGTAACCTTTGACAGTGAAGCTGCTGTTGAAGCTTGTCTTTCACAACCACTAGAAATCCTTGGCAAGCCGATTGAAGTGAAAAAGGCGCAGCCTCGGGGTAACATGAGAGAAGAAGAAGATCGTAGATTGCGCGGACGAGGGTTCCAAAATGAAAGATTCAAGGACGACAAATCGGGCTCGATGGATGCTGCACAGCAAGGTGGGCAAGGCCAGGCAAACGTCGCGAACACTATGACGCCCCAGATGATGGCGCAATATTGGCAACGCATGCAACAATATTTTGCCATGATGCAACAACAAATGGCGGTTGCTGCGGCCCAAGGCCAAGGAATGGTTGGTGCCCCAGCGATGGGTGGTATGAATCCCGCAATGATGCAGCAAATGCAACAGTTGAAACAAATGCAGCAAATGAACCCTATGGCGGGAGCCCAGCCGCAAGGAGCAGCGATGAACCAGCCAGCCCAGGCCGCAGTTTCGCAAGGAATGCAAGGCATGATGAATCCCATGATGATGCAACAAATGCAGCAGATGCAACAGATGCAACAATTACAGCAAATGCAGCAGCTGCAAAATCAACCCCCAGGCGGAACCCGGGTTACTGAACTTGTATGCCATCAGATGACCGTGGGAACTGCGATATGAATCAAGCATGACCAGCGACCGGGTGAATGGGGGGAGCTGAGAGCAGCAGCAGTCGCAATTTTAGCGGAACCACGGGGGGGCCCAGGGTACAACGCCACGAACAGCTTGCATTCGAACAGCAGAAATACGAACAACAACAGGCTCGTCGACCACTCGATCCACGCAATTACAGCGGATATCAGCAAGGCAGTCCTGGAAACTGGGACAACAACTACGAGGAGCAGCCCAACATCCCAACGGGTCCTCAGGCTGCAATGGGGCGCGGAACACCAACGGGACCCAGTGCAATGTCCCCAAGCCCGGGACTGGCAACAAAGCAGCCGCAAAAGGTTACTACTCCACAGCCACAAAGTGCTCCTCCGGCCAATGCTCCCACCGGACCACGGAATGCCGGAAAGCCTGGTGCTAATTACCGCGGTGGTGGGCGGGGTGCGCATCGGGGGTTTCACCCTTATGCCCGTGGTTAACTCTGTTGAACTGTCAGTATTGCCTTTTTCAGCAGAATCACCTATCTTCCAGCCAACGTGCAATTCAATTTTCCGGGTGTTCGAGGGGGTATGATGTTTTGGTGCGTTGAGTTTGCTTTTTGTCGCCCTTTGCTTAGGAAGTTTCACTGATAATACAAACAATGTATGCTTTTTTTCCTTTATTCAGGCTGATGGGAGGCTCAGATGCTCTGGGGTTGTTTCTCGTTTTTGCCTGTTAACTGTATTGCGAAGAAAACATGAGAAGTTGGTGCAGAAAAGACCATATTTTCCATAACATTTTGCCTTCTATTGTGGTTTCACTCCTTTTAATGTGTTATTCAATTGCTTTCTGTCGAGTGTAATTATTAACTATGGTAACTCCCAAGAATGCTATTTATCCAAAGATCTGCAGATTGACTCGTGCTATGTCAAGAGTCAACTATCTAAGACCATGCCACGTACTGACGTGCAGCAAGGAGTACATCATAGTAAGAGGCCAGGTTAGATGTCTCAAAGCTATCTGATATTCACACAAATCGAATGTCCCTAATCAATGTCCTCAATTAAATAAAACAAGGCCCAAGGTTCGACTAAAGGATCGAGATAGAAGGACTTATTGAGAAAATAGGGCTTGCCGAAGTACTATAAAGCGTAAAGAAAAAACAGAGAAATGGCAAATCCAAGTTGCAATTCAAGACCCCGGGTTTTCGTGTCGTAGCCACGCAGCGAAAGACGACACCAAACGCCCGGATTCACAAGAGATGCGCTTGTTAGGGAGCTGTAAAACATGACAAAAAGAAATATTATCTCGCTGAAGAGTTTTCCACTTTCAACTAGAAAGAGTACTGCTTTTCCATACCTGCAGCTGGATGGAGATAAAAAATAATAGCAAGCCACCTCCCACCACCGTTTCCGAATAACCCCCTGAAAGTAATGTATTAAGTAAAGGAAAAATCAAATAGCAAAGAGACTGAAAGTTTTGAAAGAAACACATGAATAGTTACAACCAACGGTGCTGATAATATTCTGCACAGGTGGCCCATGGAGCATGCTCAACATAGTAGACAAAGAATGAAAAAAAGAGAATGAAGGAAAAGTCTGAGGATGAATCGTACAAATGTCAAAATCTAGCCTCTCGTTGACCGTTTTCGAAGTCCGAAGTCTTGTTCTTGTAGCTCTTTGATCAGTTTCAAGCTCTCTTCGTCCGCATCAACTTCAGCAAAGCTGACTCGATCACGTTTTCCTGATTTCGATTGACGCTGGGGTGACGTAGGAGTATTATGGTGACGGATTTGGCTGGGGGATCCTCTCGTTCCGGTAGAAGTGTGGAAGTGCTTCACTTCCTTTGTCATGGCGTGCTTCGAGCTATGAGACGAGGAGGGTCGAGAAGGTGGCTTCGGATGTTGGGAGGTTGTATCCGTTGAGGTAGAAATTAATTTTTCCTGAACTTGAACTGGAACACCATGTTTTGTTTGTTCAGCATCTTGAGTCGCGGAGGTCATGTTTAGGGCCGTCAGGTGAGGAGTTTTGGGTGAAGTCGGTGTGTTAACGTCAACTGCATACCCACTATTGCGCTCATTTAGCATTGACGGATGTACTGCTTGGGAAGGTTGATGCGTAACGCCATCGAGATCATCATGCAGGGACGTTGGCGGCGATACAAGGCTGTCAGCCGGCGGAACTTGACCTAGAATAGCTCTAGGTTGAGAATGCGCATCCCGCTCGGCATTTACAGCTGGGGGAGATGCATACGTATCGCTTTCAGCCTTCCCATTTGTTGGCTCTAACACAGTGCGAGATGACCCATTCTCCAAGTTTGAATAACCAGCTGAGTTATCTATCAGCTTTTTCTGAGGCCCAGAGTGAGCCCCTGCTGTTAGCACAATACTATATTCTTCCTCTCCTGTTCTGAACGGCGGGTTTTCTAGCCTTTCGTCAAGCTTTTCGTTTGGCTTCGATTTCTTGGATGCGGAGAGATAACCATCACTAGAACGTGGACGTTTTGTGGGACCGGTCCGCGGTTTTGCTCGTTCTTGAGCTTTGATCGGATCTATTCTGCCTGATTCATCATGGATACAACGGCGCTATAAACATTAGAATGATATCCACGTAAGTTTCACAGTACCAATGGCAAATACCGACCTTGCTCTTTCTGCATTCTTCACATGCTTTATTCCTTCCTTTTTTCGCTGAAGCATTCGGGCTGTTGCCATTAATCCCGGATATACTGCTCGCATTTACATCCTGTTGCGTGAAAAGAGCACCTGCGCCATCGGGAGGTGATCCTGCGCGGTTGACAACCATATCATCGTCAGCCGGCATATTAACAGCATCGATTGACAGAACATCAGAGTTTCTCCGGATATGAGTCTGGGTATCGTTCGCATCTGGGCTTAGGGTCGCTAGGCCTGACATCGCGTCATCATTTTGTTCGGCTTTGTGGCGACAGCGAATACGACGTTTCCTACATGCATCGCAGGCTACTCTTTTGGGACCAAGACTTGTAGTTTTGGAAATTATTTTAGGGCCGTGGTCTTCTTCGAACTTGATGTCCGGAACCGACGCCTTCCTCTTTGATGGAACCGGGCTAACTTTGTCCGAGATAGATAGAGAGGGTGCGGTTGAGAGTCTATTTTCCCTATTCTGGCCTTCAGCTGGCTTCGAGGCATCTGATACCACACTAGCCCGTCGATCCCCAGTATTGACATTTCGTTCAGACCGTCTTGTTGGGCGTACTGGTCGCTTCTTGTCCGAGATATCGACCTTTGTATCAAGGGATATCGCTCCTGGGCGTGTCCATTGAGCAGCAGGCTCATTGCCTCTCTTCCACGCGACCCATAATCCGAATTTCACAATTATTTCTATAGGGTCGCCTTGGCCTTTGGGAATTGATCGACTCACTGCATTCCTCGTTTCCTTTGTTACTCCATCTACCATATACCCCCCAGCGATTAAAGCAGTTCGTAGTAAATATTTGGCAAGGTCCGGGAGGCCATCGAGCTCTGCTTGCGAATAAAAGCGGGAGTTATAGTAATCGGAGCCTGGTTCTGCCTTGTTTTTGTTTTCTCCGAACTCGTAGTAAAGAGGATATTCACGATGAAAACGGTAATTTTCATCTCGAGCAAAGGCATCCAGAACACTTTGAGGAATCGGGTCTTCGTCAAGATATTTTAAGGCGGCGTACCACATAAGCTTTTGGAAGAAGGGATAGCGAAATTTCCTTGGGACCTTTGTATCCTTCTCGATCTGCGCGACTTTGATTTGCATCCCGTAATTCATCTTCGTGAGAAAATTACCCCCAATGACGAGACTGTCCTCCGGCGTCCACACTGCGTGGATCCAACCAGATGGAATGAGCATGGTATCACCTTCAAACAAATCAACCCGATAACATTCCTTAGTTTGATCCCCGAGGAAGGTTGTGTCTTGAGCAGCAGAATTACACCATTCTTCATATTTCTTCAAGTGCTTTTCTTTGGGAGGAATGAAGAAAAACGTTTTCTTTCCCTTTAAGATGTGATAGTAGACGGATGAGCCACCAAAGTCGACATGGAAATCAGTATAACAGTCTGCCACGGACATGAGGCAATAAAACTGAACCTTGGGGTAGTCGCCAATCGCCTTGAGCTCGGCGGGCCAAACAGAGTCCTGAAGATCAAGGTCGCGGACTATTTTAGGTCGACGGATCAATCTTCCAATTGGGCTTTGTGACACTTCAAGACTGATGACGTTTCGAACTGTTTTCGTGGAACTGGTGTCATAGTAATACTCGACCCATTTCTGCATGTTCCACCTTTTATCTTCGCCTTGCTGGGACTTAACATCGATAACTTCGACTCGTTCATCCAGGCCATATAGTTCACCCACTGCTCGGACGGTGAGGTTGTCTGGGATGACCATGTCGAGCAGGTCTTGGCAACAATCAATCACCTCTTCGCAATCGTCGTCCTTGGGAAGGTTGTCGATAATGGCATCAAACTCTTCCTGGCTAGAAGCCGCTGTGAAATTGGGGTAGTAACCCTCGGATCCCAGCGCTGAAGCAGGAGTACGACGATTCAGGTGAGCAGGTATAACGACGGGTTCAGTCATTCCTATGCCATGTTCAAAATACTCTGCAGTCACAAACTCCGCAGGCAGACGAGCAAAGCGGTCAGGTAAAAACGTCATTTTTCCTTCTTTTATGGGTTGGATATAATGGTGATCGGGAGCTTCCGCTGATGGCTTTACGAAGCCTTGGTTCAAACCGGCATAATCGATGGATGTCTTTGGTCGCGATGACTTGCGCACGTAAGTTGTTGGTCCATGTATTGGCCGGCAAGGCTTGCATATGAATTTGTCCACAGTTCGAATCTCACGGTCCGTTTTGAACCCAGCGCATACAATATGGAACCATCTATTACACCCATCGCAATTGACCCAAGTAACCTCAGCATCATCACCGTTGCTTGTGGGTACACGGACTAAGTTGCACGCAGCACAACTTGCTTGGTTTGACGAATCAGTTTCACCACCCTCGCTTTTGACGCCAGGATCGGACGGACGTGGACGAGGCCTGGATTTAGACGTTCGTTTTGGGGGGCGTAACACTGTCTTGTCTTCAACTGGTAATGTGCCCTCCTTCCTATGCCCGTCTAAACCATTTGTATCATCTTCTAGAACCGATCCCATTAATATCGAGTGTTTCGGGGACCCAGAGTTATACCCGTTCATTACTGGTCGAGACAGGGCGGCTGCACCGTCAGACCTAGAGCGCATTCGTGACGGCGTGGTTCCGGAACCGGCAAAATATGCAGCTGAGATTTTGCTGTTGGAAACATCGGACTCATCTTCCGGGATGTTAGAAGGAGGCATACTATTCCACTTCGGTTCCATATTCGTAGCCTGAGGGATCCCGCTTGAGAGTTGTTGCGCAGGGAGAAATTGCGGCCGCGGGGGAAAGTTAACCGGCCTTGCGAAGTTTAGAAGCAGTTCCGCATCAGTCTTCATGCTATCAAAAGACGCATTATGGCTAGTTGCCGGCCTAGCACCGGGCCTCTGCCACGCAGGTGAAGGTGACCTTTCCGACCTGGCCCGCTTTGACGGTCTTTCCGTCGACTCATTATTGACAGGCGCGTACGAGGGCGCAGAAGTATCACCACCAGAAACGGAATTATAAGAAAGTGGCGCAAATCTAGCTCTTGTGGCAAGCGCAATGGTAGCCAATGTATCAATGTTCGAGCCGGATCTTGAGTGGCCTACTCTACCGATAGGTTTCGCTTCGGCAGTAGGCTCCGGGCGACCGTTAGACTCTCGGGGTTCGTCCAGGCCACACATCACTTGTGTATGCTGAAAAGTAGCTGAGGCTTTGCCGGGATCACTGGCGCTGAAGTCCCACGATGGGCGATAGTTGGCCGGGGCTTGTGGGGAGATTGGCTCGACAGCATGTCTCGGTGGGGAGGGGGTACGATACTGAGGAGGCCGGCTGGTGGAAAGTCTGCGAAATGACATGGAAGCAGTCATAGTCATAAATAACTATGCTCGCTGAAGGGATCGAGGAAGGGATAAAGCGGATGCGGTTCAGGTTCTTGCGGTAAGGTGGGGAAGCCGATTCGAGGGAGGGCGCACGTCGCTCTGTTTAGGTGGCGGAGGGTATGCGGCAAGTCATTCCTAACGGAAACGACCGAATGCGTTCAATAGCGGCGTGCAGGCAGCAGAAAAGCGAGTTTGCTGGAAAGGGCTGAGGATCGATGGGCTGGCTGGCGACGGAGAAGATAAAGGAGGATTCGCTCAGTTGCCAGTGCCCAGGGCGAACCGCTGTCGTGCGGAGTCGAGGGTGCAATGGGCTTGCACCATACACGATGGAGCGCGTTCGCGCGGATCACTGCGGGAATGTCCGTATTTGCAGCGAAATGAAGAGGAACCGCCAGGAATTGGGATCGCGACCGAGTGTCTTGGTGAGATGGAGAGGAATGACAGACGATGAAGCGGCGTCGGACTCCGTTCGCTGCCTGTATTGGGAGAACGGATCACGTTACTAATGCAGAGCTATCCGTCGTACAAATACGGTAATACCGTTACCACACCCTCGTTCGAGCATCGAAGGGCAGTGATCTAGTCAAAAGCTGTTGATGCAGGATATCCTAGAGTGTCAGAGGCTTCTTGCATGTTATTTACATATATTCGCAGAGTAATAACTGGTGTGTGGACAAATGGGAGCGTGTAGAAGCCCTTCAATCTCTATGGATTCCATTCTGAGTCCAAGGTAAGACAACATAAGCCCTTGCATTTATCCGACTATCAACGGCAATGAGATTGCTATGGATTTGACAAGGTGAGATGAAGGCTACAAGATTCATAGACTGTTGGTGCAGAGATAGTTCATGCGTAGATGTCAATTGAGAGGAAGAGCTGCAGAGATGGGACGGATAGGAGCAATCTCACCTTCAAAACTTCACCAGCTTCACAAGATTGAGCCCTCCATGATCAACCAGCCCTCAGTAGCAAGTGAACAGGCTGGTTTGGCCTGAGGAAACTGCAGCATCCAATCATCACGTCAAAAGCATCCAGCTCGGCGCGGTTGCCTACATAACAAAGTGCTTGCTGTGAGAAAAGAAATCTCCTCCTTTCCCGCTTGACACCTTTCTTTTCCCACCATCACCAACCAACTTCCGTCTGATCTCTTCACATTCTCTCATCCAGGCAAACTCCCTCTCCTCGTCATTGTCCTTCATTCCCAAGGTGTGCTCGGACCAGCTGCTTGATTGAGAGCCAAGTGGTGAATCACGTGGGCGCTAAGATTAACGTCTTGCATCAGCAGATCCGCCGAATCCCTCCGTCTCTTCCTCGACCCTTCTCGAATCTCTGATCCGTGCAGCATTCGAAACAGTTCGCCCTTTGAAACCAAGACTACAGAGCTATGAGCCGTAGCACAAAACTCGCCCCCGAAGCTAACAGGTATGGCCTTCTCATTGCCCTTTCTCGTCCATTTCCTCAGGCCCCGCCATGCCGGCCCATCCCTTCACTTGCAGCCCCCACAGTGCTTGGTGCCTTGCTAATCGAAGTCGTTGGTTAGGATCCTCTTCGTAAAGAACCTTAGGTATGCGATGGCTGCTGCTTTCCGCGATCCGTAGCGAAAACTAATTCGACCGTTCTACATCCAGCTACAACGTTACTGCAGACGAGCTTTTCGACCTCTTCGGAAAGTTCGGACCTATCCGGTAGGCCATATCAGGCCGCTCACTCTTGTCGTCATCAAGCTTGATCTAATCACACTCCTCAGACAAATTCGCCAAGGCATTGCCGCGAACTCCAAAGGCACTGCGTTTGTGGTATATGAGGACGTTCATGATGCCAAACAAGCCTGCGACAAGTTGAACGGGTTCAATTTTCAGAACCGATACCTTGTTGGTGAGTTATCGATCCTTCGTGTTTGCTGCTACTAAGTTCTCCGGCCATATATTTCTAATGGTATTCTGAATTTGTCTAGTTCTATACCATCAACCTGAAAAGATGGCAAAATCGAAAGAAGACCTTGCAGCACGACAAGAGAATCTGGAGAAGCTCAAGCAACAGCACGGCATCGAATAAACCTGCATTGTGGTCTCTTTTTGTTTTTTAGCCTAAACGTCGCTCCTACGGTCCTAGAGGCTCTGCATCCCGTCAACCGCCAGTCCACCCCTGCGACTGTTGCAGTCTTGCTTTTACTGTGAATGGCTCACGCCTCTTGAATGATACTCTGGCTTTGGGGTTCGGCTTTGTGGTTTTGTTAATTTATGACACTTACAGCATGGGTTTCCAGACGAATGGTACTGGAGTTCGGGCGGTAATACGGCAGACTAGCAATTACCATATCTTTTTATGTCGCTTTGGAAGCTCTGATATCTCGGTCTATAATTATCCGTATATAATCCCACGCCCGGGAAATGTGGCTCGAACACGTCCATGTCGGGTTTCACCTCTGGGAGCTGTAAAAGGAATTGTACGAGCAAAAAGGGCCCCCAAGCATGATCTAACCAGGATGATTCGCGCTGATCACTAAGATGACAAAGGAGGGCCAACGGCCTACTACTTGTCACACCAGCAATGTTCTCCCAAGGTTCCTATATCAGAGTCTAAAGCCGAGCACATTGAAACGGTATTGATTTACCGTTCTCTTGATATCTCGGCCCCTTCAAAGTAGCAATTCCATCCCCAGAAGATTTACAGATCATCCTTGACCCAAATTACGAAAGGCTAACAGTAACAAAAGCACTATGTGCTCCGTAAGAAGGCGATATATGATAGTTAAGTTGAGTTAACTAGTTAACTAGTTAGTTAACCATTTCAACCTCAAAAACAGACCACGCTCCAGGTTAACATCTCCAACAACATCCTACCGACCTACGGCGCGCTAATACTACAGTACGAATTATCGAGGTGACGAAGGACGCTGGAATTCAACTTCTGCTGGAAAAAGCCAATATATGACCACCAGGATGATTTTCTGAGCGTTGTCCGGGATATCAGCCCCTATGAGATCCAGCTTTGTCAGATTCCACATGGGACTGGGTGCAAATCTCATTTGCCAGGGTGAAACCGAGCTGAGGATAGCGAGGAGTGTCGCTAGACTCCGACGGTTGTATCGTCTTTAACAATTCCATCGCCTCATGCACCCTGTTATCCTGGACTACCGTCAATCTCCGAGTATGTCTTTCACCGATAACTCGTGGTGCTTGTTGACAATATCTTTTAAGCGCTGCCACAGCTGTTCGGAACCCTTGGGAGGTATTGCTGTTGAACCGACACATCTCCCAATGGTCCGCACTCATGCCGCATCTTTCTGTGTTGTCGATGATAGGTGCCGCGCTGTGTACATCCACCATAAAATCTCTAGTGAATCTCAGATTTAGTTTTTCTTGCTCCCAAAAGAAATATATGCGGAAGTTATGGAGGAGCGGGATAAACTGATCGTTGATGTTCCGCAGTACTTCTGATTCCGTTTGTAATGCGTTCAAGAGTGCTGAATTCAAGTCCATAACTTGTTTTGGAAGTGCTAACGAAGCTAGCCTTTGAAGCCTGCTAACAAACCGGGATCTATCAGTCCCATGGTGAGGGGTGCCGAAAAAGAGTATCCCATAAGTGCAAGTATAGATTGAGTGCACATTGCTTAGCTTAGGGCCGACGCGACTAGCCGCATACGCAATCGCCTGGACGTCATTTAGCACTTGGTTAACTGGCCAGCAACAATACAGGAGGTGCTTTGCTCCCACGAAACATACCCTTTTTACAATAAGCCCCCCCAAGGAGTGGCATATGAAGATTATGGGACGACTTGTTGCACCTTCAAGCTGCCACCCAATCATATGAGCAACTGTCTCGAAGCGAGAATGGCATATAACTAACTAACTTACCTCTCTATCCGCGTCAAGTTCAGCAACAAGGGTCTGTGCGTAGTGAAGAATGTGGTTTGCGCTGGGATTTTGGCCACGAAAAGTCGTTAGATTCGCGTTGTATCCCCATGCAAGAACCCGAGCATTCTTAACATATTTTGGCAAAAATGCAGGATGACTCAGCCAGCAGATGTTCTCTGATGTCCATGTTTTGACTGCATGGCCGTTCGGCCCGTGTACTGCGACTATACTACGGACAGAGTTAGGCTCAAGCTTATAGAAAGGTAGAAAACACTCCCAGTGACTCACTCTACCTCTGCTGGCTGGTCTAATGGATGGTATAGTCGGTGGATTCCAAAAATCTGCTGGGACTCTTCCATTGCTAAAACTGTTGGGCCCGCGGGTGACCGATGTTAGGGCTATACATACTCGTGCTCAAGACGGAGGATTGCCCTCTAGCGCCCGATATCTTATATACCCTGACCATTGCGACCCCACTCCGAACAGCATGCAGCTGGTCGCAATTAAACCAATCACTTTTGCATTCTTAGCCGGCCAAGCCTGCTTCAGGATTTGAGCCAGCTCCAGTAAAAATTGAACGAATTATTTATATATTGAAAGTTGGGTGGGTTGAATCTCGCGTATGTAAGTTATAACTACACTCTGGTTTCAGTAACTAGTTAACTAACTAACCCAGACCAGATCACCAAAGTATTTATCTGAAAGTGTTACAATTTCTCTGCCACTTTAGACTAGAAGTCATGCAGACTGAACATGTGCCCTGCAGCCATTGGCACTGGACAAAACTAATGTCAATCGCTGCCTCTCGCTCCCCACCGGTTCCACAGGCTCATCATCTGGGAGTACTATAGATGGGAACGTCTGCAATAACCTGACAAGAGTGTACGAAACCTCCATCAGCGCGAAATCCTCGCCCAAACACCTTCGTGGACCCCCGCTGAAGGGGAAATATGCCCATCCAATGTCTGAGAGCTTGTTTTCTTCCCATCTGCCGGGATGGAATTCATAGGCATCAGGTCCCCAGATATTCTTCTTTCGGGAATTGACGTATTGTGAAAAGACAACTAACTCCCCCTTGCGAACCAAGATGGGGCTCTGTCCGTCTGAACCACCCCCAGTCGGCAAAACTGTTGTTCGCACTGCTTCGCGGTTGTTGAGTGGTACAGGCGGATATAGACGCAGACCTAGAATATGCTATTAATATCGATTGCTTGTTCAGGCTCGTCAGGGGACTCACTCTCTTTGATCACGCAAGCAAGGAAGGGCATCTTCCGTATTTGCTGCCTTGTGGGATGGCTTGACTCCCTCATGACGGAAGCAACTTCGGCTCGAAGACGCTCCATTTCATACGGATGCCGGATGAGAAGACGACTAGAGTTGGATAAGACCAAGAAGATTCAGTAATCTAGACAGGGACAACTGATTTTAGTCACGAAGAAAATCATACAGCGTCCATGATAAACAACAAGCTGCAGTATCTCGACCTGCAAACAAGACGTTGAGAAGCTGGTCCCGAAGATCTTCCTTTGTTGCTGACTCCCGGGCGACTTGTCTGAAAAACATATAAGAACTATCGTCTTTCGCTTCTGTTTCCTCTATATCCAATTCGTCGATATACTGTTCAACGAAGTGATGGACATTTGCGCATGCTTTTCGGAACTTAGAGGGATTGTATAAGAAATGGAAGGGAGCACTACGGAATCGCCTGGCAAGACCTTTCAGGGCAACATTGAAACTCTCCGCGAAGACTTTGTTCTTGCTGTCTTGATCAATACCAGCCCTTAAGCTGTAGACCGACCTGCCAAATAACAAATGTGTGGCGACGTCCAGAGTGAGATTGAAGAATAGTGGTTGAAGATCAATCACGCCGTCTTTTGGGAGGCAAGCAATCAAGTTGTCGACGTGCTCACGAAAATGATCCAGGTTTTGATACTGAACTCGAATGAATTGCTTCCGCAGAAGCTCTCGAGAATGTCTCCAGGCATGGCCTTCCTGAGTAGAAATCCCGTTACCCAACAATGGCGCGAAAATCGCCCGTCTGGCCCCAAATCCATAATCTGAATGCCCTCAGTACCTGTTAGTCACACTTCTGCCGTGCCAGACCCGAAGCTCAGCTTGAGATGACCGACCGCTGAAGTTGGTGGATAACACTGCTTCCAGATTCGCAGGGTGAAGGACATGAAACGCTCGAGGCCCGACCAAAAGGTACTGGGTCAAGTTGTTCCCAGGCTCATACTGCTCCGCAACATCGCAAAGATAAGCCAAGAGTTTGCCCTTGGAGTCCGTCTCCCAGAGGTCTTTAATCCGGTCGATCCCAAACGGCAATCTTTTAGTTAACTCGGGGGGCAACTGGCATCCAAGCCGGCGACCGAAAGCCGTATCACTCTATTATCACTAATCAGTGTGAAAGCAAAGGAGGTTATCATTTCCGCACGTACACAATATTCCCGGAATCGCACAATCGCACAATAGCCAACGTACGCGAAGACGATACAAGCGACGTACTGGATCAGTAGAAATGTGGCCATGATGGACAAGAGGCCTTCCGATTCCATGTTACGGTTCTCCTTGTGCGCTCATGGGAGACTTTAAACTGGTTCCTGCTCGCGGCTGGTCGTTTCATCGCCCGAGAGATTCACACGCTTGCTGCAGCCACACCGGTTATTTTGCGGGCTCGTTGGCCTCATCCTGGACTTGGCCCGTCCGGAAAGTCGATTTCAAATCCCGTTCGACATCGGTGGCAGGGAAAACGAGGCACATTTTGCCTAGTTATTGGCTAACTTATCACCCCGGTTTGTTTTGGTGAAGTTGCCATGGCGATCCATCAACGTCTGTTGAAGGGCATGACGATGAACAAGGCATCATTGATGAATGAACCGAGCAGAAACCCTCCCGGACACTAATAATAAGCAACTATGGAGTCGGTACGGAGTAGTTAGTTATTCGATCGTTTTTCATTCATATCCGCCAAAGCCGGCATGCCTATGTTCCGCGATAAGAATCTCAGTGCACAACAAGAAACTCCCACTGGACTCGAATCGTCCAGTGTCTGATCATGCTATTCCTGATTATTGATAAGTAACCGCAACAAGTTCGATAACTAGCAACTTTGTGTTTGAACATGTATCGCTAATTCGAGTGGCATTTGAGGGATGGTGTCAGAACTTGCCTGCCTCAACGTGCCGGAGGATGGCCTCGCGCATGCTGCGAGTCGGACATCGTCCCATGTCGACCATCTGAATTCTATATATGTCTGGACTCTTGTTATTCTTTTCTTTTCTGGAGCTCCGAGGATTAAATGACGAGGACGCGCTGCATCTCCTTCTCATCTCTGCCTGGAGAGCGCGGCCGTGGGATGTCAGTAAAGAAACCGCTGCGGATAAAATAACCAAAAGCTCTGGACTAATTGACCCTCGCTCTCATCCAAGCGGACAACTCGATCTACCGCAAACCTTGCAAATTAGACGAGTATATGAGGTTTTATGAACGTTATCGAAGCAAGTGTCAGAAGCGTGTGAAGACCGGGTCTGAATCTGATAACGACGATGTCTACTCGGCTTTTGACCTTAGGTCTCCTTCATGTACGAAGTACATCCAAAATGCAATGATTGAAAGGTTACAGCCACCGCGGGCTCTTCCACGTTCCCTGAGAGAAAATGCCGATGCCGATGATATAATGGAAGCATTTGCATGAGCTATATTCGTCGTCGCTTATCAGTTTCGATGAGCGTGATGAGTGCATTTCCTTGCATCCTTTAGTCCACAGCTGGGCGCTGGATCGAATCCACGCTCGCGAACGTGACCTACAGGTCCTCATTTCTCTGGATACTTTACTATCATCCTTCGAACTACCACCAGCTGATACTACTGAAGCGAACAAGTAGTATCGGCAAGCCCTGGCTAACATCTAAGTGAATGCCTTCCTGCATGTTCCACCCGTCTCAAATAATTCAGCTGTCAGCTCCAAGTTTGGTCGATAAGTTTTCTACCGAGCTCCCTACTTGTCATCAAAGATCAACTGATTAATGCAGGCAAATGTGCCTTGATATATGGCGAAATAGGTCGTTTCTCCTAGGCGGCGCTTTACCTGGATATGATCGCAAACACTCTCGTCTAGCTGTGGGGGATATCATGATCCAAAGACACTGGATATTTCGTTAACGCTGTCAGAGCTTCGCTGGGGCTCGGTGCAACTGCAAGAAGCCATCGCCTCCAAAAGCAAGCCGTGGAATTTTGCTCGAAGGTCTTCGAGATGCATGAAAACATTTTAACAGTCTGACGACAAGTCCTGGGTGAAAAGGATCTGAGAACAAATCATGTCAATTTGTCAAACCTTGCGATGGCCCTGCTGGACCTAGGGCAGCCCATTGCAGCAAAGACTATCATGGAGCGAGTCCATGAAGGACGAAAATATCAACTTGAGAAGGAACATCCGTGGACGCTTTGGGCACTTTGTGATCTCGCCAAAATATATATTGAACTTGGTGGGAGCCGCATCTTGAACGTGGGGATCGCTGCGGGCAAGCGAAGATCATCTGCGAACGAAAGAGATGAGAGCCAAAAAAACATACAACAGCCGGGATTCGCTGGTGGTCACCCACCCAACTACTAGCCGGCCGGCAAGTGGTTTAAGTACGGCTGAGCGGACGGGAAGCCCTGTATTCCACTTCCTATGGTCGTATGTACTTGGTCTATCATTACAAGAGCTTTTGACTCGTAGTGCCAGTATCCACCTAAGGATGATTCCCCCCGTCCGCATTGCCCCCATGAGCTTTCAAGGGTCCAACACATTTCCGAACCAGCATGAATTCTTTTTTGGGGAGCAATTTGATTTTTACCTCCCGTTGAGGCGTCGAATCCGCAAGCACATGAGATGCCACGGCCCACCATAAGAGGGAAATGATATACTCTCGCTATGTTTTCTTTCTAAACTGAGAGTTCCTGGGAAACCTGTCAGTCAGGCTGTCACTTTAAAATCTTTTATATCGTGCTTGCTGACTTTCCTATTATAGCCAGTACTACTTCGAGTCAGGGCTCAAAGGACTGATTCCATCAACGGCATGGATATTTTGCGCCACCTGAAGGTAAAGTTATATCGCTGCCTAGGTTGATGGAATAGCCATCAAGTTGATATGACTATTAGGAACGTGACTGTATGACGGTGGATTCATCCATTTTTTCCTTCTGCGAACCATCATTCCACGTGTTGTTAATGTATCCTTTTCTTTGGTGTATGTATGAATCCTCATAGGTTGGAGGATCTTTGAATTTTTCGCATTTAATTGGTTTTGATTCTGTCGTGGCAGCTCGAGAATCTGCTTCGAGCAGCGATATTCTTGACTCGGAGTCTTTGTATAATGAATGTACCTCTGTTAGTCGTGCAACAGCGCTCTGAAGTCCAACTTTATATGTTTGCAAAATCTTCCCTGGAGCTTGCAAGGTTAACCTAATTTCCACATGCCAAATACATAGTCATGGTGCGCCGTACCTCTTGCAATCTTGAGCTTTGAGATGGTATCCAGGGAGGGCTTTCCCGGTTTATCCAAGCGGCCTTGCCGCGCGTAAGTTCACGCAAGCGCTTCACATCCCATTAGCATTCGTGTAGGGATAACTAGACATGGATGGATACAATTACCTATGCGAGCTAGCATTCAGCACATACGACCACAGGAAGTGGAAAATAGGGCTTCCCGTCCGCTCAGCCGTACTCAAGCCACTTGCCGGCCGGCTAGTAGTTGGGTGGGTGACCACCAGCGAATCCCGGCTGTTGTATGTTTTTTTGGCTCTCTTCTCTTAATGCCACATTAGTTATGTAACTACTTGGCCATTTCCATGGAGGATTGTATTAGGTTCGTTGAAAACTTGAGCCGTGGGACCGACCTATCCAAGCATCAGCACTATTAAGAGAACTTCTCTATTCTTCGAGCGAACCAACATGAACAAGTTCAAAAAGAAAACTATAAATGAATGACTGAATGAAGGGAATTTGAAATGAAAGAATCTTTACACTGAAAGGTTAATGTTATTTGGCAGAAAGAGGTATTCAGGCAAGCATGTAGGGCATTTGGGAAACTGATCTCACCGAGTCTTCGGAGTTCAAGTTCAATGCTCCCTATCTTGATATGGCCATATCCGCGAGCATAGTTCCTTTTGTTCTTGTGACTCAACCAAGTCGATAAACATTTTTTTAACTCTCTGATTGATTGCTGAAGTTTGCTCAAAATCCTCCCGGAGGACCATGCCGCCTAATGAGATTAAATTGTTATTTTGAAGCCCATGCAAAACCTGTGAAAGCCCCTCTAGGAGTTCCATTTCGTCGCTGTGAAGCTGTAATTCACTCGGTGTGAAATCTATGGGGCACGGGGTTGATGTCTGTTGAATATGTTGCCAGCGGGCAATTATACCTATAAGTGCATGCCGGAAGGAGAAGAGATCGCGTTTGTTCCAAGTGCCCAACATGCATCGAAGGGTGTCAATTAAAACCGAATGATTGGACACACCCGTTGCTGCCCACCAGCGATTGTTCTTCCGCCTGCTGAGATTTTGGTAATAGTTAAGTAAATCTGTGGTGCCGTTTGAGTCTTCCGGCGTAACAGGGCTTCTGGAATTGGACCCGCCGATCGGGAGCAGCATGCGTGGGATATGTTGCTGGAGAAAAGGTTCAGATATTGAGGCAGCTTGCCAGCCAATGACGCAGGTGATTTTTTTTGTACCCGGATCAACGAATATGTTATCAAGATGAAGATCAGGGTGGGATAACGAGGTTTGGGAAGGGTCGGGAGACATGAGGGATACGAGCTGTAAAAATTTCTTTAAGAGCGAAATGTAATCGTCAGGGTATTCAGGGGTATCAAGCGATCGGTATAGATTTACCCGGGGTTTCGCATGAAGTTGCATCCACCGCATTTCATTAATGGTAAGAGCTGCAAAATAGGACTCGGGAGAGTTCCCTTTTCTAGGACTTAGCGATGCTCTGAAAATTGGAATGATGGAACGTACAGGGGCCGCGATCCAACTCCATCGATTGCTTCTCGCCCTCCCATAGGACTGCTTCAGTTACCGGTCCAATGACAAAGTCATCAAGTAGCACGGCGTTGATATCTTCCGTGGCCTCGCTGAAGGTCTCGCGCAGTGGCTCCGGCTCACGAAAAGGAACCCTCTTCATGGCTATATCCTTCTTGAAATAAAGACACCCATGTTTTCGAAACCAGATTGATTTTACCTTTGATTCGAAATCCACCAGCTGATCAATGAGATCGCGCCGTGACTCCATTGCCCAATCATACCAAAGGTTTCCAAGTGGTACTCCTCGTGCTTTCTCCTCTAGAATGTACTCGGCGCCGACTGGATTATCAGTGTCCAAACAGTATGCATATACACGTGGGATAGGCAAATCGAAAGCTGTTCGTAGCTGATAAACCACAGTCAGGACTCTAGGAGCACATATGAACAAAGAAAGGGGGCCATACGAAATGACGTGTGGCAACCTCTGAAGCCAATGTGTAAAACGGTGGGCCAGCATTGGGGTTGGGAAGTTTTGCAAAGATCTCACGCCCATTATCCAGGGTCATGATCAATGCTTTGTTATATTGGCCCTCTACACACTTAAGGACCTTGATACCTGATTTCAGATGCACATTAGCTCTGTCAAAAAGGATGCGAAATGCAGCTGTGCCAGATCGGCGGTTGACGGGAACACGTAGTTACAAGATGTGGCACCATCTCCAGCAACTTTGATCGCGACTTCAATAAGGGCAGAGACATTAAATTTGCGGTACCGCATCGCGAGGTTTTCAGCCTCGTTGCATCTAAAAGTTGTTGGTCTTGCGCCTCCTGTAGTTATTCCTGCTGAGGCACTCACAACCACCGATGGCGGGTGTATTGGTAGAGATCATCTTCCACAATTCTCTCCTCTATGCATGTTGTCAGCAATACATCTTTTGAACTAGAGGCCGCTGCCTTGCCTGAACCGTCCTCTAGCTGCCTTCGCAGAGCATACGTTGTTATTGTCATGCTGGGGACGCGAGCCCGTCAGGGCTGTCGATAGGGAATAAAACCGGGTATTCTGGAAATACTACTCCTGGCACTTGACCGATTTGGCTGGGAGTAGTAGCTAAAGACGCCAGGACGATAGCGTCTCGTCATAAAAAGGTGCTGCGTTTCCTGACAATCACATACAATGGATCGCGGCGCTGGATTGAAGTCATGATGTTGTTAGCTACATCAGTCCCCGGAAAGCTTGTCGCATCTGGGTCATTGTAAGACAAATGATTACTACTTGGAGTCTTCATTTCTCTAGGCTCTATTTCAAGTATCGCCATGCATTGATATACTCGGTACGAAGTAGTACTCTGTAGTTCAGCAACAAAAGGCGTGCCTGCAAAATTTACATGTGGCACAACCTGCATTTTTGGATGCATAAAATAGTTGATCAGGGCTCCATCAATATAAGTATCAGAAAATGCATCATTCGCAGAGTGATTCTATTCATGTCTGTTGAGCACTCCTACAGCAGCGAAGTTGGCCTTTGGTTCTTTGTATGGTTGCGAATCCAGGATTGAAATTGTGCCAAATTTCCAGGTAATCTTTGCGACTATGTGCCATTTGCAGCTTCTATAGGCTGATTGGTAGCAAAACTAGAAACAATTAGGGTCATTCTATACAGCGTAGAGTCGTAAGACATCTGCGTATAGAAGTGAGATTAAAGGAAAGAGGGAAAAAAGACCCGACGTGAGTGTAACAAATCAAAGCCCCAATCCAAAATAAAACCCCGAAAAAACAGGTGCAGAAGTAACATGCATGCAACTGCATTCTAGAAACTTGTTGTGTAACAGTCTCCAAAACGTAGGATGCAACCTATCTAGACTTTGATAACGAAAAGTTTCCCCCTTTTTAAGATTCCCTCTGCGGGTAGACATTATTAATATATATATGCAAAGATACGGCGGCGTCCGTTGCTCGGCCCAAGGATTGATTATGCTGATCGAAAGCAGTCGGCTTTCAGCATTCCTGGGGCTTTCTCTAACGGTTGCCAATTTCGTTCCCTCGGTTTAACGGGAAGAAAGGGTGGGCGGAGCCTATTGTTTACGATACCAATTCTCTTTAGGATCTCCTAAGCATTCTCCAACAGTAACCGCTATCACACCATGTCAGTCTCATTGAAGGTTATAGGAGCAAGCTTGGAAACATGTTAATCAGGGTGTATACATACGCTTCAGGCCCCGCTTCTTAACCTCATCTAGCATTTGTTGTGCGAGCAATTCAACTGTAGTCTGGTGGACGTCGTGGGCCAGCACAATTGTGCCCCCCTGGTCAAGGCCTTCTTTAAGGGAGACGAACGCTCGTCGAAACCCCTTGTGGAGTATTATTTTCGAAATCCTTAGTGTCAACACTAGCGTCCAGAACATGATACTGGAGCTCCTTCATGGTTTGTAGTACCAAATCACTATATTCGAAAAAGGGAGCTCTCATATAGGTGGGCCGGTTGCCTCCGGTTATCCCCAGCGACCAAGTCATCTAAACGGTCCATTTCGCTTTCAATTTGATCACGGGATAGTTGAGGTAAATGGGCATGAGAAAAGCTGAGAAGCGGATTTTGTCAGTGAATCAGCTTCCGGAAGTAATTCTCAGGTAACAATTTCCTTGAACAGTTGCAATGGGATAGACTCACGTATGCGATCCAATTTGATGGCCTTCATTAAACGCTCGCTCAATTACCCCCTGATGTTGTGTGATACTTCCAAAATTTTGCCCGTTGACGAATAGAGTGACCTTGGCATTGTTTTGTTGAAAGATATCTAAAAGCTTCGACGTGAATTCAAAAGGGCCGTCGTCGAAAGTTAAAGCAACTGTCCCTGCAACTCTGCAGTTTTCGATGATTTCGCCGAAAGGAATTGTGGTGCCAGGTTGGCTTGTCGGCGAACTTGTTGGGACCTGGATTGTTGACGAGCTTGGGGGCGGGGGTTGCATTGTTGGCGAGGCTGTAGGGCTAGGTTGGACTATCGACGAGGATGTAGGGCCCGGTTGAATAGTGGACGATTGTGTTGGATTCGGCTGAACTATCGATGAGGATGGAGGGCCCGGTTGAATTATAGACGAATATGTAGGATTTGGCTGGACTATCGATGAGGATGTAGGGCCCGGTTGGATGATGGACGAATATGTAGGGCTCGGCAAAGTAATGGGGAGATTCGTAGGGCCTGGTTTGACCGTCGAAGTAGGGATCGGTTTAGACGGTGACGGATGATTCTTGTGCGGAATATAGTAAATAGGCCAAAAGTAGCGAATCCACCAGGAATGATGAAGCCGAATTGTCCTAGGGTGGTGAATCGGCGAAGCCGCCAGGTGGCCAGCAAGTAGCACAACGATAAAGAACGTGTAGAGCCGGATGAACATGATTCCAGATATGCACAGGGCCGAGTAGTAACGAATGTATATAGAAACGAATGGAATTGCTTAAAGACCTTCGACAGAAGATGGCCGATGATAGTATTAATGCATTTATAAACCTTTGCCCAGGGGATCAGAGAATGTCATGGGATTTTGAATCCCAGACAGTCTTGAGCTGTCCCTACCCGGGCAGACGGAGAGCATTGAAAACATAACCTGTCGGAGGCATTTCTGACGAAATCAATTGAGAGATGTCGAAAGCATACCTTTGGTGAAACGCGAGGAGATCCATGGATGCTGCTCAAAATCGTGCGAAATAGACTTTTTTTCTCGTGTTCGGCTCCAAGCAGCATGCAAGCAAGCATGCAAGCGGGCATCTTTGGCAGACATTATTGACTCAATTTTTTTTTGGATTCCCCGTATTGATATCGAGAGTTCCCGACCCCTGATGTGCCTGAGTAGGACACCTGGTTGCCACGGCAAGGAGCGTACTCGGCATCCCGTCCGAAAGCTACCAAAATGCGAAATTGGGAAATACGCCTCGATGACAATTCTGCATCTGGGTCAAGAGCACAGTCGACCATCGCAAACTGCCCAATGTTTCAAAATTGGGAGGCATGGGGTATTGACATCATCGAAGTCAACCCCAAACGTCGGGCATGCGCTAGTGAGCTTGGTTGCAATCAGGGCACGTTTTGTGCTCCCTCAAGTTCCAGGCCATCAGCAGCAATTATCATCGTCATAGAGCGCCGGGTCAAGGGCTGGGAAAACCCGACTTCCGCTTGAATTCCAGCAATTGAATCCTCAATGCGAGGATGGAGGTGTGAGCAGCTTTAAAGCGTGTGGAAGGACTTTGATTCCTTGCACAACTCCGTAACTTAAAGCCATAGGGGATTCAGTTTTCGATTGTCGCAGCTGGTGAGACAGCCTGCGAGACATTTCCCTCATCACCCATCAACCAGGGGCTTGTTTCTGGTGGCGGACAAAAAAAAGCCGCAGCGTCCAGTTGCGTTGAAAGGTCCGCGGACTTTGTGAAGTCGCAGGCGATGCACTGTTCGGCACCACGCCCCATGCTGTAGCTTAAATTCCCCAGTACCCGACGGATGCCACGGTCATAGTCCGGATCGCGATTGAACCGACCATGGAGGTTGGCAGATGTGTTCTCGCTGCGACGTCGAAGAAGAAGACAAAGCGTAACCCGGGGCACTTGGCGTCTTAGTCATCAACAGGCTGAGCTAAGCCGTCCCATCACGAGACAGGCTTGGTATCGAGTTCCAAGCCATGTTTGACGAAGCTCAGCGGCAGTTCAGGCCACCATCAACGGGCGAGTTTGCCTGCAACTCTGTTCCATTTCGTGAACCATGGCCGCCTAACTTCATCGGGTCTGCGTTTAACCGTGCATCCAGGAACCAGCAAGCGTGCCGAACCCAGGTCTGGCACTGGCAGCGGTGATCTCCCCTGAAATGCATTGGTGGCTTGCCCTCCTTTGTTTCAGCGTCACGCAAATCTAGAACACGACCTCCGAATTTTCGAGTATCTGCATGGCCAATGATGGCAACGGCTGCTGGAACCGCGGCCATTCTTTCTTCGAGTTTGGTCAACATGGCTATTGCAACCTCAGTCTCCGCCTCCCCTACCGCCGGGTTATTTCCAACTGCCACGCCGATGCGGGCGCCAACAGACGGTGAAAACAACGGCAAGTGTGAACTCCTGGGGTCGTTTTCGCTCTTTGTCCAGGCTGCCTTGGGAGCTCTGGCGGTCCTTGTATTGGTTTACAAGAGATGGAAGGAGAGGCCGCAGAGACCCGTGAAGGTGTGGGCTTTTGATGTCTCAAAGCAGGTTGTTGGGTCGGCTCTCCTCCACTTGGCGAACCTGCTGGCTTCCATGTTTTCAGCAGGCCAGATACCTGTGACTGCTACCTATGAACCAAACCCCTGCACGTACTACCTCTTGAACTTGGGTATAGATGTCAGTATTCTTCCCCTCCCCCGAGAATCGACACCTTTTCCAATCAAATTTGACTGACGGCCTGTTATCGTTAGACCACCCTAGGCATTCCTGTTCTTATCCTCATCCTCCGTGTCCTCAATCGTGCCGCTTTATATACTCCTCTTGCAAACCCTCCCGAGTCTATCGAATCTGGCAACTATGGTGATCCACCCAACGCCGTCTGGTGGATGAAGCAATCTATAATATACTTCTTTGGGCTTGTGGGCATGAAAACATGCGTTGTGGTCATTATACACATGCTCCCTTTTATTGTGGAGCTTGGCGACTGGGCACTGAAATGGACCGAAGGCAACACCGCCATCCAAATCATTTTCGTCATGCTATTATTCCCAGTGATCATGAACGGCGTCCAATATTACATTATCGATATATTTATCAAGAAAACGATTACGGAAGATCGGGGCCGTGAGGTTGATTCGCACAGTTTTGATACTGCCTCAATCGATGAAGATCGGCACCACCAGAGTGCGCTGCTTGCTGGCTTGGATGATGAGGAAACTGATGAGGAAGATCCAGCGATATATTCCGATGATGAAGCCGTGGCTAAACAGCCATTAAACAGAGCCAGCAACGGAGGATTATCTCGCCACTGATCCTTGTGCTCTGTTATTTGAAGAGCTGATTACCCAATTGGCAGTGTCGCTTGATGAGTTTTGGCTTGGCTCTCCCGTCTTTTTTCCAGAGCTTGGCGTTGAGCGAGGACTTGTGATTTGAAGCATCCCCTGTTAAACCGTACTCCTTGCCTTTTTGTATTTCCAGTGTCATTGTAGCTTGGCCAGGAGTTCTTGTGCGGGGGTGTTATCTTGGTGTTCTGTGATGCATCTCCTCGTAACTAGCATACAATATACGACGTAATCCCCCTGGTCGAGTGCATCCTCTCCAGTCAACCGAAACTTTTGTCTTGGACGTCATCTTCCGAAGTCCCGATTTGGCCGATATATGCCAAGGCGCTAGTTAGTCACCTTAGCTAGCTAGCCAAACCTTATTATCAGGCGGCTGAGAGCGGCAGAAAATATACAAAAATTTGGAGCGCAAAGCCGCCTGTTGAGTGCGAAGTAAACAAGCAGCGTTGGTGATTCGATTGAGGCTCGTTTTGAAGTCTAACACTAGCTGCTTGGTTTCGCTCGGTGGTAATTCTACAATGGCTGCCGAAACTCTTGTGCGCCTACCTGCCAGGTACGATCATGACCAGGAATCGAGTGACGAGAGATTACAAAAGGATGAGACGGAGGAACAGCTCGAGAAACTTCTATTTGGAGACTCTGAAGGATTTTACGATGCGATAAAGGAGCATAAACGGCCTTCAGACGCTTTGGTTCTGCGAGAAGATTCGGAGGCAGGGGGAGAGGAGGAAGGCGAGAAAGCGGCAGAAGATGACGCTGAATCGATCGACTATTTCGCGGGTTTGGATGATGCCGACGTGAGTTCCGTCTCTATCTCCATGCTTGCCGGCTACTATATTCCCACCAGGATGCTAATTAATGTCGTACCATAGTTGTTCGTCTTTGATACTGGCGCCGGAGAAGCTCCTCAGGTAATTGAGGACCAGTCGATTACAGCCCCCGCAAAAGTCTCGCCCGCTGAGAATAATCTACTTGAGACGGAAGCTGCTGCTGCATGGGAGGACAGTGATGATGAGCGCATTGCTGTTTCGCTTGCCGCAAACGAGCGCATGCGCAAGTTAAGATTGACAGAAGCCGAAGACGTGGTAACAGGTAAAGAGTATATCAGACGGCTTCGAAGACAATTCGAACGGTTGCAACCTGCGCCAGAGTGGGCAAATCCGATAGCTACTAGAGCCGCGAAGAGAAGAAAGATGGGAGACAGGTCAGAAGATGAGTCAGTTGCTAGTGGTGATGAAATGGTTACAGACTCGGAAGACGATATGGAACAACAGCCTCTGGCACGATTGTTACAAAATATTGGCAGCCTTTCAAGACAGGACGATCTTGCAGAGTCCAAGGGCAAACGGAAACTCCGACAAGAAGTCCTAGATATTCAACGATTAAAGGATGTTGGAGGGAATCAGCCTGTAAGTTCTTTTCTTTTCCGAGATTACGTTTCGGGTTGCTAACTGTAACAAATACTCATAGTCCACAATCGATTCGCTAACTTTCCACCCACATTACCCTCTCCTCCTCTCATCAGGCCCTGCTTCGACCCTCTTCCTTCACCATGTCTCTCCGCAGTCCGCTGCACCGAATCCCCTCGTCACTTCTCTTCACATCAAACGCACTCCCCTCCGCACCAGCGCATTCCTACCTCCCAATGGAAATCGCATATTCTTTTCCGGCCGCCGTCGATATTTCCATGTCTGGGATTTAGATACTGGAAAGGTCGAAAAGGTCAATGGTACTGCGGACCGCAGGGAAGAGCAAAAGACCATGGAAAATTTCAAGCTTTCGCCGTGCGGACGGTGGATGGGCCTGGTAGGAAGCACCAGGAAAGGAGGTGGTATCATCACGGTTCTTGACGCAAGTACCATGCAATGGGTGGCTCAGGTACGCATCGATAGTCGCGGTGGCGTTGCTGATTTCGCCTGGTGGAGTGACGGCGAAGGTATGTGCGTCGTAGGAAAGAACGGAGAAGTGAGCGAGTGGGACGGCAGAGAGAACCGCATTGTCGCCAGATGGGTCGATGAAGGTGCCGTTGGAACTACAGTGATAAGCCTGGGAGGGAACTCGGGCAAGCCGCAGCTTGGTGGCGATCGATGGGTAGCGATCGGCAGCTCCAGCGGCATTGTAAATATCTACGACCGGAGACCATGGGCCGCTGCAGCTGCAATGGCAGCGAACTCGACAGGAGCATTGCAAAAGTCTAGTAAAGCAGCAGGAGAGCCGGAAAACACGCAGTTCGGGGTACCGAGGAATCCCAAGCCGGCACGCATGCTGGACCAACTGACGACGCCCATGAGCCATCTAGTCTTTTCAAAAGATGGGCAGATACTTGCGATGGCGAGCCGGTGGAAGAAGGATGCGCTTAGGCTAGGTTAGTCGATATATCTCTCTGCTTGGCTTGTCGGCTTTGGGAGTTGAGGAAAGGATTTGCTAACAGAAGTCTACCACAGTTCATCTCCCATCCTGCACGGTTTACAGGAATTGGCCAACATCGAATACGCCTTTTGGGCGGATTTCGGCTGTTGCTATTTCGCCCACGTCGGACATGCTGGCGGTTGCGAACGAGCAAGGGAGAATTCGGCTGTGGGAGATACACGGATAAAATATAAGTAATGTTATTTTTATGATCAAAATAGTTATAGGGCTCATGGCATAGATGATCCTGGGACTCCGATGTTTCTAATCGCTATATTCATTCCGGAGTTGCAGTGACTATAATCTCCAAATAGGCGGCATTCTATTAAAGGTATATACGGTCTAAAAGCATCCAGCTCAGATAACAAAAAAGATTGTCTATACAAATCTTGAGCGCCTTGTAAACTCGACCAAATCCCGCTAAGCGAATCCGCGAGCGGGTTTCCAAAATTTATAGCGAAAAAGACACGCTAAGAATATGCTTTCACAGCATCTTCTTCATTGTATCAGTCTTTCGAATACCCGCCAGATTGCCCGCCTTGACTCTCTCTAGCGTCAGCGCCGCGATCAACGCGGCACCCACTCCAGAGCCGTCTTCAGCAGAGCTCATAACGACCTTATCCTCCTCATCATCTGCCCAGTCGAGGATCTCACGGAGTGCCTTGGCGCCACGAGCCTTGAAATGGGGATACTTGTTGAACACTGAACCATCGGCGCCGACGTGGCAGGATTTGATGTTCTTTTTTGTGCAGATAGCAGCAACACCACAGGCGGAGAGTCTTGCGGCACGGGTACCGATGAGCTCTGCGAGGCGACGGCACAGCTCGAGTTCCGGCTTGGTGGCCTTGAGGCCGAGAGTACGCTCGAGAAGGTCTTTGGTTTCGGACAAGTTTTCAAAGGGATCTTCTTCGATGTAGGCCAGGAAAGATGAATCCAGGCAGTAGGGCTTCCGCAGGCTGCTAGCATCCTGACCTTCGAAAATGAGATTGCCTTTGTTGTCGATAAGGTCGAGAAGAACGAGGCGGAAGATTTCACCAAGATAAAGACCAGCAGTCATCTTCTCAAAAGCCTGTTGGCCAGGACGGGGTGAGTCGCGGTCGATGACAATGTCATATTGCGTCAACGGAAGCACCACGCGCTCGTTATCAAAAGCACCGTATTCGCAATTAATGGCAATTGGCATGTCGGGAGGAAGGTTGTGGTGAGCAATCTTTGGGATCGATCCGGCATTTTCCATGTAGGCGGCGTTAACGCCGGTTCCAAAGATGCAGCCGATTTTCATCTCTGGATCGGTATAAGCTGATGCGATGAGGGTTCCTGTGGTATCATTGATCAAAGCGGCGACTTTAATCGGAAGACCCTAGGGTGCAATTAGCCAATAATCCTCTTCCGGATGGGAATCAGGAGAAATACCCTCTTCGAGAGAGCCTGTTCCAGCATAGGCACCACATCTTCTCCCTCCACACCGTCAATATCAAAGCCCTTTGTCCATCGTTGTAACACACCATGGTCAATGGAATCTTGAGTCGCTGGGTATGAGAAGGTGAAACCTAGGGGCAAATCCGGCAAATTTTCCTCCTCGTGGTGGTATTCAATAAATTGTTGGACGCAATCGGCAATATATTCCCAAAGCTCACTTGCAGAGCCGTTCTTCAACTCTTCGGGAATGCGGTATTTAGACTGAGTGATGTCGAATTCGCCTTTCTTTTCGCAAAGGAAAATCTCGCAAACACGAAGGTTGGTGCCGCCCATGTCAAGAGCGAGGAACGTGCCTTGTTCGTGGCCGGTGGGAAATCCCATGACCCAGGTAACGTTCATAGGCTGTAGTTGAGAATGTTCGTCAGTGCTGTCCGATATCTCCGAAGCAAGATGGGATGGAAGCTCACGATGTTTCCACCCTCGACGCTCAGTCCTTCCATGGTACATTAGCATAGCTGAATTTCGAAATCTCCGTAAAGGGAGCAAACAGTTACCCTTCTCCAACTCCTTGACGAAGTGGTTGACGACCTTCTTTAAACAAGCCTGGTCGACCGTGAAGATCTCCTCAAGCTCCTTCACCTGCTCGAGCAGGTCCTTCGGCATATCGGCCATTGATCCTGGCTACCACGTTAATACGCTGGTCTGAGAAATCCGCGCTCTAGATTCTGAATCCCAAGAGTCACACTCACCCTTACGGGACGGCCTTCGACGGGGGGTAGTGACGGTCATAGTGGTATCTGATCAGGGTCCTCGTCTGCGTGATAACCCCGCAGTCAGGAATGGAACGTCTTGCAGGAAAAAGAGGGAGATCAGGCCGCAGCTCAGCAACTATCCAACGCAGCAACGAGTTGAGGCCAGAGACGAGAAATACTGTTCAGGAGAAGAAAGTTGGCGAGAGTCTGGATCCAAAAACGTCAAACTCGGTGAGCGAACTATAAATATCTCGATCTCGTCATGTGGGGTCTCGCTGGTGGGATCAATTCTTTGCTCTGGACTCTGTGTTCTCCACGATCTCGCGGCATTTACCTCGCCTCTGGAAGCCTTGGATGAACCGCACAGTTTGTTCTATTGTGATCCCATATCGACAGACCCAAATATGCCTTCGTTTTGGCCGTTTTCGCCAAACTTTGACGGATCCAATCTTTCGCCGCTGTCAGGGGAAATCCAGTTCGCCCCCTTGAAAACTTAATATCAGAAGGAAAAATAAAGGCGAAAAGGAGAAAGGAATTAGCGCAAGAATCGAGATAGGCAATCCATTAGCTACGGAGTACAGAGTATGGAGCTTCTTAACCCAAATTATCATTAGTCGACATGGTTGCTATACCAGACATTCAAGATCCTCGAAGCCACATCCCAACTCCAACCCGAAAACAAAAAAGGAATCGAAAGGATTTGAAGGGGCTTTTTGCGCCTTCATCACCGAATTTCTAGAGTGTCAAAGCTGCTCATTCAAAATATGCTCGTTAATCATTACTGATGCTGCTTCGAAGCAGTACACGCTGCCAGGGGACGTTGAAATGAGAAAGAGAGTTAAAGGAGCGTTAAGAAGGCGTTTTACCATGACCAACGGCTCATAGCGATGGATTGGGCTTCGAATTTTCCGGCAGCTTTTCCGCCGCATTGGCTTCAGTGCCCGCGTTAGCATCATTTTCTTTATTTGCTGGCTTCGCGGCATCTCTGTTGGTTGGAGGGTTACTTGACTGCATTATGTTCCCTTCTTGTTCATTTGCCCCAGCTTCACGGCGCTCCTTGACATCGATTGCCTGTAGCTGTGCGCGGACGCGTTCTTCATGTGCCTGTGAGACGTCCAAGGCGTGGCCAACTTCTTCGGTGAGCTTGTCAACTTCCTCCTTAAGGTGTTCATCCTTAGTTATCGGCGTCGTTCTCTTCTCCCGAGGCGCTTTGGACGCCTTTTCGGGGTTCACTTTGGCCCAGAGGGCTTCTAGTTCCTCGCGCCAACCAAGAGCTTCGGCGAGCTTCATGACACCATCATCGCATTCGCCCAGAACCAAGACGTCATCAGGCCGAGATCCAAGTCCACCAGCTTGGGTCAAATTGATGAGAATACGGGGCGTTTCATCTCGGCATAGGCTTGGTAAACTCGAAAACGGCCGAACAGTCAAGCTCGTTCCCATGACAATGCATAGGTCTGCTGCCGCTGGAAGTGTACGGTTTAGGAGAAAGGTGCTTGGTAGTGGCTCACCAAAGAACACTACATCCGGCTTTACCAGATTCAAACATCCAGGGCAGAGCGGGACATCATTGGCCTCAATGGCTTTTTGCATCAAGTCCGCTGGATACGGCGATTTGCATTCAATGCAGCTCTGGGTAGCAAAGCTTCCATGTGCCTCGACAATCATCTCGGGAGGTATACCCGCCTCCCGCTCTAAACAATCAATGTTTTGTGTGAAAAGCTTCAGTAGCCGACCTTTGTCGTAAAGCAGCTTTATGAATGAGTGCGTCAGGGTCGGTTTGGCCTTCCCAGGAAGCATTTCCTTGGTCAACGCATAAAAGGGACGTGGATCGGTGCGAAAGTATTCAATATCAAACACTGCTTCAGGAGTAGGGAGGTTAAGGCGAGCAAGGTTGGCATATATTCCAGTGTCGGGGGACCGAAAATCGGGTATGCCCGCTGCAGTGCTGATGCCGGCACCAACCTAGGACTCGTTAGGACCGTCTCGGTTATCTTTACACAAAGCAACACATTATCATGCAAGGGAAACGGGTGCCTACCATGACCACTATCTTCTTGACATCCTTCTCCTTGATATACTTGGCAACAGCTTCCAAAGTGCGGCTTTCCAGAGTCTTGGGTCGGACATGTTCGTCAATCGGGATAGATTGTTCGTTGCCCATATTTGCCTCAGAGTTATTAGTATGCAGTTTCTTTGTAGTCTAGACAGCTTCGAGAATCTATCGAGTGGTTTGTCGCCGTCGTTACGCAGTCCAGGTAGTTAATTAGCTGATCGAAGCATGTAACTGGCGTGGGTGAACAGTAGCTCTCTCTCTATGCTGCAAGGCGCGGAGAATCAGAATGATCTATGAACTATTTAAACAAGAGCATTGGCTAGGTCTATGAAAGCAATCCAAGAAACAATCGAAGGCGCAGTTCCATGACCAGAACCAGCGAGAATGTGCTTTTCTCCGCCGGTTGATGCACTGACGATGCCGGCGCCCTTTTCAACTTCGGAGAGACGCCAAGCCTGTCACACCTCTCCCGCATTTTGTGCTGTCAAACTCCTGGCTGCCATCTTCCTCCATAGCAAGCGCACGGTCAGTCCGCGGGCCAACCCCCTGTCCTTATCTGCCAGACACAGCTCCAGGCAGTGTATTATTTCAAGGTAATTCCCCTACAAATAAAAGGACTTGCTGTGCTGAGAGGTTCCGCGGCTAATGCCAGTGTGTTCTCCTCCCACAGGACAACGGGATCCCACGCAATTGAACCTCCGGCATGGACCAAAACGACGGATTAATCAACGGTGTATCTGCAAACGAAGATGGAGAGGCCGAGGCGATACCGGACATTTTCAATGCCAGCTCCGTCGCTGACATCAAAGCTACCCTGTCCGCTCTCCAGGACCGCGAAGCATCCGTGACTGCACGCCTAGAAGCACTCGTGGCCTCCCAGAAGGACTTCTCCCGCGAATTGGGCCGGCTCGACATCCTTCGCGCTCGCATCGGATCCCAGGCAAGCAACACCCGTGCGATTAGCCATGGAATGCTCTCGGAAACCGCCGCCACAGCTCACCGTATCTCTAGCGCGGTCCATCGGCTGGACCTGGAGCAATCGCGGGTGAAGACGACACTGGAAATGGTTGAGCAGGTGATGGAGCTCAAGGCGTGCGTGCTTGGCGTGGCTGGATCGATGGGTGCCTCTCAGGACTGGGAAACGGCAGCTTCCTATCTGAACCGGGCATCAAGGATCTCCCCTGAGATCATCAACGGGGCGTTCGCTGCGGATATTGTGCCGACTGCCGAAGTTCCTGATCCTCCTGCTGTGACTTTGGAAAATGCAGCGGAGTCACTGTGCGGGCTGTTTCTTCGCGAGTTTGATCGTGCAGTGAAAGAGAACGATGGCGCGAAAATCACGCGCTTCTTCAAGTTGTTCCCTTTGATTGACAGGTCAGCCGTCGGGTTGGATGTTTACGGGAGATATGTGTGCCAAGGGGTTGCGAGTCGGGCACGAACAAATTTAAACACTGGGACAGGCGGAGCCCAAAGCAAGGAGGGATACTTCTATGCCAGCGCCCTGACCAAGTTATTTGAGCACATCGCGCAGATAGTTGAGAGCCATGGCGGCTTAGTGGAGCGCCATTATGGCCCCGGGAACATGTCTAGGGTGATTGAGAGGCTGCAGGTCGAAGCCGACGTACAGGGTGGGATTATTCTAGAGACCTGGAGCGATGAATGGCATGTTGACCGCAAACTCACTGACATAAAATCCTACGCATTTACCTTTTTGGTACAAAGCTTTCTACCGAATACTCGTGGTGGTCCTCAACGAACCAATTCCCCTGGAACTAGGGATGGTGCATCGCAGAGGACTAGCGAGGATGAGGGTGTTGATATGAAAGAAATCGATGGCATTCTCAATGAAATGTCTCTTATGTTGGGCAGGTGGTCACTCTACAGTCGTTTTCTGGCCGATAAATGCAGGGTATGTTCATTTCGCCGGCACTTTTTACTGACAGGTTGGCTCACGACATTCCAATAGGCCGTTGACTCGGAAGAGTTAGTGCTACCGAACTTCTTGCTTGAGTCTCCTCTCTGTCAAAAGGTTAATGAACGGCTTGTTTCGCCATTCAATTTAATGACCACTTTTTTCCTTCGTCGATCGGTTGAAAAGGCATTCCAGATTGACGAACCGCCGTCCGATTTAACACTGAACCTGCAACGGCCTCCAACATCAAACCCGCCATACATAACATCTGCTGTGGATGATATCATGTACATTGTGAACAAAGTGCTCGAGCAATCGCTTGCTACTGGCCACAAACCGATCGTGATGAATGTTGTGCCTACCATCGCACGAGTGTTGGGATCGGATTTCATTGGGATGATACAGCGAAAAATGCGAGATGAGACTTACCCTAGACCCGTTGTTCCCGGCGGCCCACCTCCTGAAGCAGTCGTTGTCTCATTTCTCGTTTTAATCAACAATCTGGATGTTGCCATCGATTATATCAACCGGATTCTCAAAAACTTTCTCGAGTCAGACGGTGCGAATGGCGCCACTGGTGAACCGCATAATAGGGATTCGGGGGGCAGGATTCCACATCTATTTCCGCTCGACAATGATGCGGAGGCGGTGGCTGGAGCACTGCGCTCGCTTTCGTCGTCTTTTGAATCAAAGGCCCAAGATCTCATTGGTGATGGAATTCAGGTTGTGTTTAATAACGTCGTGAAAACGCGACTTCGACCTATTCTGGCCGATGCGTTCCGCGACTTTGAATATGAACCTCGCGGTGGCGATGGCGACCAAGGTGGTGGATTAGACGATGAGGAGATTGCAGCAAGCGAACTCGACAGTTCTGCCGGAGGAAGCGAGGTACGTCGTCGGTTCATGACTTCCTGGCGGGAGCTCTTAGTACCAATCTCGCGAATTTTAACGGGGCGGGCATTCGACCGACTGTTGGGCGTCACGATCGCGTCGTTGGCCCGATTACTGGAGAAGAGGATCTGGTCGTATCATGGACGAGTGAATGCGCTGGGAGCCACGCGCCTGGAACGCGACATCACCGGCGTCATCTCGGCGGCAGTGGACATTGGAGAGAGCTACGTGAGTGCAGATGGCGGAGGAGGAAGTCGATATCGCCATCGCGAAGCTTTTGGGCGATGCACGCAGATTGTGATGGTGATGGGTCTTGAAGAGGAGGAGTGGGATGAAATCGAGAAGAGTGGCGGGGACATGGTTGACAAGCTATCAGCAGAGGAGCGAAGCAGGGCGAGGGCGATGGTCGTATAAGTAAGAGGCTATTTTCTATTTTCGTGTACATCTGCTTTTTTAACATGCTGTCCATTCCTTTTACAGCAGCATTCTGGGATATACTGCGGCATTGACGTCCATACATTAAAACCAATTCCCCAGATTCTGCTTGCCGTACCGGGTGTCTGCTTCTGGTTGTCCGCGGCGGTTTCGAGGTTTTGAGAGAGCCGATCAAGATGCAGCTAACCGGCAACAAGTCACAGCATGTTCTAGCCGGACCACAAATAATGTGCATTGCTTTTCTGGAGAGCCCGGCCTTAATCAAACCGACCGCGTAACATCCGCAGATAAAGAAGAGCGAGACGCACATCCCCAGCCACAGATCGAAACAAAACAACGTGTGTCAACTTTCAAACCCTGAGATAAGCTCTGGACCGCTGTGATTGGCTTCCGTCCAATAAAGAGATAGGAGTGGCTTATGTAAACCCGCCCGTGGCTGGGCATGATTTCCGGACCAATCAAACAAGAGGAAACGGACGAGATCGGATGCTTATCTGCGGATCCCGCTGGTTCAGCCACAGATAGTGGGGCTCCGGAAGTCCTCCTGAACCTAATACGCAAAAGCTTCTTTTATCTTCGTTCTTTCCAACAACGGTAACTCTGGCCGGGATAGGATTAGAGCTGTGGGGCGATGTTATCTCGCCCAATCGCGGGCGCGGGATAAGGGAAAAGCTTGGGTCGGGCGTGGGGACGTGATATCAAGCACTGATAGGGCTGACGGCACGATAGCATGGTGCGAGTTGAGTCAAGCTTTGCAGCCCGTGTACAATACGGTACCGACTGTTTGGTCGTAGCTGTGGTGAGCTGATGGAAGGCTTTTTGCAGTGGTCCCAATTCCTGGCGAAGGGTGAATAAAATCGGCGGTTTTCTATAGTGGAATCGAACCGTTAGGGCCTCAGCTTCTGGTGCGGAATCGGGGCTTGCTGAGCGCTCTGGCCCACGACGCAGTCTGGCTGGCGGCAAGGGAAGCCATATCGACAAGCCGTTTATCCCTCGGGAACGATGTTGGTTTATTTCTCTCATGCCTAGTTACCGCTCTTATATACTTCCAGCGAGCACGAAAATGGACCGGAACAGCGCCGTCACAGCTGCGTCCGCGTTACCGGTACGATACATGGCGGGTGGTGGCTCGCGTCTCCTGATCCTCCCGCGCCCGGTATCCAGACCTCCCCAAACAGGAAACGGCGGTATCAAGCCGGTATCAGGCGCTGTATCTCCTCCCGCCCTGATATCGCTTGTGCTTCTCGAGGCTCTCTGATTATCTTGACTATCTCTGCCGTCTTTCTTTGTTTGCAGCTTGTTCTCCCCTCAAGGAATTTCTTCGTTTCAATCCCAGTGCTCTCTCCTTCCGTCTCAAGTGAATAATCTTTCGCCGTCTGGCATCAATTGAGAGTGCTTCCCTCATAAAGAGTGCTTTGGCCCAGCACCAGTCGCCTCAACGGAGATCCAGTACGTTTCAAGGGTATGCACTCGATACTAGAGATCCTACGCCGTCAATAGCTGCTCCTGCTAGCCCTGTATATCTTTTTTTGATATCCGCGTTGATAGCGTGCTGATTGAAACCCGCAGATCACCTTCTCCCATCCGTTAGAAGATATCGGGTCGTCCTACAGCATCAATCAATCATTCCTACCTAGTCTAGCGAAGGCCAAGTGGAACTATCTTACCTTTCAGAAGCGGGCGAAACAGTCTCTATTGCATCCAGACTTGCTTTTGGGACCGCTCGATTAGATCTGGGGATATAATCAGAATACTCAGATAAAGGAGCCCGGGTCGCACGGCTTCCAAAAGATGGCGGCCCCTTTCGCTCCCGACTATGCTTCGTACAACTGGACTGGCGCTCCGGCGAACTTTGACCTCTCTACTAACAAGGATTTGGGCGGCAATTCAAGTCAGTTTCGCCATTACTCCACAGCCATACCATGAACCTCTCATGATGAACGCTTATACTAACAGCAAACTCGATCGTAGGGGTTGAAAATCTGAACAAATGGTTCCAATCTGGCGACCAGGCCTACATCATCATTGCTTCGGCAATGGCGATGATCATGGTTCCTGGCCTGGCATTTCTCTATTCTGGTCTTGCTCGTCGAAAATCGGCTCTTAGCATGATATGGGCTTGCATGGGTTCCATGTCCGTTATCTTCTTCCAATGGTACTTTTGGGGTTATTCCCTTGCCTTTTCAACAAGCGCGACCAACGGATTTATCGGAAACCTGAGAAATTTCGGACTTATGAAAACTCTTGCGGATCCAAGCCCTGGTTCTCCTCTCATTCCTGGGTTACTTTTCGCACTATACCAGGTGGGTAACCCGCCGCCAGATCTGTTGTGTTTAAGTTCTAACGGCTGGCTAGATGCAATTCTGCGCTGTCACAGCAGCTATCGTAATGGGAGCCGTAGCCGAACGAGGCCGTCTCCTACCCGCCATGGTGTTCGTTTTCTTCTGGGCAACTTTGGTTTATTGTCCAATTGTCTGCTGGGTATGGAATAGCAACGGTTGGGCGTACAAATACGGGGTTATGGACTATGCTGGTGGAGGTCCTGTTGAGATCGTTTCCGGAATGTCCGGTTTTGCCTACTCCATGGTCCTCGGCCGTCGTCACGAACATATGATGCTCAACTATCGTCCTCATAACATGTCTTTGATTGTATTAGGAACGGTGATCCTCTGGTTTGGCTGGCTTGGATTCAACGGTGGTTCGGCGTTTGGTGCCAACCTTCGTGCTGTAATTGCATGCTGGAACTCCAACTTGACTGCAGCGTTTGCCGCCATCACTTGGGTTCTCCTCGATTGGCGACTTGCTCGAAAATGGACAATGGTTGGTTGGTGTTCTGGTACGATTTCTGGCTTGGTTGCTGCCACTCCCGCTTCCGGTTTCATCCCGCCCTGGGCCAGCGTCATTTTGGGCATTGTGACCGGCGTAGTATCCAACTACAGCACCAAGAGTAGGTACTTCTCTGCTCTCGAGTATTGATTGATCCAATGGCTGATTGAATGTAGTTAAATATTGGCTCAAAGTTGACGACTCCATGGATATTCTCGCTGAGCACGGCATCGCAGGAATTGTCGGTCTTATTTTCAATGCCTTATTTGGCGACGACTCCATTGTTGGCCTTGACGGCGTTAATGTCGGTGCCATCAACCCGGAGACCCATACTCGTGTGGGTGGTTGGATCATCCATAACTACCGCCAGCTGTACATCCAGATTGCCTACATTCTTGCGTGTGCGGGTTATTCCTTCGTTGTCTCCGCTATAATCGCTTACGGTATCAACTTCATTCCTGGACTCCATCTCCGTGCCACTGAGGAAGCTGAACTCCTTGGCATGGACGACGACCAGCTCGGGGAATTCGCATACGACTACGTCGAAGTTCGACGGGACTATCTTGCCTGGACTCCCCAAAGTATACAGCCTAGTGGCCACATCCACCAAGTTCCTCGCCCGGACCTCTACGGCTTCCACGAGCACAGCGCCATGGCCGCCCGCCCCGTGCAAAACGGACGGATTTCCGCGAGCCACAGCATGGATAACATCCCCAAAGAATTCTCGTCTGACGGTCAGACACCATCCGGATCCGCCAGCCGACAGCCTAGTCCGGAGCGAAGAAATAGATTGGCGCGGGTTTTCGCCTCCAAGCGATCACATCCGCCCCCGGTGCCCTTGCAGATGCCCGCAGCATCAGCGGAACAACACCTCACATCCTTGGAATCGAACCATGAAATGACGATACATCCGGCCTCTTCTGACAATCTCTCACAGCTGTCGCCCCAGGAATCAATGGTGGCACCAATAGGAGCCCGTCAAGCCACTCAAGATGATCTGGATGAAAAGTGCGGATAGACGAAGATCCCCTTTTTCTCTTCGTGCATCATCCGCTTGAGGTACCTCTCTCATTCGCCTTCTCGCATTGACCTTTTGTTTTCGATGAAATCATGATACCCAATCACTAGCTAGCTGTTTTATGTTCTCAAACTTGTATGGGGTTGATGTAGGGCGTTTGGCGTCGGCCTAGATGAGGCAATGGGTATTTTGAAAGGCTGCATTTTGTCGGCTCAGTTTTTCTACCATGCGTTCGTTTTCATTGACTTTTTCAAGTTAGACATAGAGAGCATCTCTATTTTGGGGCATTAGCGTCACTGATTTATATGTACAGAGTTTCTCCAATGTTGATATCATGGCATATCCATAATATGCTCCGCTAGCTAGTTTTATACATAGGCCAGAAGAAATATCAAAAGGGGGCAAACAGAATGGCTCATTACGATTCTATTACACGTTGATACTGTACCCAACCGCAGATAACTGTGTAGAAGACGCCCCAATGCCAAACAAGCCCCGACCGCGACCCCGTGTCATCAAATACTTCCGAATCTCATCGACCCAAAAGACACTGCTTGAAATGCACAGCAAGGCAACCAAATCCCCCAGTCCCAGCGGCTCCGTCTGAAAGACATCCTGTAGGATTGGAAGGTAGATCACACATGCTTGACCCAGGAGCGAGCCCAGCACAGCATAATTGAACATCTTATTGCTGGCCAGTGCAAGCTGACCACGGAGCACCGACTTTCCTTCGCTTCTGCAGGTCAGCGCATTGAACATGTCAAAGAGCACGAAGCAGGTGAATGTCATGGTCGTGTCGCGGCGAGTGACGACGCGCGAGGTTACGCCGGAGATTTCGTCGGTGTGGTCGATCATTTCGTGGATGTAGACCGCAAGCGTACCGAGCATTATGCAAGCAGCCGAGGTGAGGACGCGCCGGATGAGAGGTTTGGTGAGGACGCGGGCATGTTTGGGACGCGGAGGTCTGACCATGATTGACGGATCGACGGGTTCAACACCGAGGGACTGAGCGGGTGGCCCGTCCATAAGAATGTCTAGACAGGGTCAGCAACTGGGTTAACCAGCGAACAGACACACTATGCATGAACTTACTAATCCATAATATTTGCATCGCATTCAGAGGATTCTTGAACCCCAATCCAGTACTGACAAGAACCAAACTCAACGCTGCAACGCTAGTGCTCAATTGAAATGTGATGAAATTTTGAATATTGTAGAAAATGCCCTTTCCCTGCTCTATAGCTCTAAGAATCGTAGAAAAATCGTCATCAGTTAAGATCATATCAGCTGCTTCTTTTGCGACATCGGTTCCCAGCAGGCCCATGGAGATTCCGATATCTGCTTTTTTCAATGCTGGTGCATCGTTGACTCCGTCGCCTGTCATTGCAACGACGTCTCCTCTATATTGTAAAGCCTTAACAATTTTCATTTTATGATCCGGGCTGGTTCGGGCGAATATCGACGTGGTGGCCATTGCTTGTGCGAGCTCTTCAGTGCTCATATGGTCAATTTCGTCACCTCTCAAAACTGTCCTTGCTGTCCCCGACATGTTGATGGGCATGCCTAGTTTCTTCGCGATGGCTACCGCGGTAGTTTCAGCGTCACCAGTAATCATTATCACTCTGACTCCTCCCGTTAAAAGCCGGCGAATTGATTTGTGCACATCCTTGCGTGGGGGATCATTCATGCCGACAATTCCGGCAAAACAGAGACCCGTATAACATTCTTCGCCGTGCAGTTGATAGTCATCCGCTTGGCTATGGGAGAGAGAGTTTGGTTTTTGCATACTTCTGATCGGACCACTCGCAAAAGCTATCACTCTCAAACCTTCCTGAGCCATTGACTCGGTAGCTTGTCGTGCGCTTTGCCTTCTCCGTTCATCCAATATCACCTCGCGGCCATCTTTGGTTAAATAGGTATCGCATCGCTTTAAGACCTCCTCAAGAGAACCTTTGATGTAGGCAACTTCACTGCCATGCTCGTAGCCACCGTCTGAAGCGCTGTTGCTGACCACAACACCCATCCACTTCCGTTCCGAACTGAAAGGCGTTTCCGACACTCGTGCATTGACCCTAAGTCGAACATCGTCTTCACCAAGCACATCTAAAAGGTCAAGGAGAGCGACATCGGTTGGCTGGCCGACCCAGCGGCTTCTCACTGCACCTGAAGATCGGTCGGCAGTCGACGATAAAACAGCGGCCGAAGATGCAGTTGCAGGGGAGTTCGCATGGGCACGGGAAAGCCGGCTATTGTTGGCAATATTTCCAACGCGAAGTATTGTTCGAGCCGCTGCGGTGAGAGTAGCCGGTGCATCTTCTTTCTGAATTTCAAAGGGCTCCTCGGCGTCGAAATGCCACATTTTCGTAACAGTCATATGATTGAGCGTAAGGGTTCCGGTTTTATCGCTGCAAACCACATTGACGGAGCCCAGTGTCTCAACGCTAGGCAGTCTCCGCACGATTGCTCCGCGATTTGCCATCCTGAGAACGCCCAGTGCTAGGGTTACTGTAACAATGATTGGAAGTCCTTCCGGAATCGCTGCCACGGCGAGGGATACCCCTATGGTGAACATTTCCAGAAGCTTCCTGCCTTGGATTAATCCGATGAGAACAATTAGACCTATAACAACAAAAGATACATAGGACAGTTCCTGCCCAAGACGATCCATTGAAAGTTGTAAAGGGGTTCTTGGGCTTTCAATTTCTTGAAGGGAGGCGGATATGCTTCCAAACTCTGTATTCGGCCCGGTCGCAATCACAATGCCTTGTCCATGACCGGATCGTACCAAGGTGCCCATGAAAGCAATATTGTGTTGTTCGCTGAGACGAAGGTCTGTCCCAACCGTGCCAGCCGCAGGTGAGTAGTAGAACGGCGATCGAGGAGGGGTGGAATTTTGAACTGGGTGGAGGGTCTTTGCCGGGCTGCCTAGCGCACGAGAGAATTTTGACACTGGCTCGTTCTCTCCCGTCAAATTCGATTCGTCGATTGTGAGATGAGTAGCTCGGGTTATACGCAAGTCAGCGGGAATGCGATCTCCAGTGGAAAATAAAACCAGGTCTCCAGGGACCAATTTGCTTGCAATAACCGTTGTAGACCCCTTTGCAGCTTGATTGGTGGTACATGAAGAGCTATCCGTGAGTTCTTGCATTTCATACTGGTCTTTGGTGTTCACCATACCAGGAGTGGACCGTCCAGTGGACCCGGATGGTATGTTGCGTACCAAGTGAGCATAATGTGGAACCAGTCGACTCAATGCCTCCAGGGATTTCTCTGATCTGTATTCCTGCACAAACCCCACGCTGACAACGATTGTCACGGCCAAGGTGATGCTAACAGCGTCGTCAAAATTGTGCATAAAAAACGAGATTACAGCGGAGCCAAGCAGTAAAAGGATCAACGGCTCTTTGAATTGTTTCAGAAACCGTAGCCAAAGTGGCTCTGGTTCTTCATGAGGAAGCTCATTTGGGCCATCCCGAAGCAACCGCGCTTCAGCGTCACTCGGAGTAAGGCCATGAACCAGGTCTGTATTGAGGCGTTCCGCGGCTTCTTGCGGGCTTAGTTTCGAATACGTCGAGGTAATGGAGGAAGATTGCACGGTCGACCGTTTCAAGGGTGATGGGACAGGCGAAGGGGTTCGAAGGGGGACCGAGGCATCACGGAGCGGCAACGAAGGATAGAATGTTGACATCTCTTAAACTTTCATGACCAGTAAATATCAGCACTGTCAGCCTTCCTGTTCATGACATGAGAATGAAGGGCTGGAAAAGAGCCCGATGTTAAAAGACGGGTCCCTTCAGCATAGGCGACAATTCGTGTGAATGGCTGGTGAAGCTGGATATCAGACGGAAACCGCAAAGTAGGATGAGACGAAAAATGAGGGTGTTACAAAGGAAACTCGCAATTGAACAGAAAAAGAGAGGCCAATGTCAATAATGTCAGGTAATGTGCTTTTCGCCTTCTGATCAGCTAGTTAGCTCCTTGTTCAGCTCAGCACAGCGGAATGCTGTTGAACTGCAACGTTGGCGTTCCTCTTTGCCTGGGGACCTTTGGCCGATGTTAGGGGATTATGTAAGAGAGTTGAGGCTCTGATTGGCTAAAAGGGAATATAGTATATCCGTCCCGATTTCAAAGATACACTAGTAAATACGCAGATTACTAATCATCCAGCCACTCGAGTTTGTTGTTTTTGCTGTGCTGCTGCCTCTTTCTCCCAGGAAACCGAACAGCCACGAGCATCCCGCACAACGCGCCCTGAAGAACCCCCGACCCACGAACGAATCCCCCGCAACATATCGACGATTACAAGTCACTTGTTTGTGCTCGCGTCTAAAGGACAGCTACTGTGATTGACTTGCCGCTTTTGTCGCGACCCGTCGGCTCGTGGTCAATGTTGGGTACAGTCCTTCGCGTCAATGCCCTCTGTTGACTGACCTCCTCCGACTCGACCCGACTTATTTGTTAAACCAACCTCGACACCCTCGACTATTGGGAGTTAAGCTTGGGTATTCGCGATGTTTTACTCCGAGACGCTTCTGTCCAAGACGGGGCCGCTGGCCCGCGTCTGGCTGTCTGCTAACCTGGAGCGCAAGTTATCGAAAGCTCACATTCTTCAGTCGGACATTGAAAGCAGTGTTAATGCAATTGTGGACCAAGGCCAGGCACCTATGGCTTTACGACTAAGTGGCCAGCTGCTTTTGGGTGTTGTTCGGATCTACAGTCGCAAAACTAGATACCTCCTTGACGACTGCAATGAAGCCCTGATGAAGATCAAAATGGTGAGCATTCTGTCTAATTTTAATGCTACATTGTAGACGTGGTGCTGATATTCTTTCTAGGCATTCCGATTGACCAACAACAACGATCTTCCAGCCACAGTCCCCCTGCCACCAGGCGGTATTACTTTACCAGACGTTTTGACTGAATCGGATCTATTTATGAATTTGGATACGTCAATCTTGTTCTCGCAGCCATTGCAACTGGACCATCGTGACAAAGGCCCCGCAGCTTCTCTTGGTTGGTCGAGCCAACTGCTTCCTGACAGCAGCTCGCCCCAAAAGGCTCGACCAGTCGAACGACCTCATTTAGAGGATGATACCGGTCTTGTTCTCGACTTGGGTGAAGATGAAGACATCCCCCTTGGCCACGACACCAGTATTGAAGTTGGCAGAAATGCCCCTGCCGCGCGCCCCATGGGCGAAGATTTGTTCAGCGAGGAGCCTCGCTTGTTTGATGACGATTTAGATCTTGACCTTGGCTTAGATGCTGCGCCTCTCCCCAAACTCGGCGGTGATGATACCGAAGTTCCCCAAGATGAAATCGACAGGGCAGTACAGCATGATGAAGATGTGGCAATGGGTGGCATGGAAGAATTGGGCGTTCCTATTGCCGAAGAATCCACCATTCTAGCAGACCAAGGCAACGACTTCTTACGGAACTCACAGTCTCCACTATCATCGGCGCGCTCAAGCGTTGTTCGTGAAATGGAACAGTCATTAATGAACGAAGAAGCAGTCACGGCGCGCCAGCAGCAACGAACCAAGCGTAGAAAGTTGATTAAACCCGACCACGATACCTTCTTTTCAATGGATAAAATAAAAGCACAGCAAGACGGCCGCTCCAAGATCCTCAAACCAGAATCGTTTCTATCATTCCTGCCGCGTGATCCCGTATTGCTCACCCTAATGGCCATGCAGGAAAAGGGTGAATTCGCCTCCAATGTTATGGCAGGCTGTAGCATTTACAGTTGGGCACCAGAGTTGAAGAACATGCTTTCAATCGATTGCGTGAGACAAGCCGGTCAACTGAAGCGAAAAAGGGATAGCGGGGTCTCTGATATCGATTTGGAAGGAGGAGAGAAAGGCCCACAGCTTGAAATACGAGAAGATGAGGGTATCACGCATTTCGATGAGGGAGTTGCTTTGGGAGCTGATTCATCTAGCGTACTTAATGCTACTGAAATCCATCTTCCTGGCGAGGATGAAGTGCAGGGTCGTCCAGAGAGAGAAGAATGGAGCGACGGAGAAGGAATTGGCCACCGAGATGACTACGAAGACGGCGAACCAACCATTCAGCCGATTGATAGTGGCCCAATCTCTCTTGGAACGAAACATGCGGTGCATATTCTTCGTGAACAATTCGATGCGCCAACCACTGACGCCTCGTCACAATCCAAGAGCACGAGCGTTGTTTTCCAAGACATTCTTCCGGAGAAGACTACAAACAAGGACGATGCGACCAAAATGTTCTTTGAAGTTCTCGTTCTAGCGACTAAGGACGCCGTTAAGGTCGAGCAAAGCAGTACTGTGCTCGGTGGACGGTTGAAGATCAAAGCTAAACAAGCTCTGTGGGGCTCTTGGGCTGAAACAGAAGCTGGCGGTGAAATCGCATCCCAGGCAGCGGAAGTTGCTGTGTAATGGAGAAGAGGTAACTCGTGTGGGTGTGTATGATGGCATATTCTTCCTCTGGGGTGGATCTTAAAGGGATACTTTTTGGTAATCAGTGCATGAGTTGTTTTGGCCTTTGCTTTTTGCTTTTCCTTGGGGACGTCAACGTATTGGGAAGCGTCTTGACACCCCTTTGCCGGCTTTTGTTTGGTATCTTCAAACCCGTTCTTCTCGTCTATCACGCCACGTCGAATACCCGAGATCTTCAATGCTTGAGTTTTCTGTATGAATTTTGAAAATTGTTTTGGCTGTTCAATGTTTTTGGGAGGTTCTCTACCCTGGTTGGCTTGTCTGTCTCGTTTCTCCTGCCATTGAATTGAGTGCTTTAATAGTCTGTCGGATTTGGGACTAGGTATTAGTTTGTAGCTCGTATCTTGAATCGAATGTCTACTCAACAGCGTTGTCTTTGGAATCTCAACCATTCACACCATTTCTCTACTGAACTTTGAAACTTGACATTGGTGTTTAACCGGATCGTTTCACGTTCCGCGTGCATATCAATGTTCTGGCTGTTGATTGGCCAATTGCCTCAACCTTCCCCAAACGCGTCGCGACAACCGGTGAGCACCATCTTCACTCTCCACAGGCATCAAGCAGGTCGGTTGACATGCGACAACGCGCCGTTCTTGAGCCCAAGTCGCGGTTGACTTATCAACATGGGCCATGACAGGCCATGACAGGCGAGAAAAACCAGGCGAAGCACGGAGCTCCCCGCCAGACGCGTCGGAGCGTCTCTTCCTCTTAATCCCCCGCGGATCCCGATTATTCTCCTAGAATAATTGAGTCTCTTCATTTCTTTTCTCACAGACTTCCTCAGGAAAGGACAGTCGCAGTGTGCTGGTCATACCCCCCAGTAGATTGTCCAGGAGACAATCGCATTCCGTTCCACCCCTGATTTTCCCAAACGGCTTCTATCAGTTGTTAGTACAGTTACCATGACTCGGCCATTGGTTTTCCAGTATCGAAGCCGTGGCCCTTCGGAAGATAATAGAGATCCTCGCTGGGAGATGGATCTCCATGGACGATTCGCGACTAGTATCTTTTCGGTGGTTGCTATTTCTTTGTTCGCGGCGGCCGTGCCGCGATGGGATCCGAGCATTGTCGAAGCTACGGGCTCAACGCTTGGCAAGTGGCAGGATATTGTCCCGATATTGCTGGTATGAGAGTCTTTTCTTTCTCCCTACTTTACGACAGCAAGCTTTCTAGCTTTTGTTTTCGCATCATACAAAAGGAATTCTGCTTGAAACCAGGGTCTCTGGAATGCATTGGGCTGATAATTATCCGCACATAGCTCGGCTCTTCCCTTGTGTTCAACTTGGTGAATATAATATTCACCACGTACCTTTTTTCATCTCTTCATCGGATTACTAGACTTGTGGGAGATGCACTCGTTTGCGTCTCTCTCATACCAGCCATTTTCCTCACAATCTGGCACGCCAGCTTCTTAGCCTGGAGGCCCGCTGCGACCGAGGGTCTGGGAGTCGTCATTTGCCATGGACAGAATAAGTACTCGGAAGAGTGCTTCCCCGCTTTGTACGAAATTGGCTCTTTGGAAATTGGGGCCGTGGTGTTTTCATGCCTTGTGTGGTAAGCAGACAATATGGAGATCCACTAGACGCATGCCACTAAAGACCCGACCTAGGGTTCTACATCTCGGCCTATTCGTTTACGCCATTTACGCAATCTACGCTCCTCAGCCGAAACGAACGAGCCGCCCATGTTTCCACGACCATTACTATGGTCACGGGAGGCGTCATAGGCGACGAGACGATCATAGGCACCGCCGAAGACGCCACCGTTCGCATCGAGGGGAAAAGAAAGAACGGATTTTTGTTCGCCTCGATGACTGTGAGCGCGGCCCTGAGGGGGATTTCTACACGCCATATCACCAAATTGTGGACGAGGCTACATGGGATGCGGGCATGGTATCAAAGAGATAAGAAACGTACAAACTCTGTGACCTCGTTTCGAAGGCTAAATTTAGGAGAGATCGCAGGTTCAAAGGTGGTTTGGGGTCAGGATCGGCGAGTTGGCTAGCAAAAATAATTGATTCAAACTGCGGAGGTTCAAACTTCTGTCAGCATCTACCCTGAGAAGCATGTAACTAAGTACATCTAGCAGCAAGACAACTCATTTCGAGACATACTCTCACTTCCTGACTCCAGAGTAGTCGGTTTAGTTGTGTTGTCAACCTGGGGTACACCCCCTGAGAAACGATGATGTCATCGCCTAGAACCAGCGTCGACCAGATATCAAGATCTCGATACAGCCACCATGGAAAAGGTATGTGGTTTGGGTAATATTTAATCGCTAATCAATCGCTCAAGCCATTGTATCTCCCTCACTATTCGCCTCTTAAGGATTCTTACTATAAAGTAAATGTGAGTGCTAGCTAACACCCAGGTCGACTATGGCAACCAGTACACTAACAAAAGCTCCCTCAGCTATTCAAGTCTAGATATTTACTATACGCTTTCCAAAAATCAAAAACCATGGGCAGCGCACCACCCTCCGGCGGCCCCCGAACCGGTATCCCTTCCAAAGCAGGCACACGCCGCGGCGGCGCCGGGGCTGAACCCACACCGGCCACCAATGTAGACCACGACGGCCCTCATGCCCACAAGCAACTCGACCCGTCCCAGTCCGAAGCCGTACTGGGGAGTGCAAGGAAGCATCACGGACACAGCGAGTCGACGGGTTCATCGATGTTCTCTTCCCTGGAAGATCAGAAGAAGCACGGTGAGGAGATGCAGGGGTTTGAAGGGGGCCATCCAAAGCTGGAGAGCTATTCGTTCGCGGAACAGAAGCCGGGAAGTAAGAGTTTGGCGGGTCAGTTTATGGAGAAGTAAGTGCCTTTGTTTTTCCTTCTTGAACTGCCCTAAGACCCCCATGTTTTCTCTCCCTTGCAAACGGGATTTGAATAAATGGGTTTGCCTCCTTGGATATTTGAGCACAATGTGATGGCCCTTGCTGACATATGGGCTTCTCTCCTTCAGATTCAGATAAATCACTGCAGGCCTGGACCAGGGTATGTGAATGTAGGTGTGGAGGTCCGCCTAGATGGATGAGGGAACTTGAAATGATATTTCTTAAAACCAGTCCTTTTCAAGGGAAACTATTCCATTGTGTGTAAATAGTTTCATGGGTCATGGAGTTCAGGGTCGTTGCCCCGTACTTTGATTGCTGCCTTCATGTAGAGCCGTGCTTCTCCATGGGGTTGAATTTCACATAGTTAACTAACTAAGCATCATCCAAGTTCCACAAAGCTGAACATGTATCACCAGTAAACATATATTCATTTTTCCCAAGAGCTCGCTGTTGTGCGACACCACTGAAGATGCAAGGAAGCTCGCCCGAACCTGTCTCTCACGTGGCACGCATGGACTTCAGTCGATCACAACCCCGAGTTTGAGAAGACTATAGCATCAATATCAAAATGGTACTCAGATGTACTCAATGCCAAAGGCACCACTTTGGATCAATGGGTAAGGATGCAAAGGATCCGGCATGGCTAAGAGGGTGCATGGCCTCAGGCCCTGTCACTAATAAAACTCGTTGACTCCCCTGTTCACTGTGGGCCGAAGATCAACAATCTCACACTTGGAAAAGCGACTCAAACTGATACCAGGCGGAAGAGATCTTTACCGACCGGATCTGATCTCTGGCTAAGATGACTAAAATTCTCGAGGGCAATCAAACTTCTTCCTGACCCACAGGTTGGCTCTATCGCGGCAGCTTCGAGTTCAGCTCTGAATCCCTGATAGCGCTCCTTCGTGATTTGCCGTTTGTCGCTTGTTTTGAGCACATTAGCAATGGATCTTCCTCGCTGACCCATTCAGGCTACCGGTACCACCGCCTCTGAGCTCAGGTTCGATATGTCGGGATCTGGAGATGATACCTCCAATGCCACTACTGAACAAGAAAAGCAGTTCCAGCCTATTCGGCAGCCCGACGCCGGCGCTCGCTCTCCGGAACTGACACGGCAGGGGAGCAAGAGAAGTTCCAGGTCGCTGGAAAGGTCGACGTCGCTGGGAGACGGTTATACCCACCCCCGCGTGGACAATGACCGGCTGCAGGAATCCGATGGAGAGCAAGAGTTGCAACGGGAGCCATCAGCTCGCGCAACGGACTTTATCGTCGGATGGGATGGGCCGAATGACCCTGAAAAACCCTCGCAATATGTCCTATGCGAGGAAATGGCTAATTGTGATAATTCTGGCCATGGGCTCTCTTTGCGCGTATGGAACTAGCTTCATCGGCCTCCCCTCTCGCCTGGCAGAGACATACTGACTACAATGCCTCAGGACATGTGCATCCTCTATGTATACGATGACATACCCCCAAATTACAGTCGAGTTTGGCGTTTCGCGGCTGGTTGCCACGTTGGGGCTATCAACCTACATCCTAGGCCTTGGTGGGTTCAAATTTCCTTCTGACATCCTAAACAGCCCTGACCTTAAAACGTTCTAGGAACTGGGCCATTGTTTCTGGCTCCATTATCGGAGGTATGCTCCTCGCACGCTTTCTACTTGTATGCGTTTCCCTGACATAACATAGTTCTTCGGAAGGCGAATCGTTTACATTATCTCTTTTGTGTGCTTCGTCATTTGGCTAGTTCCATGCGCGGTAGCTCGAAATATTGAGACCATGGTTATCGCACGATTCTTCAATGGCATGTCGGGAAGCGCTTTCTTGAGCGTGGCGGGCGGAACTGTGGGTGATATATTTGAGCGGCACCAGCTAGCAGCGCCGATGATGGTATACACAGCTAGCCCGTTTATGGGACCGGAGATTGGGCCTTTGTAAGAGCGGCCCCTGGGTATCAGCAACACCCAAGGTTCAGAACTAACATTGCACTCCTAGGCTTGGAGGGTTTATCTGTCAATATACTACTTGGTTGGGACACCTTGGGCTGCGCCGGCTATTTCAAGTGTGATGCTGACTCTCATTTAGGCACTGGGTCTACTACGTTTTGCTCATGTGGGGAGGAGCCGTCGCGGTTTCCATCATCCTGTTTGTTCCAGAGACGTATCATCCCGTTTTGTTGCGACGCAAAGCAGTGAGTCGTAGAAAGCAAACCGGAGATGACAGGTGGATCGCACCTATAGAAAAGCTGGACAAATCCTTGGTAAAGACCGTGCTTCGTTCGGTATACCGGCCCATGCTCCTACTTGTATTCGAACCAATGTGCCTCAATCTTTGCGTTTTCTCCGCAATCCTTTTGGGGATCCTGTACCTATTCTTTGGGGCATTCCAACTGGTCTTTTCGACTATCTACGGCTTCGAACTCTGGCAAGTTGGAGTGAGCTTCTTGGGATTGCTGGTGGGAATGGCAATTGGAACTGCAAGCGATCCAATATGGTCAAGAAATTATGGGCGTCTTACCCGTAAGCGGCAACAAGCTGTGGGGAGAGAAGAGTTCGAACCGGAATGGCGATTACCACCCGGTGAGTAAATATATCACCGACGACTTATCTGGTGGCGGTATGAGGCTGATAGCTTGTTCGAAACAGCGATCGCCGGCGCCCCTCTAGTCACGATTGGGCTGTTTATCTTTGCCTGGACTATATATCCACATGTTCATTGGATAGCGCCGATAATTGGGAGTGCTATCTTCGGCATAGGGTATGTTGGTCTCTTCATTCCGATGATCAGCACCGATGGATCAATTCCTACTTGGTACCAGAATAACAATGCAGATGGCTGACAAAATCGGCATCTGCAGAACAATTCTTGTCTATTCTGGCATTTTCACGTTCCTCGTTGAGTCGTATCCGCTATATGCAGCCAGCGCTTTGGCCGCCAACAGCTTCTTGCGCTCGAGCTTCGCGGGTGCATTTCCTCTATTCGGAATACAAAGTGAGTGCCATCGTTTGCGTTTGACCTATTGACGATTTGAACCGTCGACGGTCTGCCGTGCTACCCGCCATGGCAAATGTCCTCGACACACCCCACGTGGGACTCCTTATCCGTCAGTCATTTTCAACGTTGAGCTGCATCTCGTTTATGAAACACGGTGCAGGTCTGCATTCATCCCGTCTTCCAGCATTTGGCGCCGAGACCATCTTTGCTCCACGTGAATGCGCTCTGACCTGCAGTTTGGGCGACGCGACGTTACACAGAGGCGTATGTGGGATTACCATGCTAACGGCCTTCTCTTCCCTATGCAGTGTACGAGAAGCTTGGGTACAATTGGGCAACAAGCCTCCTGGCATTCTTGACTCTGGCCATGGCCCCGTTTCCGTACGTACACGATTTCTTTTGCATCCTCTGTCTTCAAAATCTACTTCATCACAACAATTGGCATGTTGCGTCATTCTCCCACAGCGACCCTTGGTTTGCAAAATGGTTCTAAGGCCTTGTCCCTTGTATATTACTATTTGCCTTTGTACAGCATATACGACGGCCCCCATTTCGTGAGAATAAGGGTGTTATCAGCCTCTTGCTTGCGGCTGTGAAGGCAGCCTGCCTGTCCACAATGCGAAAATGCTGAAGACTCCCGTTGGAATTTAAACGTCGCTACCACGCGCTCGCCCCCTTTAAAGTTCGCTCTGTCTTGGGGAGCTTCTAACACAGACGTTACACATCCCTTGTGATACTGAATCAACCACCCCGGGCGGGATGGACCCCGCGTTCCAACCCGAACAGTCGGACCCTTATTGATAGTGCGGCTTTTTGAGCCTTGTGTTGCGCATCTCTGTGATCCGTTCTCGGGAAGATGTGCTAACCTCATTTCGCTCTAGGTATATATTCTTCCGCTATGGTAAACGCATTAGGAAGACGAGTCGATTTGCAACTGCCACATCTGAATGATCATAATCAAGGGGCGTCGTACTTTTGCGATTATCGCCACATTCCTCGTGTCCTGGGCGCGTGGTATTATTTTCCGGACTGCATATGTAATTATTATAATTAACATTATTATTCATTATTCTTCATAGGCTCTTATGGAGTCTTTAGACTATGAAGAGCCACCTTAGCAATTCACCCAACTAGATACAGGCTTATGTTATCCTTGATGTGAGGACTCCAGCTAGCATTCCATTTAACAAAGCTTGAACCGCGCAATGATCTCAGGGTAGGCTATTGCCCCCAGTAAGTCACCTCACTCTCCTAACAGCGAATCATGCCCCTAGAGAAAAACCCTCAACACCCAGAGCAACTGGAACATCTAAACACTTGCAAACCAATAGAAAACATGTGGATCATATGACTAATACAACCATGTAGTGGGCTCATCTCCTCCTTTCTCCATGCATCCTAGTCCGTACCAGCCAATACTCCGTACCAGCTCATGAATTGCACCCTAGTCCTCCCAGAGAAGGGGGATTCTCTGTGGTAAGAAATATCATTTGGGGATAGCAGGATTCGATGTAGTGGCTTGCCCCGTGTTGATTCCCCCTCACCCGTCTTGCCTTACACGTGAGGATCATTTAACTAGACGGCTGGCTTGCAGCGAGAAAAGCGTGTCGGATGGCCATCCCGACCAAAGATGGGTTTTGGTCAAGCTCAGGGTCGTTCATTGATCAACAACATTTATTTCCCTGAAAGTAATCAGATAAAAAGGGCTTTTTTTGGCCTCGGTAAAGGGGTTTTAAGCTTATTCGTCCCGTTGCCTTTTGGTCTCGGTTGGGTGCATGAATAATTGGGTATATTGGTACCATTTTCGGAAGCATTTATTTTTCCAATGAGAGGGAAACTGTACAAATCAGGCTTTCTTTGGCCAACTTTTTTTTCTGTACAAGGTACCCTTAACCATAACTGCTCCTGTAGTTGGGGAGCAGAAAGATAGTGACGATGACGATATATCCATATTGATGATACATGGATTTCAGACTGGGCTGATGTCTGGAATGCCCTTTGGATGCCGATCAGGTGGTCTGTGTGTTAACACATCGTGGAGTAGAATATCACAGAATGTTGCTCCAGTGCCGCACGCAATTCCGGGTCATTTGAGACTTGGAGAAACGGCGAATGACAAGAATGATATGAGAGTGGTTTCTCAAGTGCCGGCATTCTGCTTGCAGGATTACTCATACGTCTGGGAGATTTAAGGGGGATTCATATGAGACCGTTGCTCAAGGTGCGCGGTTCCTTGACTTGCGGATTACTCATACTTCTTTGATAAGGGGAAAGGAAAAGAAGATTCATATGAGATTGTTTCTCAACGGCCGGCCCTCTGCTTGCGGATTACTCATAGTTCCCTTATGTCACAAGTCACAAGAAATCTAATAACAGCTGTGCCTTTTTTTTTTTTTTTTTTCATCTGGAACTGGGACACAGCTAGGGGAAATGGAATTTGAGAGCGTGATTGGGTGGTTGACTATTGAAGCTTGCTCTGACAAATTTGCAAGTTTTCTAATCATTGCCTTTGTTGATATTCGCCCGCAGTCAGGCGAGATCAGAACAGCTAGTTATTCGGATTCCGTCATCCCTTCGAAGCCGTGCGCTGTGGGATACTCGATGCCGAGACGGTGACGCCGTGGCGGTTAGTTACCGGTCAGATGGGTGAAAAGAAGCAAGGAATCGAAAAGAAAAAAGAAAGGAGGAGGCGTGCTCCACGGCCCAGCCAGTCACAGGGAGAAAGCCCAGAATTTTGAGAAGCGCTTCAGCGATGAAATCGGTCTAGGAAATTCGAAGCGAATCATCAGCTTGGGAATTTCTGATGCGGCGAATCGGAGCATTTCGAAACTTGACTGAACAAAGGCCTTTTTTACTTTTTTTTACCCATTTATCTCTTCGTCCTTTTATTTTCGGGTCTTGTTGGCATATTTTTCAGTTGTTTTATTTTTCCTTTTTCCTCTCTGTCGACTTGCGCCTAACGAAACTTCACTTCGACAGCAGAGAGCTCACAAGAACCGTTGGCAGACCGGAGTGATTTTTGGTGACGGTGAGAGTGACGGTGCGACGGTTGTCGCGTGCCTTGTTACCTTGTTACGTCGAATCAAGGGAAGAAAGCGGATGGGATGAACTGGGTGGATGGGAAGATATGGAACGAAAAGCCGGACGAGAGCGCACAGGCCTCAATACTAACAACGACCCGGGCGACTTCTTCTGTGGCTGTGGCCCGTTTTCTGCGATGATTAATCTTGACTATCAGATGCAGGTCAACGTGATTCGAAAAGGGCGAAGGGTTGTGATCCTGGGCTGGGCCGTCGGTAGCCGGGGACAGGAGTTGTTTTTGCAAGGTGTGTGATTATTATTGAGCTGGAACTCGAGGGTTGCTGGGGGGAAGAAGAGCATCGGAATGAGGAGTGCTTTCTCGTGTTCAGTAATTCATCTTTGCTGCCCGACAAATCCAGGATGTCATCAAGTGTCGAGACTGAGGACGATTGGCAGTTGAGGATTTCCACTTGACAGGCTAAATTTGGAACTCCGCCTTTAGCTTCACGCCCAGCCGCTGGTGCTATTTTGATGTCGATTCACTAGACTTGTTAGCACACAATGACGGGGCTATGGGGGGTTGCGATACAGAGTTGGCTTGATCTCTGATTCTCTGGCCGGATTGCCCCGAGTGTGAGCTCCAGGCAAGACCCTGGGCAAATCCAGGCAACTCGACTACAGAGTAACTAGTTATGCTTGTAAGATTCGAGGTCACTCTTGAGCGAGGCTGCGGGCATGGTCGACGACCTCGGCTCGGCAATCCCATCTCTTCATCTGCTGAGATACATGCCAGAATGCGAGGACGATGGCTTTGCATCAAGAAGCATCGTCTACGCTGTCTGGATTTTGCATCAGGGTAGTGGAGGGCGCTGTCAGATGCTCAGCTCTAGACCAAAGAGTCAAGGGTTCTTGTCTGTAGGGATTGCATGGGTGCTGGTGGATGTTATCCCATCCCATTCGACGGCGGGAAGTACCCCTTGGGTAAAGAAAACTCTTCCAGCAATCTAGCAATCCTCATGCTGGGGCTGCCGTGAAGCTCCATTGATCCGCCGGGCGGGACAAGACAGGGTGGCATCTGGGGCAGACGGGCAAGATCCGTCGCGCGCACTGGATGCTGCTCACCAGCGGCTTCGGGGGCCATCTCGAGCACGCTTTCATATGTGTCTGTCTGGACGGCATGTGAGACGGGCAGCCAGATCATCTGTCAGTCAGTCACTCAGACCAGCTGCGTAGCTAAAGAGATGGGGAGCTGGAGTGCAATTCGAGCGCAAGGTTGAGCAGCAACCCATAATTGCAAAAGTTGATCTCGAATTTGGCTGTGGATTCGCATTATTAAAAGACAATATTTCCATCAGAATCAATAAATAGCGAAGCCTTCCCCGCAGCCGTCTTTTTCATCTTCTTCGAATTGACGCTCAGGCTCCTCGTTAACCATTAACTAACTACTGCCATCGCATCTCCGCCAGAAACTTTCTCCCGGCTCTTGTTACTCATCTCAACCGCACAGCACACTCGATCCGCCGCATTGCTACATCTCCTCTCCTCTCCTCTCCTCTCGCCCATCCCGTCTGCCGTTCGATCGCGTGTCTGCTCAAAAGTGCGTTCGCCGCCCGCTCGCCGCACGCCCGTTTCGCTTTTCCTCCTCCCCGCCGTCGATCTCCCCCGATCCCGCTCCTCTCGAGACGAGTCGCACAACGACGTCCAGCAGCCCGTGGACGTGATTGATGAATATCTATCTCGCAATCGACCCGCCGGCCATCGCACTTTGTCGAGAAAACACCCTCCGTCTTCCCCCGGTTTCCATTCGCTACCAGTCGCTGCCGCAGCTTCACTCTCTCGGCCCTTATCCTCTGCCCTCGATTGGACTCTCTTAGCACCTGAACGCGCAGAAGCAACACCCGTGCGCTTTTTTTTCTTTTTTCCCTCCTAATCATCAATTGCACGTCAGACCTGGTCCCTCCTGTCTGCGCCTCACCGGCCCAAGGAACCGATTTCTCACGCTTTGGTCGCACGACATACGCCTCTTTCCAATACTCGTCCTGTCTCCCTCGTGATCCCGACTCCCGCTTCTTGATCGTGTATTCGTCGCCCGCGGTTTCTCCGTTTCCAAACTGTCGTGCGACTTGGGGAACCTCTCTTCCTCCCAATTCGCCTACGCTAGCTCCTCTTGCTCGTGTAGAGACCCAGGTGGACTTCCCGCCAAGCTGGAATCGCCCACTGACCCTTCGTTCCATCCTCCTGGTTCGGTACGGTCCCCCAGGCCCCCCCCAAAGCGATAATCAGCCATAGCCTGCAGACGGTTACATGCAGCACGGGGTGACATTTCCACCTACAAACGTGGGCTTCGATCGGCAACAAAGGAGACGAGACGCGCTGACTCTCCCCGGACCGTATTTGGCGTGAATCCCGTTCAGCCACATACTTTGTTGCTCAGTCAGCTGGCATTGCGGTTCCTGAAACCCTGCCGCAGCTCCTTGGTGCCGCCGTTCCCATTCTTCACTTCCCTGAAAAGAAAAAGCACGGGAGAAGTCAAAAGGTGTCGTGTCGCGGCTACCGCACAGGACCCCCTTCTGAAAAGCTATATATTATGACGTCCAATGCCAGAAACGGGCCACTTCCTCCGAATCCACTTGCGAATTCTGGGAATAACCGCGACATTTCTGCAGACATAACCATGGCCGAACAGGTTGTCCGGCCCGAGTCACAGACTCAAGTCGAGAACAGCAGTACCAAGCAGCCGAACGGGCAGACAAAACCAATGTCCGCATCGAATGCAAAGGACCCCTTGCGCCCTCGGAGGAAAAAGGCAAAACGGGCTTGCTTTGCCTGTCAGCGGGCCCACCTAACATGTGGTATGTGCGGCTTCAAAACCTCCTGCCAACCTTTCCCATGTGTCGTACTTGACTTTTATTCTCGTATATCTTCTATTTTTTGCCCGCAACCCCACTTGAACAATGCATTTCTTTTGGCCATGATGCGCATGTTGAATATGAGCATCCGAACTTGACTGCACTGCGGGCTTTATATGCCTACCATCACCCTGCTGTGCTTGCTCTGAAAGAGCTCATTGCTGAATCCCTATCAATAGGTGACGAAAGGCCGTGTCAACGCTGCATCAAGCGTGGAATCCAAAATTCTTGTCACGATGGCGTTCGCAAAAAGGCAAAGTATCTGCATGACGCTCCAAATGAAGCCTTGATGCCACATCTCCAAGGCCAATTATACACTCAAACAAACGCAGTGCGGAATAATATGTCCCTCACCAGCAACGGTTCCAATTCAAAAACCAACTTTTACCCCCGGCAAAATAGCAATTTCAACGGTTATTATGCAACCAAGAATGATGGGTCCTTGAGCCAGTCGCAGCTTCACGACGCTGGCCGGCCGGATACCTTTCCTTCTCAATCCCCCGTTTCGCCGACTTTTAGTATCACAGCGAATTCAGCAACCTCAGGAAATCAAAATATGCCCTCTTCTCTCCCCGCTTCCAATGGCAACGCCTCCGGGCAAGCGCAAAATGGATTTGGCTCTGCGTTCTTTGATCCCTGCGATCCTGCCCTGTTCAACTTTGATCTTGCGAGTATGAACTTTGGAAATCACTACGGCGCCCTGGAATTTGGTATGCTTGGGCACATGGCTACCGGTGCTGGAGATACCCCACCCAGCGACAGTGCTACCCAACATGGCTCCGTTGGCCGAAATGGGTCCGGTACATTTGCACCCGGCTCGAACTTTGGAGAAAGTCCCACGGCGCAGCCATCGTTTTTATTCGGTGACCCTACGATTGCTGGCGATTGGTCATCTTCCGTCCATACGCGGAACATATACAACCAGAATATGAACCACATGTCAGAAACGCCGCATGCCTTTGCGATTGAGAGCGGACCGGCAAACTTTGCAAGCCCAAACTCGATCGAAAGCCCGTTGCTGACGAATAGTGCAACATTTGATGACAATACAACTTCCGCATATCAGAATCGGTCGAGCATGAACCCGATGCCGCCGCAGAGACAGCCGGTAGTTTCCACGCCGCAACTAAAGCATCTGCAGCTCAGCAAGCGTCGACAGCGCAATCCTTCCGCCATCTATGAGAGTGTCAAGGAGCCTTATTCTTATACGACAGGCTTCCATTCTCTAACAGCTTTTATCCAACGGCGATTTTCGACTCAAAATACGCTACGAATTGCAAAAGCCCTGGCGTCTATTCGTCCGTCATTCATTGCCACAACGAAAACACTCAATCGTGATGATTTAATATTCATGGAGAAATGTTTCCAGCGCACGCTATGGGAATACGAAGACTTTATCAACGCCTGCGGCACGCCAACCATTGTCTGTCGACGGACCGGCGAAATTGCCGCTGTAGGCAAAGAATTCAGCATCCTTACTGGCTGGAGAAAAGAGGTTCTGCTGGGTAAGGAGCCCAATTTGAATATCAACACCGGTGGGTCTTCGGGATCAACGTCAGGAACTAGCTCCCGAGGGAGTTTCACACCACGGGCGGGTATGGAGGTCAACCCCAGCGGAAGAACACAGCCAGTATTTCTAGCAGAACTCCTAGATGATGAAAGCGTGGTGGAGTTTTACGAAGATTTTGCGAAACTTGCGTTCGGCGACTCGCGAGGCAGCGTGATGACAACATGCAAACTGCTGAAATACAAGACCAAAGCGGACACGGATATGCTTCCTGGGAACACCGGTGGTACAGGAGGTGGAGATGGCCAAAGTGCTGCTTCTGGAAATGGTCATGTCAAAGTCGAAAATGGAATGGCCGCCAGCAATGGACAAGCGCAGCCACTATCCCAACCACAACGGAGGTGGAGCAGAGGCGGTATAGCTGGCGAAGCCGGAATGAACCAGCTAGGTTTCAAGGATGGCAAGGTGGAGTGCAGTTATTGTTGGACCGTGAAGAGAGACGTTTTCGATATACCCATGTTGATTGTTATGAATGTAAGTTTCCCTTTAACTGGGCAGGATCTGTGAATGGGCCTACTAACAGTTGCATTATAGTTCCTGCCATGCATATAAGTAACTTTTTCTGCTTTTGGCGTTATTTCATTCCTTGCAGGCGGTGTTGGGACAGAAAGCATTTTCCGTTTTTGGTTTTGATAAATATACCTTTGGTGGACTGCGCCGGATGTTTGCTTTAAAGAATGGGAGTCATAGGGCAACCTACAAAAAATGGTGGGAAAAGCAGAAGGCCTGGATTGGACTTAATGGGAATTTTTTCTTTCTCTTCTTTTCTATCTTTATTTTCCTTTCCTTTTCGCTGCTACAGAGTTGCCGCGCACTTCCCTTTTGAATATACGCCAGCGCAGGATTACACTGCTGTATATTGCACTTCACTTGGGTGCATATTTCTTAAGATACCTTGATTTGGAAATAGAGGCCTGTTTTTATTTTTCCTCCAAAGACGGCACATCAGTCCGTGCTGCCCGTCTGGCGGTATTTGACTTCATTAACCGTACGGATCGGCCTGGTCGCTCATTCGACGCTGCAGGATTAATTGCTTTTTTTCGGTTGAACTCAGTATTCAGAGCCTTGTCTGCTCCATAATCAGATACTGAATCACAGATGGCTTCCCATGACATGGTTAAGCAGTCCGTTAACGGCGGACTTGCTGCTCGATGCCGGGCCTCGAGTGAAATGAAGGTGTTGGAAAGGCAACAGGATGCATCTCAGTGGGGGCTTATGCAATGGTATTGAGCCCGGTGAGCAGGTTGCTTGGTGCGGTCAACACATTTCGAGGTCCAGTTGCATTTGTTAGCCTGTTGTGTTTTTTGCTTTTTGCATCTCAAATCAGCCGTATCGGCCATTCGGGGATGTCAAATGCGTCATACCCCCCACTTTCGATCGAGCCATCGCCGATGCTCGAGCCCGAACTTGTTCAGCATTCGCTTCTAATTGAAGACGTTCTTGGGATCTTCTGGCTAAACAAAACACCGCTCAGGTTTCTCGTATAAAAAGCACCAGAGAGGAACTCCGTTCTCGCTAGGTTATCAGGTTAGTTCGTTATCTGCCACCTCGTGAGCTCCAACATCTCGCATATCTCGCTATCAAGCCACCTCTGCTGATCAACGCTGCAACAGATTTTCTTTTTATTTTCCCGCCTTTCCAAACGCAAAACACGCACCAACTCCACGTCACAATGTGCATGCAAACCTCCTGCAGCACTTGCGGTACGCCCAATTATCCCAAACCCAATTCTCTCCCCCCCCCCAACTCAAGATTCTCGAAATCTAACTCCCCGCCGATCTGAAACAGGAAAGCAAACATGGCGCGGCTGCGGTCAGCACGTTGCCTCCGTGATGGACAAGATCCCAAAGGACGAATGGTGCACATGCACCCCGAAGACAAAAGTTGGCGCAACCGAGTTCCCGCCAAAGGTGGGCGAGGGTCAAGCCCAAGCGGAGCAGAAATAGGTTGCTGACTTGTTCTCTTTATTTGGGGGGGAGTGCGAAAAGGCCGGGAATATGTGCAATGTTATGTGATTGCGGTGGGAGAAGAAGGCGATGGGGTGGATCTACGTATATATATGGAAGGGTGATGAGGACCTTGCGAGGGAGTAGAGAGGTATAGTCTGGGTGAAACAGAGGGCGTACTGGCTATACTACAGAATCAAGAGATCTGAATCATAAACCGTCTCCAACCAACCCCTAAGGCCGTTGGCCGTTGGTAAAAACACCAAAAAAGAAAACAAGCAATGATTCATATCAGGTCCTACCCGGAATCGAACCGGGGTCGGCGGAATGTTCCAAGGAAATCAGAATCCGCTATGCTAACCGCTACACCATAGAACCGTGTTGAGGTACCCGAGGCTCTTTCGACTTTATCAGGGATGCGCCCGGCTTAGATCTTACCGGGAGTGGGCTTATCTTATCTCGGGAATCCGAACTGACTCAAAAGCCAAACGCCTTGTGATCCGCCCTTTGAACAGCTAGTACTACAGATATATACTTGTCTTCTTTGCGTTCGCTTCCTGCTCCACTGGAATATCCCCTGGCGCTCTTATACGCCTTTTTAAACGCTTCAAAAGCGAAAATAACACTACCCCGCGATGAGACCTGATACCCCGCGAGCGCCAATTGCCGGGCCAGACAGTGGCCCTGAGGCTCCGTTTCCAATAAGACTATCAGGACCCGTCATCAAGGGCTTCGGAAGGGGGAGCAAAGAGGTGAAACTTTCCCGAATCAACCTTCTCCCGGGAAACCGATAGCTGATACCTCTCTCCCTCCGCCCTCCAGCTCGGCATCCCAACCGCCAACATCCCCGCAGACGGCCTCTCCGCCCATCCCGATCTCGATTCCGGCGTCTACTACGGCGTTGCCGCCCTAGATCCTACGAAATTCCGCCATACCGGCGGTGATGCGCAGCCCAACGATGATACGACGATATTTCCCTGCGTGTTGAGCATAGGGTACAATCCCTTCTACAAGAACACAGTTCGATCGGTGGTAAGTTCCTTTTTGGAGAAGAAGACGATTTTGAACTCACACTCCCCGCTGTTGAATATTCGAAAAAATAAAAATGAAAAGACTAACCCCAATCAACAACCAGGAAATCCATATCCTGCCTCACCTCTCCCTTCAATCATCACCCTCTGCGTCACCCCTCACCTCCCCTCCCCCCGAACCCGCCGCAAATGACGATGCCGATAAACGACATACCCGCCATCACTTCCACCATTTCCCCGATTTCTACGGCACGCCTCTCAATCTCCTCATACTGGGGTACATTCGGCCCGAGTACGACTACGTTAGTCTGGAGGCTTTGGTGGAGGATATCCGGATTGATTGCGAAGTGGCTAAACGGAGTCTGGCGAGGAAAAGCTACGTGTGCTTTATGAGGGAGAGTGATGGCGGCTGTGATGAAGGAGCGAAGGAGTCGAGGAGCTGGCTGCGGACTTTTGAGTCATGAGTTGTGCTGGTGGCCTTCCCCTGCCGTCGCGAGAGATATGTTCTGGAGTGCTGCTTAACTGGTTACGCAAGTGCTAGACTTGATGTAGTTATATAGAACGTTTTTGAGGGTTAACGGATTCGCCTTCTATTGTCATTTAAACATCCTGGCGCTAACAAGAAGACATGCAAGACAACGCCTATGCGCTATGCTAGAATTCACGCCACAATGAGTGGATTGAAGAAACAAAAAAGGAATACAGGATGCCGAAAAAAAAGGGGTATCAAATCTGATGTATGTACATTAGAAACGCAAAGCCCATCGTCTAAGCAAAGAGAACTGCAAATCAGGGAGGCACCGGGATAGCGCGAGAAACATGACCACCCTACCACGAGCTGAACATGGTTCCTCAAGCGCAAGGTATACCACCACCGATGCTACTTAGCGATGGTTCAAAGCTGAATGAGATCGATTTCCGAAAAATCTGGGGGACTCCGACTAAAGATAGCACGGCATCGTCCATCTAGCGCCTGATACTCATTACTGATCCAGATGTGTTTGCTGAACCGCTGCGTGCGGAACACTTCGTCATCGCTGACACCCAAATCATCTCGTGGAATCCAGACAACGGGCCTTTTCGTACGAATCGCCTCGTGTTGGAAAGCGCGTTGGACAAGCTGGTCACGTTCGTCAGGGGTGAGATCTTCCAGCTCATCGTGGATTCCGGAAAATAGGGCGTGGCTGATCGCGTTGGTCGCTGGGGCTTGAGCCTCTGCATCTTTGGCTAGTTTTTCGCGCATGCGCCGAATGGTAGGCATGTTCGGATCTGATCTGCCCCCAAAATACGCGGACCTCCGTTTCCGTGATGGGTCTGCCCAGGATCGACGTCTCGCATTGGCTTTCCCCGGAATTAGGCGACTGAGTGCGTTCTTCTGAGTTTTCTTGCCACTGATACGGTTCAATTCAATTTCATTCTCTCGTTCGCCTCTTTTGTCATCAACGTTGTCCACGTCCTGCTCGTCTTCTTCATCTTCTAGCCCGAGTCTGCGCCTCTGGGCCCGTGCAAACTCCTCATCTCGACGACTGGCTTCGTCCTCCAGTGTTATCGGCAGATATCGGAACAATGGGCGGAAGGCTTGATTTAGAAGAAATTGGAAGAGAATCGTAGCAAAAAGTAGGATTATCATGCATATTGCTTGACCTTCGCAAGCAACGTCTCCGTTCTGGTCACGGACAAGGAAGAACATGCCTATGAGACAGACCTCCATGACGTATACTCCGGTGAAAAGTTGATTTATAGCTTTGGGGAATAGTAACCCGCCGGTATCGAACCGGAATTTTGTTACATAAAGGGTATTATACCGATATACCACCCAAAACAAGGTGAAGGTGAGCACGTTGAAGACCATGATAAGCGGTGATATGATGCAATAAATCAGCCCTATAAACTTCTTAGAAGTATGATACTAGGACTGCGGGTAAAAGATACATACCGATCGACGCGAGGGTGGTGTATACCGGGAAGAATGTCCCCCATTGCATCTGGTTAAGATTTGTTGTTCTCGCCCACTTCATTCTCGCAGTGTTATCAAAGATAGGCGCGAGTATAAACCAGCTCACTAAGCTAAAAATTTGGACCAGAGCACCAGCACTGACTGACATAGCCTGGAGAACCATGTACGAGAAAAAGTAGTTGCTAGCCTTTGGAATGTTGGTAGCCAGAAGCTCGGGTACGCTTGTCACATCCTTAATGGAATTAAAGATGGTTGAGAAGCCAGAAGAGATGGAAACGACGAGGAATAATTGAACGAATAGGAATGCGAAAAAGTAGTTTTGAACGGTGAGTTCAATCGCCATGCCGGTAGAAACGCCTTGGTTTTTCGAGAGGAATCGGAGTATGAGCGGGAGGAGAGCCATTAAAATCGACAGGAACAACGGGGGTAAGATTCCCTGTATCGCAGAAAGGAGCCATTGCGGGAGCTTGGAAAGCCATCTTAGCCACACAAAATTGCCTTCGAGGTACGAAAGCTGGGAAAGCAGTCCAGTGAAAGCAACTGGAAATGCCCAACCAACGACCATGGCTGATACGATAACAATAACACCAAAGGTCCTCAAATATCTTTCCCACCATTTGATCGACATGTTGTCCCAGATGACATCGTCAGGGGAGATCTCGACTAACCGAGGAGCCATTTGCTGAGGAATGTGGTGAGCCACCGATTGGCAAGCCATATGTGCAGCAACTTGGTGGTTAAACTGCACAAAGGCCGAGTTCATGAGGGGAAATTTCTCTGGGTGTTGTTGGTCGATTTCAATTTCTAGATTCAGACGGGCAAGCTCTTTACGGCAGTGGTATATCTTGTCTACCTTTTTGCCGATAAGGGGCAACGAAGGCATCCAGCTCCAGCCAAATATCGGAAGGCGCATAGTTTCACGATGTTTCTCTTTGATATACTTCTTCCAAAGTGGCTCGCCATAGTCGTCTTCCTCGTATGCTTCGTTATAAGCAACTGGATATTCCTCGTTTTCTTGGTGCTCATCCTTTTTTTGGTCCTTTTTGTCTTGGGGATTTGCGCCATCAGGTGCCATCACGGGAGTTACTGGGCTTGAAACAGTAAGCGGAAACTCATCTCCATGGCGATCGGCACTGTCCATGGGTGCTGCCGACTTCCTCCTCCATAACTTTGACAAACGAGAGGGAGGCACGTCAAAAGATCCATCAACCGGGGGAAGGCCGGATTGCCGCTCTTCAGCATCTTCGTAAAGTTCTCCAAAGGATGTGCGTAGAGGACTATCACCAGGCTGCCGATGCCCCGTTGGTCTCCCTGATGGCGTCGTCTTTATGGCCGTTGGTGGCTCGGGGGCGGCTTGAGGCTGCTCGATGGCTAGTCCACCTGTGGTATTCACTCGATCCTCAACGTTATGTCCAACTTTTCTCAGGCCTCCAAGTACGGTATGTCCAACTTTTGCGAATTCAGATCCCACAGCACCAACTGTTTGACCAACCCGAGGAATAATACCATGGCGTTCCCGCGACCCATTGTCATCGCCGGAATTCAATGCCTCTTGAATAGTATGTACGACCTCATGTGGGTTTCCTGAACTCACACCAGCGCTCTCAACAAGCCGAGATGCGTGTTTATCCGCTTCTGCCTTTTCACGTTGAATCTGATCTTTAGAGCGTTTTCCCGATCTCCTGGCCTCCTTTTTCGCCATTTTCATTTGTGCCTTTTTGCATTTCTTGATCAGTTCAGTTTCGGCCGATTCCAGCGTCAAGGCCAATTTGTTCCGCAATTTTATTTTCTCGCTCAGCTGATCCAGGTTTCGATTCAACCAGATGTTTCGAACGCCTCCGGGATAGACATCGAACAAATTATCCAATGCTTCGATGGAGAGCCACTTTTCCGGAATGGACGTCACTAGAACGGTAGTAGCAGAGGCGCGTAGACGATGCTGAGGGGACGTTAGATACGCCTGTCGGAGACGAATATAGCCCCGCAGCTCGTCGAAGAACACTGCGCACACGTATACAACCACGATAACTGCCAGTATCAAATGAGCCCAATAGCGGTTCGTGTTTTCAGGCTTCACATTTCCCCAGCTCAACCGGTCCAGTCCGGTGACATTGTAGCTCGCCCCAGCAGCACCCTTGAGTAGGCTGCTATCCCTACCGTCAACTTTGTTTACGGGGAGCAGGATTGGTAGGATGAGTAGTGCAAGAGGTATGAATATTTTAAGGAGCATGCGTAGGTAGCGTAAAAAGAAATAGGCGTCCAAGCCGCATTTTTGAATGAACTCGGAGTTCGAAGTCGTGAACACAGGTCCAATCCATCTGAATAGGCCGGGCGGAGAAGGGTTCGTGCGTTCGCGTTCAGGAACAAGGTAGGTCCGTGGCTGACTAGGGAGAGAGAAAGAAGCGTTAGAGTATATATCCACAGAGAAAGGCCGGTCGTGTGGTCTTGGAGGCGGCAACTTACTAGATCCGAATCAATTTCCCTTTGAGAATAAGGAAGAGAAGGAATTCGACGGCGAAAACGATTATCGCAGTAGCTAGTGACGCGATAAATGTAGATATTGATATACCTATGGCTTTCTGACCGGTTCCGCTCTGGGCGTCAAGGGCAGCGCCGACACTGGCGGTGCCGGAGGGACTCGCAACCATGTTGAGCGGCTGCTACCTCCTCATTCTCTCCCCGGTGGAAACAGCAATAAATAATTGAGCGACAGGTGCGCGCAGCTGGCTGATCGGAGAGACAGCAGGCTCCAGGCCGTACAGACGGGTTAAAGATAAGTCTGGGTCGTAAAAAGAATGTACTGTGCAAGAGAGCAAGTGCTCAGGCTCTGGTGACGGCCAATGGGCAACAAAAAGCAAAGACAGACCTGGGGATGAAGTGTGAAGCGAGAGCGCGAGGGAGGAGGAGTTGATATCAGGCCTTGCTTGCCTTGTTGTCCAGGTTTGGAAGTGACTGGGATGGCGGGTGAAGTAACTTTGATTGCGTCTGGGGAACGGCAGCCAGCTCGTCAATCAGAATTGACCGGCCTCTTATGTAGTTACTCTTCTTCCCTGCCGCCGTCAGGATGCAGTGCACATCGAATGGCCGTCCGCTGGCCAGCACCTGCAGAGCGCTTCATGATCTTGGTCTGATCAGGGATGACATCAAAACTGCCGGTTGAAACCTTGGCTGTGTCATGATCCGCATCCGCCATGACGATGTTTGGCTGAGCAAACACGAGCATTAGCGCCGGCGAGCTGATCCTGGAATTGACCTGACAAGTTGACATTGCCGAGGACCAGATGCTGGAGCCACAGCTTGCTCAAGGGAGACATGGACTCTGAGAGTCAGGAACATTGTGAAGAGAGGTGCCGTTAACCTCAGCTCGGGAAGTCTGCTATCAAACTCAGACAATTCCATGGCTCCAGGTGACGTCTTGCACGTTGATTCTGGGCTTTCCTTTGATGCTCGACTTGGTCACGGATAATAATAACCATCTATCCTTTGAGAATGAAGGGAATCCAAGATACGTTGCGGCGCAGACGAACATCCCTTCGCCGGCGGCTCTCCCACAGTCGACGGCGCTCCTCGTCCCAGAGCCACGACACCGAATCATCATGGAATGAGACCGGCGCTCCCAAGATTCTGCTGACTGCCAGCACCCTGTACTTTGACCCCAGCGTCTTCCAGCGGTTCAGAGAGGAGGGCTACGACATCGCATATCTCCCTCATGCTGCTCCCCCCAAGCAATACAAAGACCAACTGCAGAGATTCGCGGATGTTCTCGAAGAGGAGGATCGATATGCAATCGTTGGTACGCCAATGATCCATAACTAACCATTTGGACGGAGACCGCACTTCCTCTCCCTCGCTCTGTCGGCATCCTTGATACAAGTAGCTGACACCCGATTCATGACTAGCGTATGGCGAAGCCGCTGCCGTTGTCCTAGATGCTTGCATGTCCGCAATGCCTCGACTATGCGCGGTTGTTGCATACTATCCGCCTACTATCCCCAATGCTACGGATGGTTTCCCGCCCTTGCGGAAGTATCAGATTCACCTTGCCGAGACGCAGCAGCTTTCAGGTATACCCTATTGCTACACATACCACGGGTCGGATGTTGGATTTGCCGAACGCGATTCACCTACTTTCGACCGCGTCAGTGCGCAGCTAGCGTGGAGTCGGACTATTGCCTGCCTGCGAGTGGGATTCGAAATCACAGTCGATGTGGCTCCGGTTTGGGAGAATCATATGTCGTTGAAACATGATGCAAAGGATGTCGATGGCACAATGAACACTTTAGCAGAGGACGCGTACATCAACTATGTGCCTGTCATGACGGGAGGTTCGCCGTCGTCCACCGATCCCCTGCCCAATGGACATTCCCCGTAGCCTACTCACTGTTCGTGCATAGGAATTGGCTCCGACGACCTGCGTCGCTTTTACTCTGAGTATTTCATCCCCGGAAATCCTCCCTCGCTCGACATTCGTCTCATCTCTCGGACGGTTGCCGTTGACCACGTCGTTGATGAATTATACCTATCGTTCAGGCATACCCAAGAGGTACCCTGGATGCTACCTGGCATTCCTCCAACAGATAAAATCGTGGAAGTAGCACTAGTAAGTGTGGTTGGAATCCGTGGCGGCAAGCTTCGTCATGAAAACATCTATTGGGATCAGGCCAGTGTCCTGGTTCAAATCGGCCTATTAGATCCAACTTATATCCCACCCAGTTTCAAGCCGGTGGATAGCGATAAAGGCAAGATGCAACAAGTGAAAAGATTACCGGTAGTTGGCAATGAAAGCGCCCGGAAGGTGTTGGACCCTGAGTCCGTGAAGAGTAATGGCCTTATTTCCAAGTGGTGATGTTGACTGGTTCTAGCGTAACATATGTATGCTATGGTCGATCTGATATGGGCAAATGATGCCTTCACATTAGGGGATTTTCCAAAAAACCGCATCCCTTCAACTAGAATGGTTTATTGCCTTTTGCAAGAGTAGCCAAGAATGGCTCATTATACAAGAATCTCAAAGCTAGATCTGTGCACTTCCCAATTTTCCCAATAGCGGCCGCAAGCTCTTAATATCCGAGCTTACACCACACTCGCTCTTCAACGTTTTGATGCTTGCCTGCTGCGCCAGGGGTATCACGTCCTCTACCCGTATCTTCTGCGCCGTATCATACTTTTCCGCCGCCGCCAACGCTGACACAAGTACACCGAGCAAAGTATCCCCGGCCCCATTTACACTCACCACATCATGCGCCTCTAGTTTTTCCGCCGCGGGGAAGAGCCGCATGTACACTCCTCCAACATTTGGATCTCCAGGCCCATCAGTGCTGCCGCCCACAGCTCTTCCAAGAATATACGGAGCGTATTCCGGATCAGTCAGTCTCGAATCTCCGCTTCGTAACAATTGCGTGACTAAAACTCCCTCTTGGCCTAGCTTGGTGACAATGCATGGGATGAATGGGAGCAACTGGATACTCTGCTGTGGAATGCCTTCGTCCACAATACTCGCAGATGTAAGTGATGTGAATCGGTCCCTTGAACCGACACTGGGTAGGGAAAGTGAGTCTATGACTTTCCACCACTCTGGGCTGTCGAAGAGACCGGCCTCCCGCGCAGTGGTATGCATGGACGCGAGTTCATACCGGTTAGGCGTGATGATGTCGACGAGCTGGTTAGTAGGCGCGGCGTTTGAAGGTCCGAAGATAGGTTTATCAGCCGCCTTGTTGTTTTCGGATGAAATCCTTGAGAATAGACGGGTTGCCTTTGGAGCAGAGACGGGTTCGACAGCGGTTTTGATACCGTGAGACTTGCACAGTCGGATCCATCTCCCTACCGTTTCGGGGCTCCAATTCGTGTCGATGACCGCCCAAGTAGGCTTCGTACGACGGATCAATGGTTCCCAGAATTCGTCAAAGTTGAGCTTCTCGCTGTGAAGCTCGAGGATGCTCATGTCGGCCATGGCAAGCACAAGTTCCTTCTTCGCGTCATTTATCGCGATGTACTGTGCTGTTCTTATACCCGATCCGGAGGCTAGTCTCTGGATTCCCTCTGAGCGCAGATTTTCACTCCCTTTTTCAAGAACGGCGAGAGCGCTGCGGCCGCTGAGATCATCCGCTACAACGCTGCAAAAAAGCACTGAACTTCCCAGGTAGCTGGATGCAAGTGCCACATTATATCCAACACCACCCAAGCTTTGACTGATCACTGACGGGTTGGATGTACGCAGCGCGGGGGTCATCATCTTGCTACCCGTTGCTGTGGGAGTAAAATCGCAAGCCAAATCGACGGCCAGTGAGCCGGCTACTAGGATATCTATCTTTTCCGGTACTGTGGGCGCTGGTTTCAAGCTGGTAGTCTTTGGGGTCGTGGTTTTTAATTCAGATTTAGCCACCGCTGCCTTTATCCCATTTCCAGCTGGCATATAACTACATATATCCAATCAGCCTCCTTATTTTCCCGAAAAACATCCCGCCGTAAGGATACTATCTCACCGATTTCCATCCGCTCCACGACCTGACTCCAGTTTCGCAAGCTCTACGGCGACTTTGGTTCCCCGTTCCACATTGCATTCAAACCAATGCTTTATTCGTCTCAACACTTCTGCCTCCACTAAGCTCCTTGATTTTGGCTAGCACAAATGGCGTATTGTCACTCCCGTGAACACCTTCAAGATGGGAAAGTTCGACGGCTTTGGCGATGATAGCATCCATCTCCGGCTTGAGAAACGAGTGCTTTTCGGGGACCGGATTTGTAAACAGAATTCCTGAAGAGAGCTGTAGATTTGACTGAGCGTCTAAAAGCTCGATTAGCCTTACATGGAGCTGGATTTAGATAGCTAATGCACTCACAAATGATTGCTGCGGCCTCTGCGGCGTCCCGCACGGTTCTAGGAGACTTGATTCCGCTATCCCTGGTGAAGAACGCAGGAAAATCAATAGGTCCTTCGCGTCCGTCTGCGAACGTACCGACTACAACGCCCTGAGTTTCCAGAACTTCAAGAGTTCGCCGGATATCAAGGAAGCTTTTGCATCCGGAACTGATTACTGCAACAGGAGTTCGCCCGAGTTCAGTAAGGTCAGCTAGCATAGAGTCAGCGTGTTTTCTTTGAATATCTGACAGGGTTTAGAGAATGTTACCCGATATATCCATGGAGCTTTCTCCGCCGCGATGCACGCCACCTAAAATAAAGCTTGAGCCCCGTGTATTAACATCATTTCACCAAGAAAGCTCACCAAGGCCTCCAGTCGCAAAAACCTTGATACCGGCTAGATGAGCGAGAATCATGGTGCCCGCAATTGTGGTTCCGCCGTGCATGCGTTTTCCGGCCAGCCCCTAGGTATCTCTTTAGTATTCTTGGGGGCCACATTACTCCTGAAGATACAATTATTACCACTCCACAAATGTAGCCTAGATCCCGGCGTGACACCTTTAGCACATTCTTGTATCGAGAGGCAGACGTAAGCTCGGTTAGCTCCGCTGCATTCATTCCCACTCTTGCAATGCCGTTCAGGACGCCAATTGTAGCTGGAACGCCGCCATTGTCTCGAACAATCGCTTCAAGGCTCTTTGCCAGGTTCACATTTTCAGGGTAAGGGAATCCTAAACCATAATCATCAGTTTCCCCCTTCTCATCATGGCGGGATACTCGTAGCTGCGGGCTCACCGTGGGTATAGATGGTGGTTTCCAGCGCCACGACGGGCTTGCCAGTTGCGACAGCATCCTGAACTTCCTCTGATATTTTCAAGAACTTATTGGACCCCTGCAAAGGAGCGTTATCGCGATGGACGTAGCGATTTGTTCGAGATATGCGGTTTATGAACTTCCCGTGCACCCTCCGATCTACCCATGGCCCAGCGCGGGTGGCAGTCCGGAGAAAGGGCATCATGGGGAAGAAATGGGGAGGGAATCAACCATGTAGTTAAAGATAGGATGCCATTGATAGCAATTCACATCTTGTGTCTTGTCAGTGTGTGCAAAGAGGTGCGGCGGGAGATCGCTGTAACCTCCGCATCGTCATGTGGCCGCTGCGGCCGCCGTAACTAACTTAACCACAACCGTCTGGGGTCGTCGATCCGGCCAAGTAATCGTAAACACGAGTCCATCTGGTCCACGTCGGAGCTCCATTGCTTGACTCCTTGAGAGAATTTTGGTGCAAGTCGCAATCTGGAAGCCTGGACTGCATCTACGTGCGTTCCCGGCAGCGATTACTGCCGCCATGAGGCTCCTCGCCGCCGCTGCGCTGCTATTGACTAGCTGCGCTCAAGCTATCAGTTCCAATTCTACACATTCCCCGACGGCACGCGCTTTACCAAACGATTTTAGCCCTCCCCAGGTGTTTAAGAACTTGAATCTTCTTAAACACATCAACCTTGAGAAAGGATACGTTCGAGAGACCGTCAATGTATTAATAGAGAACATTGACCAACAGCCGCAGTCGAAATACTACGTGCCCTTCTCGAATGCGTTGATAGGCAAGGTCGGAGGATTTGAAGCCTGGGAGAAGAATGCCGAAAAGAATGGAAAATTCGAAGTAGAGACTACACAATTTCTCCCTCAGAGGTAAGGTGTTATCTTGGTGACTATTGTACGGGATTGTTCTAACTTGACGTGCAGCTCTAGCCAATATTTCATCATAAATATCCCCAAACCTCTCGAGCCTTCATCGCGCTTGACTTTAAGCATCTCATATTACCTCCTCTCCGCCCTCGCCCCTCTCCCTCCTGCCATTGAACAGAATGATAAACAATACTTCACATATACCTTTTCCGCCTATGCACCGTCTGCATACCTCACGGCTATGCAACGGACAAAAGTCAAATTCCCTGTCGCTGATATCCCTGAATATACCACTACAAACGGGCTGAAAACTGGTCCTGGTCCCGATCCTGAGAAGCAAGGGACAACTTTCACGTACGGCCCATATAACACCAAAGATGTGGCTCCTGGCACGGTCGAGCCCATCACCGTTCGATACGAATTTACGCGGCCTATTATCACCGCGACTCTCCTCGAACGCGATCTCGAGGTATCCCACTGGGGCGGCAACCTCGCTACAGAAGATAGATACTGGCTCCAAAACAACGGCGCTCACCTGGCCAAACAATTCTCCCGCGTCGCCTGGTCCATGAAGACACTGCAAAACTCTCCAAGCGTTGCCATCAGCGCGCTCAGAATCGGTTTGAAACCAGGCGCCGTCGACCCTTACTTCACCGATGAGATTGGAAACGTATCAACCAGCCGGTTCACTCCTGGCCAGGGAACTCGCGGCGCCATGCTGGACATTCGTCCCCGCTACCCAGTCTTTGGTGGCTGGAAGTACAGTTTCCGAATTGGCTGGAATGACGCCCTTTCTTCATTTTTGCGCAAGGCGAAATCAGGAGATACTTATGTTCTCAAGGTTCCGTTCCTCGATAGCCCGAAAATGCCCGAGGGTGTGCAATACGAAAAGATCGATTTGCGCGTCATTCTCCCCGAAGGAGCCAGAGATGTAAAATTTGAATTAGCCGGAGGCGTTGGCCTGCCAAATGATGTCCAATCTGAAATTACTCTCTCCAAGTCCTTTATGGATACGGTCGGGAGGACGGTGCTCAACTTGGCCATGGAGAACGTGGCTGATGAAGCAAGGGATGCGCAATTAATTGTATGCTACTCCTACCCTCCTGTTAACTTGCATTTTTTTCGCAATCAGCGTGCTAACATCTTGCTCGTAGGTTACATATAATTACCCGTTTTTCGCCTCGTTCCGTAAACCGCTGACAATTTTTGCGGGCATGCTAAGTGTTTTCATTGCTACGTGGGCGATTGGGAATATAGATGTCAGTATTAAAAAGAGATAAATAGAAATGGTCCACGCTCGCCCGCCAGTTCATTTAGCACACGGACATGTTCTTTACTTTCTTCTCTGCTGTTATGGATTCCTTTCTTTTGAATGTCTTACTTCATGGTTTATATATTGGAAAACAGTAACTTTACATTTCCATCTCCAAAACTCCTTCAATGACTTCACAATAATGGTCAACAGGAACTGCAAAACCGCGGCCTGAATGGCGTCCAACTGAAGCCCGTATATCGTATAAACCTGATGATCCAGTTCCGTTTTGGCCTCTAAACGTTTTCCGAAATAGCCCTTTCCATATTCACAAACAGGTAATAGTCCATAGACCAGGTAAAGCAGAATGAAAAAGAACTTACTCATGTCTGCGGACCCTGTTTGATCCTCAATGCAAAATTCAACATAACAGACCCTATCACCCCCAAACATAACACCGTCGGCCCCCATTTCTCGTAATACACATTTTTTACATCTCTCTGTTTTCGGATTTTATCCACCCGCCACATGTACAGCAGGAAACTGTACACTAACGCTAGACATGCAAGGGTGGTGAAAGCCCATGCAGAACTGAGGCTGATGGAGTCATTTCCGAAGTTGAGTAATGTGGCGGCGATGGTGCTGAGGAATATGGAAAATTCGAGCCAGGAGAGAAACGTTCGTTCAGCAGCAAAATAAACTTTAGGTTCAACCCGCACAGGCACATGGATTCCTACATACGATTAGAAACCTTGGCCGTTGTTTCATGGATGGACGGGAATACTTACGTTTACCCTTCGGAGCTTTGAATCTTTTGACCTCTAGGGGCCCGCTCCCTAAGACTTTCCGTAGCCGTCCAGGTGTTGCTCCGTCTGGGAGCTCCGTTGGCCTCGGGACTGGCAGCACGAATTTCATGCCATGCATGACGTAACGTCCGACATTTCGAGCATAATGTTTTGCAAGTTTAGAACGGTAATGCATACCCCCGATTCTTTGTGCTTCTTCGAGTTCATCCTGATCATTTGATTCGTCTTCAGAGTCGTACAGCGGGTAGCTATCGCCACCGAGTAAATTTTGAGCTGCAATGCGTTCCTCAATATCCAAATGATTTCCTGGAGCCTGGAAATGTAAGTTGTCACCCAGTGAATGGCGGATCATCGGGTCATCTAGATCACGAGGCTGGTTGGCAACGTGATCGTGGGTTGCGCCATTCGTGTGACCGGCTCGATCTTCCTCATCGGACTCGTCTTCATCCATCATATCTTCACTAGTCGAAAGAGTTGATTGCGGCGGCCTTTCGATACCAAACCCTGGTCTAACCGGCTTCCTAATGTCCACGTCCATTTGTGGCATCCAGAAAGGAAGTAGATTTATTCGATCTGGAAAAAGGTTTGCAGTGCCGTGTATGAATTTGCTAAACTTGGGCACAGCTTCAACCAAGTGGCTGGATGTAAGCTCTGTTATCCATTCAGGGGCCTCTTGACCAGCCTGGGTTTGCAATTTGACTTCCAACACTGCGTATGGGAAGCGCTCCACATCCTCCGCTGGAAGCTGACTGAATGGGTAGTCAATACCAATATCCATTCTTCTCCAATTATCGCCTGCTCTCTTGCGTCCATTAAGGTTGTCTTCTCGAACCATCGTCAATTCCGTATCTAGAGATATTCGGACACGCGCATCACCAGGTAACTGGAAGGCCGTCCGGTGATAAAACGTTCTTGTAACGGGCACGAGCCTTCTGGTTATTACTCGATATTGAATCTCGCGGGCCAGCTGCTCCCAATCAGCAATTTGTTTCTCACTTTTTTTGCCCTCTTTCCTGAGCTTTTCAAATGCAGACTCGACAGTCATTTTCCCCGACAAATAAGCGTTGACATGTTTTTCCTTCATGGGAAATCGTGCTTTGACAGACGATTCTCCAGTCCAATCTTCGCGATGAGTCTTCCTCTCGACGAAGATTTGGTCGTTTTCCATTCCACCGTACCAACGTAGTCGAATGGCTTCTGCACCCTCTGTTTTCTTCAACCGTCCCATATACAGCTCCCAAGTATCAGGATTGTCAAAGTATATAGATGAAATTGCCGCATCGCGTTCTTCAAATTCTTTGGTGGGATTGAAAACAAGGACAGGAAGGTGCTATTTGCAGACAGTTAGACAATGTAGAAAAGCCGGAGACAAGAAGCAAGCGCACCTTGAGGATGATGAGTTTCAATTCAGTGATATTATCAGGATGCACCCAGTATTTGGTTGTTCCTCGCACAAAGTTTTGCTGACTGCCACCTGCCGCGCTATCTCCTTCGATAGGGTTTCCTTTCGTCCTAACCACATCGTACAGCTTGGAAAGCTTGACGACAAAAGCATCATAATTATCCTTGAAGAACGGTTTGGCTTTTAAGCGAGTTGCAAATACGGGCTTAAGGTACCATTGAGTTTGTTTCTATATGGAATGTTGGTCATTAGCCCGACAAGCAATCGGATGCTTCATATTTTTTAAAATAGATTGGAGTACCCACATCATGTTTCTTGATAATCTTCTGAAAACCCGTATAGTTCAGTTTGGTGTACTTCGCCAGGTCATGAACGTCGGCGATGATATCGCTCAGGTCTTCCTCTAAGAGTAAAAAGTCTTCGTCCGTAGGAGCGTTGCGACGTCTCGCCCCATTAGTCTGCTGGCCTCCGCTGGGATCTAGCCTCGACACCACATCGTTCACCTCGCGCTCACTAGCCTTGATCCTCCTTACAATCTCATCACTCTTGAGCTTCTGGAAGGTAGAAACCTTATCCAGCTCACTTTCGAGCAATTGAACGAAGCGCTTCTCGTCATCTTCAGTCCACGGCTTCCGCTTCGGATTGGGGTTCTGTGGGGTTGGGGTGGTTTGGTGCTCTGTCTTCAGGGCTGCTTTGAGGTCGTCGTAGGCAATGTAGTGCCAGTAGTACTCTTTGACGAGAGACGAACGAAGCTGTTCGCCGAACCTGCAAAGACGGGAGCAATGTATCAGCGGCCGTTTATCACTGAGCTGCGAGATCAACCGAGGGTCAGTAACCTACCGCATTTTGGAGAGCTTCACTGAGAGACGGGTGGCCTTCAGTTCAGCCTGTGCTGGACAATTGCAAGGGACAGCAAGTCGCAGTCGATCCCCGCGACAGGCGATATCCAGGTTCCACAGGGTCTGCTGGGAGAAGAGCGACGGTGAGTTTCCTCAGCAGAACGGCAATTGAACGGACTGGCTGGTTTCGGTACCTTCCATGCTTGGTCAACATCGCCCTCCTTGCCACTCGTGCCTTCCTCTTTAGATAAGCTCCGCCGCGTCCCAAACAAAGCTCTTTCTTTTCTTGGATGTTTCCGAATCTGGAAACTGCCGGTCAGGTGAAAGGCGATCGTAACAAAAAGGGCCAATCAGAAGCGGTCATTGCCCCACGTGAAGCCAGGGCTGCTAAACTCAATTTGGTATTCTATTTGGGGGTTCCTCGCTGACATCATTGGGCATTCATAACGCTCCGACAACACGCCGTATGCTCCTCCTTGCACCGTCGCCAACCACATTAACCAATCCCTCCGACTCCAATGACCGGACAGCATCCGCAAACTCAGCCGCCGTGACTTCAACATTGCTCTGCTCCCCGAACCTCCTATACACCTCCGCCCACCGGGTCCCAGAGGCACCGCGGCCACCCAGCTCTTCTACCAATGCCAGGATCTCCTTCTTCATCATCTCCCTGTTGCGCCGGTCAATGGCCGTTGTGCCCTCAGTGAGGAGACTCATATCAATCAGCCCCGTCCGCTGGTCGGTAGCGGCTTGTTTGAGCGCAGAGCGAATCAATCGCACCGCCTCTTCGACATCGGCGGTGGTCACATCTTCGGAGAGTCGCATGCGTGCGTGGGCTTCGGACAGACGGATCATGGACTCGAGTTGACGCGTGGTTGCGGTGATTCGACGTTCAGCAGATCGAATGTCATCGCCAAGTTTGCGCATTTCAACATATGCTTCGGTGAGAGCTTCACCCGCCGCGGGAGTAAGCCTAGGTGATATTTTATTTTTTGCATACGTTATGTAGCTAGTCAGGAATTCGACGGGCTGCGAGACATGTGTTAGTGTAAGCCGATGGGAAGGGAAGGAAAAGCTAGATTCTCCGGCACGTACCAATATTTCTTCGTTGCTGGCGTTGTCCGGGGTATCTTCAAGGTACATTCCCACCAAGTGCTTTGCCAGTCGGCGATCATTTTGTTCGTCAATCCGGTCCAACACCAAGTACACCAGGTCAAATCGGGATAGGAGAGTCGGAGGTAAGTCGATATTTTGGGGGACGGGTAGGTTTGGATTATACTTGCTTCCAATGGGATTGGCAGACGCGAGAATGCTTGTCCTGGCGTTGAGCGTAGTGATGATCCCTGCTTTTGCTATAGAAACAGTCTGCTGCTCCATAACTTCGTGCAGCACAGACCGGGTAGCGTCATTCATCTTGTCGAACTCATCAATGCAACAAACGCCGCCGTCTGAAAGCACAAGAGCTCCGGATTCAAGAACCAACTGCCGTGATTCTGGATCTCGGGTAATGTACGCCGTCAAACCGACCGCGGACGAGCCTTTGCCACTAGTGTAAATGCCTCGAGGCGCGATCTTGTGAACATATTGCAAGAGTTGAGACTTTGACGTCGATGGGTCACCGCAGAGTAAAACATTGATATCTCCGCGATATCGTGGGCTTCCGCCTTTATCGAACGTCTTATTCGTTCCACCGAAAAGCTGAAGCAATATTCCTTTTTTTACGTCGTCCATCTCATATATACTCGGGGCGAGGGATCTCGATAGCAGGTCGTAGACATCAGGTCTAGCGGCCGTAGCTTTAATCTTTTCCTCTTCTTCCTTTGAGATTTTCTTCACTTGTTCCACATCACCAGCAATCTGCTCGGATAATTCCTCCTCGATTGTTGAGGCGTCAATGCCGAGTTTTTTACGATCCACCTTTTGAACATGCAAAACGTCCACAAAGGTTCTAAACAGAGATTTGATTGTTCTCTGTCGAGGATTCAGTCTCACGGGATTGGAGCGGAAAATCCCTGTCACCTCAACACGGTCACCAGCCTTGCACACGTCGACCAAATCGTCATACGCACATAGAGTGACGGAGTGTGGAGTTTGGCCATCGGGAACTGAGTCCGGAGTTTCTTGCAATTTGATAATCTGCTTATCTGCAAATACACAGCGGTTATGGATCAATTGCATTGAATTCTGGGAGTCGCAAATCCGCCTCGGGCACCTTGTTGGTTCGGCGATCCTACCACGGTCGATATCAACTTTAACACTGTGTTCGCACACATCACAGCGGAAGAATGCTGGCAGTAAATAGTTAGCACTGAGTCATTTCCACGGCATCCCAAACCAATCGTACCTTCTTTCATGTCAGGAATAACGGGTGTGGCTCGAATTACGAGCCCTTTAATGCTAATGAGCTTTTCCATATCTATCCACGATTATGTTAGCAAAAGGAACGATCTCAACCCCAACATCTGCCGGGCAATTACTTACCTCCTGGATCTAATTCTCTCATATTAACCGAGCGGTCCATACCAAAAGGTAATGTTTTGAATGCTTTGACTTCAACTTCAGCAACTAGGTTCGGTATCTCAGTCTGCATCTGTCTATCTGCGTCATTTCCCGGTTCTGAACTTGGATTAATTGGTGCAGAGCTCAAATCTGTTGCTCTTGAGGGTCGTCCTCGATTCCCTTGCTGCACTCTCAATGCTGTCATTTCCCGTTCGGCTAGGTCTATCATCACGTCCTTGATTGATTGATCCATGATAGGGATCACCTCCTGCGGATAGGCCTGCACTTGGTGCCATAGCTTCGTCGTCGGCGGGTATGCTTTTAAGTTTCGTATATCGAGATTCAGCCCAGTGACTCCCAACTTTCGCATGTCATTTAGAAGCGTAATGTACTCCTTTTCATCAGCCACCGAACCCAATGCACGGGTATCGTCTTCACTAGCTCCATCCGCCCACATACGATACTTTCGAGTATACCCATAAAGGAAACTTTTGAACGAGGCCATTACATCTTGGATAGATATATTGGTACCCCAAATGATACGGGTAGAATTCCCACCGAGGGCATCTGCTTCCGATGTATTCGGATTGATGTTTGAGAAGGTTGCTGCTGATTGCAGATCCCCGTCACGAACGGGTAAACCTCTTTCATCGACGAGCACTCGGCGCCTGGAGGCAGTGTTGCCAAACGCATCGGAATGGAGGCCACCTCGTCGCGTATTGATGTTTGCGATATCTGAAAACTCATTCCCCTGGGACGAGCGAACGAATAAACCACTGCTACTGGTAGGGATCTCCGTGGTGCGACTTTGGCGATTTGTTGCGCGAGTAGGGCTGGAGCTGGACATGTAGCGAATCGGCGATGAGTCTATCCCCAAATTAGCAAATCTGACAGGGCAATGGGTTCGATCGCAGTGACATACCTGCTACAGGCCGTCTACTGGCCCGCGGCGTCGTCTGGCCATCGCTCGCATCTGAAGGAGCTCTGATCGGTGAGCTCCGGTCCATCCTGGCGTCTCCATTGGCGGTTGCAGATTGTCGTGCGGCACCCGTAGGCGAGGACTGAAAGGCCATGGGTGATGATGAAGGCACAACGACTTCAATTCGCCTCGAGCGAGGAGTCGCTTGGGTGCCGGGTTGTGAGCGTTGACCGCTGCTAGGAGCAGGGCCAGGTGTGCCCGTGGACGGTCGGGTGGGCGTTGATGTGGCAGAGCCTCTAGTGGGCCTTCCACGCCGACGAGAAGACGCTGGAGAAGACATTATATTCGTAAGCTAAAATAAATTACTCTGTAATCCGACAGAGGTGTGCTGTCATTTCTTGAATGTTTTGTCCCGAACTGTTGACCTTGGATGGTGGACAAATTCAATGCCAACGCGTCAATCTCGCGCCGTGGGCACGCGTAGAGTGGTTCTATTCTAGGCTTAGCGTGGGTCGCGTCGAGCTTTAAGCTCTGACTTCGCAGCTTCAACCTCACAACACACATCACCAATTGCAACATTTAAACCTAGCTTCAACTCCAAAGTCCTATGTTGGAGTTGAATAGCCCTTATCACTGAACATAGCTGGATACTCCGTACTCTGCATTTGTCCGTTTTGCAGTCTGCTCCAATAGTACCAATAAGGACACTACACGGGGCTCCGGCACTGATATCTCATTCTCTCCCCCAACCCCCGTACCGATAATGGCCGATGAAAAGAACCCGGCAAACATATTTGATAACGGTAAGCTCCATTGCTCGGGAAATTGCCGCGCATAGAGAACCAATACCCACACCTTGACCCACACGAGAAAATTTTCCAAAAAGAAAATTTGATATTTCAATCATCAGCCGAACGCGAGGGTCGAACTCGCAACCTTGTGGTTATCTTTGGTTCTCACGGACTTCGCATAAGAGCCACACGCTCAACCGATTGAGCTAGCCCGGCAAGCTGGTGGGCTCGGGAGACCAGATCCCATCCTTACTCTCCAGGCCTTAAACCGGCGAACGGCGAAAATGACGCGTTGGTTTTCTCTCTCTATTATATACATCTGGCTATGTCCTAGTCTAGGTACCGGCATACAGGCAACCTGTAGCTATCTATAACCCAGTACTTCCTCCTGACACCCTCCCATTCTCCCTCCAACGATGGCACACTGATTTCTTCCCAATCGACATCAAATCCAGCCTCGAGGAGGTCCATTTCAACGACCTTTTGATATACGTCGTAGCTTATTTGCCTATCAGCGCCCATGCCGTTGAAATAGCTCCATTTCCCGTTTATATCGAGCAAGCCAATGATTTGCTCAGAGAAGAAAGCTCGGAAATCCGAGTAAGATTCGGCGAAAGTGTCATAATAGAGGGCATCAAACGTTTGTCCCTCGTTTATCAGTTCAGGCACGATCTCTTGCCATTTGCCCTGATGAATAACCACGCCCGGCTTTTCATGCCAACCTTTCCTTTTCATTTCTTCCACCACCGCTGGGTGGGCCTCGACAATATGGTGAACGCTGGGCTGAAGAGTCTGGATGATATTGTCAATGATTCCCATGCCGTGGCCGATATTGAGTACTCGCAGCCCGGATTCTGGAAGAATAGCTTTCGCCGAACGCTCCATGATTTCAGACTCCCAGGACATCATGACACCGTTCTGATCTTGATCTAGAAGGCGACCATCGTTGAATGCTAGATTCGACTGGAGATATCGAGAACCGGTTACATCCGGTCCTTGAGCACTGGCGGCATTACCTGCTTCGGAGGGAGCAATGTGTTCACCGGTCTGTTGTTCTGGCGTCACGTCTGCTGGTGAGGTATCCTCCTCATCAGAATCCTGCAGTAGCTCGTATTCGTCCAGTCGATTCAGGAGCATTTCAGCCCGTACCCCTGCATCCACCATCAATTGGTACAGCTCATCGAGTCCCAACCTCTTTGCTATACATCCGGGAGTCTCGTTATTGGCATCAAGATCGTTCCAAATGGCACCCTCTTGAAGGAGAAACCTAACCATCTCGCTTCCAGGTTCAAGAATGTTTGAAGGGCCCTCTTCAGGCAGAGCGCTAGCATCATTTCCTAATCCGTTGGCCTTGCGTGTCTCACCAGACTCTTCTGAGTCGGGCTCGCAAGCAGCAATGGCCGCATGAAGAGGGGAGTATCCTGTTTCTGGATCTTTCACATTTGCCGGGTTCTCGGCCTTGTCAAAAGATCGAATCAGTTCGCGCAATCGTGAGATGTCATGCTGCGATGCGGCTAGCAGGATTTCTTGGACACCAATATCCACATTCACACCCCCTAGCTGCTCATCGCCCAGTTCCATTTTGAGCAAGAAACACCTTACCGGTGCATTTGTCGATGATAGCCGGGGTTTCAGTTTGCAGGGTCCGTTACAGTAAGATGGGAAACGTAGAAATAGTCAATAAAACGGGCTCTATATGTCTTATTTCGAGGAGTTTTCTCGGTCTCGCGACAGGGAACTCGGCTTAACAGCGGCAGTAAGGCAGGCGTCCGGTCCCTCATGTTTGTTTGAGAAGTTTCAGCAGGCGGGATGGCATGGCACGTGACCCGGCGGCCAGGACAACCCATCTCGCTTCACGTCTCATTGGGCCGGAACAGAGCATCAACCACGCTGGATCAGGCCTAAAGAGAGCAGCTCTTACACCAGAAAAAGCTAGAATGTTGCTGTTGTATCTCAAAAGGAGACGTTGGGCCTGCCGCATGCCTTGAATTCATGCGTTCGTGTCTCAAACTGCACCTACCAAGGTGTGCTGAAACCCTACTCCGACAACATCCCCAAAGCTTTTGCCAAACTGTGCAGACAAGAGTCCCGCGGAAGACAATTCGTGGCTGAAACCGGACTATGGACGCAATGATGGAAGATGGGAGAGCCAGAGAAGGCAAACCTTGGTTTTTACGCTGCTGGCCGACGTCTCAACACTGAGCTGGATTGGAGCAAAAGTACTACTGGCCCTTCCCGTTGCAATAGGCTTGAACATAGAGGCAAGTCTGTGCGTACTGGGGATAAGCTGACTTACCACGGAGAATTGGGCCGCAAGTCTATTCGTTCAGGGTCAGGGTGACTCGCGACCTCATCTCGGACATCTAGCTACCAAAGTTCGCGAAGCCACGATTTGAATCCGCCTTATACCCGAAGAAGATCGACGAAACAGACCCCGTCAGACGTTGATTTCCTATTCTGTACTTGGCTCGTCTTCTTCAGGCTAGTACGGCCTATCTTGGGTCATGACCGCAAGTTTCAGCGCGTCTGAATTACCCAATCTATCGACTTGTAACTTCAATGCGTCAAGCCGGAGCGCCTTTACGAGGTGCTCCTATTATTCTCCGCTCTTGGTATGCAATGACAGCTACGTTTTACGTCGCAGGTACTCCCAAAAAAGGGAAAGGTACCAGTGAATTGATGTCTCATGCCGGGAGCATCTCTTACAAGTTTCTCCTTGGAAGCGTCCTGCATAACTTTGTCAACGAGAGTTCTGTAGATTACCGCAGGCTCCTGGGACAGACCAAAGTTGATTTAAGGGAATGATCCTCCCTTCATTGCCTTCTTTTTCTCCAAGCCACAGTCAAACTTCTCAGTCACTCTCTCTTATCAGTTCCATTCGTATGGTGCGCTGGTCCCCATCTGCTTAATCATATACTTATCTTTTGTTTTTAACGATTCATCCACTTCACTCATTGACCCGGTTGTCATTCCCTCTTTTATTCGATTCTTAATCATGAAGTTTGCCTTGGTTACCACTGTTGTCGCAGCGCTTTGCGCTCCAAACGTCCTCGGTGTCCCACTCGCGGCACGTAATACCAGCCTCGTCCCGAGTTCAAGCAGCACTCGCCAGCTTACGGATGCTGACGTTCTTCAATTTGCACTCACTGTAAGGATTCTATATCGTGCCCAAGACCTGAACTCCTTTGCTGACATCATGAATAGCTCGAGCATCTTGAAAATGTCTTCTACAAGCAGGGCCTTTCCCGTTTCACCCAGAATGACTTTCTCCGTGCTGGCTTTGATGCAAGGTTCTTCAACCAGATGAGATTCGTCGCTGGAGATGAGCAGTCCCATGTAGTGTTTCTGCAGCAGGCACTTACGGGGCTCGGCGTACGGCCAGTGTCTGCTTGCCGCTACAACTTCCCATTCAGAGACGTTCGCTCATTCGTCGGCCTTGCATCTGTTCTCGAGGGCATTGGTGTCTCCGCTTACCTTGGCGGAGCTGGTCTTATCTCTAATAAGAATTTCCTCGGCGCCGCTGCCGCGATCCTTGCTGCTGAAGGCCTCCACCAGTCGACCCTCCGCAACTCTTTGGGCTTGATCGCGTCTGCCAACATTGCCGGTACTGCCATTACCCCCAATGCCATCTTCAGTCTTGCCAGTGCATTCATCGTTTCCTGCCCTGGTGGAAACGCTGCTCTTCCATTCAAAGCGTTCCCCAGCTTGAGCCCACGCGGTGGCAGCATCTTCTCCATTAATTCCTTCTCGAGATTCGCGATCGGCCAAGGCGTTATTATCCCGCCAGTATTTTTCTTGACTTTTATCAGCGGGCTTGAGATTATCAGTATTCCTGGAACCTTTGCTGGAGGTTTCTACTCTGCCCGCATTCCACGACAGGTCTCCGGACAATCATTCGTTTTCCTCACCAGAACCGCCAACACTGGTGCCTTCTCGGAGAGCAGCGTTCTTGCCGGCCCGGCAATTATCGAAGTTACTCCCACTGTGCCCACTCTTAACTTCTCCGTTCTCTAGTGGGACTACGCCGGAGCCAAATAGTCGCGGGTGGTGGATCGACAAGGATCATGTGTTACGCTTTTACGCACGGTGCTTTCTAGCTTGCAGTGGTTGAGCGAGATTCAATTTGTACTTCTATTCTTCTGATGTGTGATGCCAATGATGGCTTTGTTTTCCCAATTTGCAATACTCTTCATGTCTCTTTCTTTTTTTCCTCGAACTCATTTCGACTCATGTTAAAACAGCATATGCAAAGCATGTACTTTCTCTTCTACTGTATAGCTGATGGATAGTGTAAATGCCATGTCCGCATCCGCGCAATCTTGCCTTTGGCTATGGGAAAACAAAGGGTGGTTTATTGCGAGCGCTTGTAGATAAATAGAAATTGATGATATTTGGTAACCTTCAAAATGAATATTTGGAATTGAAATCAGTGTTGGAGATTGTTTGATGAATTGATAACTCCAGCAAATGAACCAGGTACAAGAAGAGACGTGTAGTTATACATTTTGTTCCTTGAAGAGAGCCCATGTCCGCTCCCTCTGCAAAGAAACACTATTCCATCATGAGTCTTGGTCGAAAAAACTGCCCTCCACTAAATCAGCCAAATTAGGCTTTATCAGCACCGTCGGCGCCCGCATTAACGTTCAAGCCCAGTCCCTCAGTATCCAAGTACAATTTATTTCTTCCGCCAGATTCCTGAAGAATTTGGGCGATGTTGCGAGCGTTTTCAATCTTCCTGAGTTCGACGTAACTCCTGCTCTTCTTGATTGCATCACCGATAAGCTGGGCCGAGCGTGCTTCACCCTGAGCGCGGACAATGGTGGCTTGCTTCTCTTGTCGAGCTTTGTCGACGACGAAGGCTGCTCGCTGTGCCTCTTGTTGAGCTACTTGCTTGGCTTCGACGGCTGCGGTGAATTCGGGAGAGAAAGCAAGGTGCTAAATAGAAAAATCTAGTTAGTGGGGGACCCTTCTTGAATGGGATGTGGGCGGGCTTACTGTTAAGGAGACATCGTCTAGGAGGATATTGAATCGGGCAGCACGTCTGGCGAGGTTGTCACGGACAAGTCTGGCCACGTTTTCACGCTGGGTGATAAGTTGGCTGGCATTGAATTGTGCGACAACACTCTTCAACACCTCGTTGACAATGGATGGGAGAACTCTCTCATCGAAGTCCGATCCAAGGGTGCGGTAGATTTGGGGAAGAGCGTCAACTCGTGGCCGTGAAAGCACACGACAAGTGATGTTCACCATCTGCAAATCTTTGGTTCCGGTAAGGGAAGCGACATTGCGTGGCTTTGCGCGGACATCGTAGATAATAGGTGTTTCAAACCACGGAATACGGAAATGTGTACCTTCAAAACTGCATCAGTACGAGCAAGATGGTTAAGCAGGTCTAGGGTGGAATCACCTTCGTTGTAGATTTCCTTCTTCACACCACCTACTCTTGTATATTTGATGGCCCGGTGACCACCATCAACTAGTAGCAAAAAGTCTAGTTAGTCAAGTAGACACGAGAATCCTAATATTTCCTTACCGTTAAATAATGAATTTGATATCAAATATCCTCCTAGACCAAGAGCAATTAATGCCCCGATTCCTCCGGCAGCTCGGCCACCTCCACCAGGCATCCGACCGAATGGACCCCCTCGTCCCCGCTGCTGCAAAGCAGTCTGCAGTCTCTGCCACGTCTCTCGAGGATCAGCCATTTTGTCGAGTAAAATAGGAAGGGCATGTAAATTCCGTTTGCGCTGGTGGAATGTGATGAGCTGCTGCTTTCGATGTTCAAAACTGGAGATCCAGCCACTAGGCTGCTTTGGGAAAGGCGCGGTCCAGCTCCTTCAAGCTTTGGCATCGCAAACTGATTGTTTGAAGAACAGACGCTCTCAGGCCAGACCAGGACAACACTTGTCATGAAAGGGAACTCACAAGTTGCAAGAGTGCTTTCTATCAACACCTTCGGATTTGCAGTGGGCTAAACCAGCTTGTCATATTTGGCACCCATTCTAGATCGACCACTTCCATTAGAGCTCTCGTTACACGATGGCACCCGACAGGACTGGAAAGAGTGTTTTCCTTGGGAATATACCTTACAGTAAGTTTTCATGCTACTCTTGCCTATGCTGTGAGAATGTCACTATGAGATCAGTAGCTAAATTGTACCAGACCTCACCGAAGAACAAGTGAAAGACATCCTCAGCTCGGCCGGTACCGTAACGAAATTCAGACTAATGATAAACCCGGAGACGGGAAAGCCAAAAGGATATGGATTTGCAGATTTTGCAGATGCTGATTCTGCGGCTTCAGCTGTTCGGAACTTGAACGATTACGAAATTATGGGCCGCAAGATACGGGTCGACTGGCCACACAACAACGAGAAGGATTCTGTACCTTTAGACTACTCGCAACAGGGTCAGATGAACGTCCAAGGCCAAGATGGACAAACCGGATATCCAACACAAGCTCCCCTCTTACCTTCTTTGCCTCCGGGTACGGATTTGCCGCCAAATCTGACATGCCCCAATGCCATTTCGCAAACCCTCTCAACGCTCCCTGCGCCCCAACTGCTCGATGTCCTCGCCCAAATGAAATCGTTGGCCATGGCTGACCCGGCTCGAGCCACCGAGCTTTTAAGGCAAGCGCCACAGCTCGCTTACGCGATATTTCAAGCGCTTCTCCTGATGAACCTGGTCGACTACGGTGCTTTGGGCTCCGTTGTCGAACAAGCTACTCAACCTCAGCCCCAAGTTCCCACTCCGCAAACGCAACCGGCTTCCAACATTTCGCAACAGTACCCGTCATACCCCCCTATTCCAGGCCAGATATCGACCCCGCCTGTTCATGGTACCCCATTCGTTCCGCCCCCACCGCAACCGCAACCACAAGCACCCCAGCTCCCTCAGATGGCTGGGCAAGAAGAGCTTTTACAGCAGGTTTTGAGTATGCCGCAGGCCACCATTGATGCTCTACCGCCTACAGAACGAAGTCAAATAATGCTACTAAGGCAGCAACTGTTACAAGGAGGGATGAGATAGCGAAATTCTTGGTAATGACATGACTTTTTATCCAACAAATATTTCTGCTTATTTAAACAGGGGCTGGTGACCTGGGAGAGATGGCACCACACAGCATTGGTGGCTTCTTTAATGGAGCAAGTGGCGTTTGGTTAATCCTGGCACGGAAGGTTCTTTTACTGCTCTACTTCTAGTTTGCCTTTTGAGCGATTTGTTTTAGACATGTAGTATATTACTTATGAATCTGGAAAATTGTGAATGTAAAGCAATTGAGTTTCCCAGCTGTCAAGCTTCTCTGAGGGTCTGCTTTCCTTTCACGTGATTAGTCGCCAAGGACCTTTAGGTAATTCAACATCCTGGAGCCGGTGCTGTTGACTTCAGTCCATCAGACTCACCTGCATTTCAGATATTCATCCGAAGCCTGAGGGCCCGTTTACATTCTATTACCTGGGGCCTATTGCCGCCTCCAGGTAGCTCTTCCTATATGGAGTACTGCTGCAGTATATCACAAGTCAAGCCTTTTGCACCCTCCTGAAGACATTTTGTTTCTCTCTGACGGCTTTGGTCATTGAGCCGTCAGATGATTTATTGCTTCTATGTGTTGGACTATGGCGAACAACCGCCTCGTCCTCAATGAGTCCTTTGTCCTGGAATACGGCCTGGCTGGCCTCCTCGAAGAGGAGGCCGGTTGTATTCCGTTTCCGAGCCACCGATTTTTTCCATTGACTCTTGATGGCACAACTTAAAGATATCGAGAGCTAGCCTTTGCATGTGCGATCATGGCGGAGGATCTAAAATTCAAGACTCTCCACGCCAGTTTTTTGAGGGGTTGCCTTAGTCGTTTCCCCTAAAAAACAAGCTGGAGGAGAGCTTCCTGAAGAGGCCAAACACATTAGCTTGTCATCGTGGTAAGCCGTAATGGAATCATAATGATTCTAGCGGAACTTCCTAGGTCAATCTTTGTTTTTCTTATTTCTAGTAATATCTTTTCCACCAAGATCGTGGCATCCTTCTGCTTTGTCAAGACTAGTTTGGCTTCCATAGGAAATTTCCAGAATTCCCTATACAAATCTGCCAAAAGGAGTTAAGGGCGCAATGCAAATGATGCGATGGGAACTAGTGCGCTTTTATATCATGCTCTCTTGTGACCTGAAAATATATGTTGTCCACCATTCGTCCAATTTTCACTACACAACTTCACTTTGGAATTTTTGTTGTCCTTCTAATTTTTCAATCCTACTTGTATCATTAAATCCGACGTGTCACATCTATTTTTTGGATACATTTTTTTTATTTATCGCTAGAATGGCTCGTATCTTGGACCCCACAGTTCAAAACAACCAGGCCAACTGTGAACCTGGACGCCAATTGGCAGAGTCTAATCCGAGGATCGCAGACGAAGAGGATTCTGAAGGCGTGGCTGATGATATCAACTCGGACGAGGATGATCTGGTTATCCAGCCTAGAATTTCTAAAGGCACCATCGCCAAATTACCCTCGAAAGAGGAGCAAATTCCTGATGTCGTCAAGTCCCATATCCGGACTATACCCCCTGAAATTCTTCGGGGTATTTACACAGTGATGCCATCATCTAGGCCAAAACGTGGTCTTGATCAGTCTTTACCGCCCATCAGTGAAATTGAAGAAATCTTTGACGATCTTGTGGCCAAAGCCGAGGACAATGACTTCGATGGTTTCCTCCAGCATATTGGATGTCGGGAGCTGCGCGTTGCCACAATGTGTTCTGGTACGGAGGCTCCTCTTCTCGCGCTGGAGATGATTGCAGATAGTAAGGGATCCTTTGCTTCTCAAATCGGGTTATGTTAATTTTCATACAGGCTTCAAACGGCTATACGGCAAATCCTTTCGCATGCACCATTTATTCAGCGCAGAGATCGAACCATTCAAGCAATCATATATTCAAAGGAATTTCTCGCCGGACATTCTCTTTAGGGATGTCAGTGAACTCGTCAACAATGAAGCGTATGTGATAAGACTTCCGCACCTATGGCTAATGCCAGCTAATCATGCCTCAGAACAACCGCATTTGGATCCGTTCGAACGGTGCCAACGAACCCTGATCTTCTTGTTGCCGGCTTTTCTTGCGTTGATTTTTCACAGCTGAATGCGCATAAAAAATCACTCGAGGAGATGGGAGAATCCGGCCACACTTTCTTTCCCATTCTCCAATACATAAAGCGATGTAGGCCGCCACTTGTCATCCTGGAAAATGTCTTTGGTGCTCCGTGGGCAAAAATCGCGGAAATCTACAAAGAGATCGACTACAATGCGTACCATGCGTCGATCGACACAAAAAACTTCTACCTTCCACAAACTCGAGAACGCGGGTATCTACTTTGCATTGACCAGAAGAAACTTGAAACTGAGGCTCCCGGCAAGAAGGGTGGGAAGGCATCTTTGCTTGCTCGCATGATGAAGCGCTTTGAACGACCCGCAAGCTCTCCGGTGACAGATTTTTTACTTAAGCAGGACGATCCTCGCTTGCGTGTTGGTATCAACGACATATCTGTCCAGGCAGCTAAAGACCGCCAGTCGGTCGATTGGACGAGATATAAGGCGCGCCACCTTGGGTACCGGATGGAAAATGGGTTAGGCGACAAGAGGCCACTTTCGAGGTGGCAAGACAATGGCACTTGTCAAATGCCTGATTTCTACTGGCATGGTTGGACAAAAGCCCAAACTGAACGGGTCTGGGATACGCTAGACGTAAACTTCTTGCGGGCTATAGTCCGAGGATCAGATTTTATGTCGAAGTGGTAAGCTCTCTGACGCTTTTTCTTTTTTGTTTTATAGACTAAATCCATTGTAGCCGCGTTATCGACCTTTCACAGGGTTTAGATCGGGAGCTCGATCAGCGAGCATCTGGCATTTCTGGATGCCTTACCCCTCGTGGCCAGCACTTCATCAGCACGCGTGGAGGACCACTTCTGGGCATAGAGGCGCTAGCTCTCCAAGGAATTCCCATAAACAAACTGTTGTTGAGCAGTGAGAGCCAGCGTGACCTCCATGACCTAGCGGGAAATGCGATGAGCTCGCCTGTTGTTGGTGCAGCAATCCTAAGTGCTCTTATCCTAGGTCACAAGGCGCTACTTCCTGGTCCGCCTTCCGCCGGTGAATCCGAAAAGTCGGACATCATCTTCCTTCCCTGCTCAGTCATTAAGGAATATTTAATGCACGATGTTCCTGCTGAAGGACTGGCGATCCCATCGCAGTCAGTGAAGGAGCTTCTTGTTAAAGTGCAACAGAGCTGCAGACTTTGTTACTGCGAGGCACAGAGCGGGACAAAAAGGAGGGATATGCTCATATGCTCAAAATGTAATCATACCGCGTGCATCAAGTGCGGACAAAACCCGTCCCACGCCTATGAGCCTATTCCGCTCGAACATTTGTCTGCGCGGATCACTCCTATGAACTTTGAGATGTACCTCAAAATGGGTCTTCCAATGCGGTTGCAATTGAAAGGCCTCAACCGTGGAGCCTTCGAACAGTTTCGAGAATCCTGGACATCCAAAGAAGTTATCGGTGCTTGGGAGGCTTTTCTGGAGGTTGTAGGCCCAGCGCTTGGGGAGGAGCTACGATTCAGTGGAATCAGTCGACATCGCGCGTGGACTGTCACGTACGAGGGAACATGTTCACGTCTAAAACTGATCTGTTCTTCGACTACAGCTGAATGGCTACTTTATGCATTGCCGAGCAAACGCGAACCAAGCAATTCTCCTCTGCGGCAAATCATTTCTCACCCCATCGCACGGATGACCCCGTCGGACTCGCTATTCAACGGGGTTT